GTTGACCTGAAGACCCAACTGGCTACTGGCATTTGGTATTTTGTGGTAAAATACTGCATTTTATGAACGCATTAGCATTGCGGAAATTTCAGGGGGAGTCTGTGCCGAACTCAGTCCGGATTCGGGCGCTCTTGAGGCTCGATGGGATTATTATCCCGGTACAGATAATACTTTTTTTTATTAAATCACTCTGAGTCGTGTTTTAGATAAGTTTACGAATCACCACATTCAATGGTTTCGTTTTAATAACAAAGTAAATAATGAAAATCAACATAAAAATATGAGTAGTCTTCACCACAACGTTCGCCTTCGAACCATTTAAAGTCTCAAAACTCATATACGAGTTACACATCAGACTTATTTCATTACCTAACAGAAACACACTCAACAGGCGGTGTCGAATTTATAATTCAGTTTGTCCACTTTATATTTCAAATAACTTTCCCCCAATTGACTGCTTCATTAATATTGTATTTAATTGCTCTTGTTGTCTAATTATTCAAATCATCTCTCTTGCTGTGAGATTGTTGTCTCTTGATACGGACCTTCCCATCTTCTGTCTTCTTTTCTTGGCTTCTTTCCTCTCTTTGTTTAGTTTCTTTTGAAGACTGCGGCTACAAGCAAATCATCCATGTTAATCTCAAGCCGGTTTGGTACCTTTTGCTCTTCGTCCAGGGGGTTTAAAGATGGACGCACACATCCCTGTGTGTCACATGACACCTTATATTCCTGAATCCTTGCCGAGTCCAACGATACCAAACAGACTAGGTTTCGCCTCATGGTTTGTGCAATGTTTTGATTTAGCGTAAAAATTACGTTTAGGAGGGAAAAATAAAGACGATAATAAATTTCGCAATAAAATAATGAGCTTAAAGGGGTAGTTCACTTTTAAGAAAAACTTTTGCTGATAATTTACTCACCCCCATGTCATTTAACACTCTGTAGATTGGGTCCATATACATGTTGATTTAACACTGGGGATTTCAGATTGGATGGCTGCTTTTCTTTTTGGGGTTTCCTCATTTCTCATTGCTCAAATTCATTAGTTCTCACATATTTAGTCTCACTCTGTTCATTACTGTTTGAGTTTTTCACAGTTGATGTTTGTTTAGCTCTTTGCTCCCTGACTTTGGTTTGTTATTCTGGAGTCATTTTGTCCCAGTCATCTTTAGAGACTATATTGGCATTTTTTTAATGAATGCTGGCTTTTGTTGTGAGTCCTTCCTCGACTCTGAGATCTGTCTCTTCTCTGAAATCCAGCTGTGCTGACTTGGTTCCTTTGTTCTTTGTTCTCTCTCTTCATTTCAGAATATCTGGGCCGTTGTTGGGCAACTCGGCCCTGCGCTCCTCTAAGTCTCTCTGATCGTTTTTGACTTTGCTGCCTACTATTTGCTAGGTCATTCGGATTTAGATTTCCTTTTCTTTCTGCCTCTTGTTTGCACCCTCTATCGCACCTTACTGCAAAAGTCTGTAACTCTTCCCAGTTAGTCTCTTTTCCCCAAGTTTTGACCTGGGAGGTCTTTTTCAAACTTTAGCTACTGTTTGTATTGGTTCTCTGCCCTCATGGACTCTATTCTTGCAGAATATTAGTACATGTTTTCTGGTGAAGCGAAATATCATCCATTTTTAGGTTGATTAATCATTAGCTCTGCATCTTCGTCATGGATATTAAGCCTCTTTCCTAGCTCCACTACTTTTGGCAGCTTCTCATGCTATCTTTTAAATCTAGCTTCATCCCATTAAGCATACCCATTCTGTGGCTGTTATATTATGTTTAGGTCTCGCCCTAGTCTTTCTTGCTGGCCTAGGATCAAATTCTTCTTCTGAGGAAGCAAACTCACTTGATTCAGATTCTTCACAAGAGTCCCATTGTTCTCTATATGTTTCCCTGATGTGGTAATTAGTTCCACTTATCGAGGAGGCTGCTACTTCAGCTAAGCTTATACCCAATCCTCCTTTTGGCCTCTGCTCTTCATTTTCTTCTTTTGAACACAGGTCATCTTCTCTACTTATGTCATTTTCTAGTGAAGTTTTTTTGTAAAGTTGTATCACGATTAAAACCGTTCCAAATTATCCTATCCAGAACATATGGATAATCGAGCCCGTTCTCATTCTTTGGCGCCATATAGGTGATGCTATATGACATTTGGTCGAAATATTACACCCTTTAGCGTCAATATAACACGCAGACCCAAGGCCTCATACAGGGAACTGGCATCCTTTAGCGTCAATATGAGACCCATAACAGTGCGTGTTATATTGACGCTAAAGGGTGCCATGTGTGTAGTATTTTGACGAAATGTCATATGGCGTCACCTATATGACGCCAAAGGATGAGAATGTGTTGGATAATCCCGCGGTAACTAAAGAGCCTATTCTTTTAGTCTTGCCTTTAAGAGTTAGGCGATCAGTCTCTACAAATTCACATTCTATTATAAAGATAATAAATTATAAATGTAAAAGATTTCCCCTTTGTAATATAATGGTACGTTCACACCGGACAGGAATAGCGCATCGGGCACGAATGATTGCACAAAGATGCGTTACGCGCGTAAAATTCCTGCGGCGCGAATGAGGCGTGGAGCGCGGCGCGGTAGACGCGAATACACCTCGTTAGCACGTCAAGTTGGCGCGAATTGAACGTCTGTCGCATTGCGCGCAAATGATTTAGTTAGTGCTATTTGTGCACTCATGCATTTGACGCGAATTCGCGCCTGCCGCCCGAGTCGAAAATTCTGAACTTTGGCGTCAAACTTTGGCTGCGTTAACCAATCAGGAGCCTGCTGCTTGCTCACGTGGTGAAGGATCTGGATGCTTCAATAAATTATTTTGTTATATGACTAAATATATGGTGGGATTCTTATGCAAAACAAAGCAAATATTTTATCACTTAAAACTTTATTTCTACATACGAGACATGTTCATTTTGTAATGAATGTTATTCGTTCCATATCTAGATTATATGAAATATTATTATGATGTAAAGACAACCAACATACATGTGCATAAGTTTGTGTCTGGACGTGAGAGAGAAAAAAATCACAGGACAGGTTAATCACTTTTGGAGGCTGGCTCTATTTATCATCAAAACAAAAATAAATGACTAGATTAGGTGAAAGAGGGCGAGGGTGATCCTCGCTCAGATGCGGGACAACAGGTCATCAAACTTGGCGCGGGACAGGCGGAAGTACCGCTGACAGCGGCCGTCATCCAAGGGCGAGCAAATGGTGAAACTCGCCAAACGGTTCGCCTCCGAAGGGTCCGGTGGACACAAATACAAATTCATCGAATCTCTCGATGAATGCTCGATCAACATAAAAAAAGATGGCCGCCAACGGGTTTTGATTTTGACGTGCGAGACGCGCGTAAATTTCGCTTCAAACTTTTAATTTTACACGCGTCAGTTTTGCTCTTGACGCGCGAATTAACACAATGTGGTCAAGCGTCAAACTAGACGCGGTAGACGCGAATTTGATGCGCTATTCGTGTCCAGTGTGAACGTAGCATAAGGTAGTCTTCAACCTTGTTCGATATCCAACAATAACCCTGTCGTAAGCTGCCTCTTTGGCTAGGCTATTTAATCAATCAAATCTCACAGTTCTTACATCAAACGAATGCTCACCCTCTTGCCGTTTCTTTCCTGATCCGGAAAGAAGAATGTGACGCGCACTCAAGAATCCAAGGTCCAGTCAAGATGATTATGATAAATGTTTAATAATATTTATTAAAAGAATCAACAATGAAAAGAGCACTTGTTACAGATTACAAAACGAGTACTAATTCTAACAGAGCAACACTAGCTAGGCTTAAAGCTTCTTGTGTCCGATATCTGCTGGTGTAGTGGACTGGAGATCGCAAGGAAGAGCAATAATAATAATAATCCATTTTATTTTAAGTGCCTTATCAGGACACCCAAGGACACTGTACAAGCAGATAAAAACCATTAAAACAAAAACAATAAAATTGGCAACACAACATTGGGGTGGGGTCAAGTAGAATATGAATGGCTAAACAACAGAGTTTTGAGTTTGGATTTAAAAAGATTAAATGAGTCCATGGTACGAAGATCTGGAGGGAGGGAATTCCAAAGATGTGAGGTTTGAGGTTTATCCAGGTCTCAGCATAGTTAATATAATGCACAACATAAGGCACATGACTGTCATTTCAATATCACGAGTGTCAATATCCCAGCAAGTGTAGAAGAGATAATAGTTCCTTTGTATTTGTGGACAATGACCCTGGTCAGTGCTTTCTCATGTGATTTGAGAGATACCAAGATGGACAAGTTTTTTTATTCAGCATAACACTTCGATAGTCATTCGTTTTACTAACAAAGTTAGCTCGTTGGGCCGTCATCCCCCAACACAGCAAGGCAGGAGAGTCTTTAAATCAGGGTTCGAGCAAATCTGTCCAGGACTGACACTGCAGCCCGTTCTCATCCCAAGGTTTCATATACTGACGCTTTTGACGTTTCGTCTACATCCAACGCACATGGCACCCTTTAGCGTCAATATGAGACGCAGATATATATGGGCCAGAAGGCGCCTTCTGACGGTGGTGAGTAAACCAAGTTGGTCTTCCCATTTCTGTTTTACTGAGATCTATTAACACTACAGACGTTCTGTGGTAAAATTACATTACTTCATCTACCCTTGTAAAACTAATCCTGTCCGAATGTAACCCCTACACCCAGGTCCCGCTCAACCCGCCCCGAGCAGGCCTCGAACACGGGTCTCCGGCATGAGAGTCAGGCGCTCTAACAAGGAGACTAAAGACTGCAGCCTCTAGCTCCGTTACACGAACAGGGCTAAAGATGAACTACTTACTGTTCAGACTGCATTAATCTGGTTTCTCAGGCCGTTCTCATCCCAAGATGTCATATAACTGACGCTTTTGACCATACGTCAACATCCGACGTTTTAGGGTACCCTTGAACGTTGGTTAGATGGCGCTATCTAATCCTAACCCTACCCCAGACCTAAGAACCTAACTGACGCTAAAGGGTACCCTAAAACGTTGGATGTTGACGTATGGTCAGTTATATGACGTCTTGGGATGAGAATTTGTTGGGTTTCTCCAATGTGTGGATCTTTATGTGTAGCTTCAGGCCACTTTTAATAGAGAAACTCTTCCCGCACTGATCACACGTGTGTGGTTTCTTTCCAGTGTGGATCCTCTCGTGTTTTATCAGAGATGATAACTGACTGAATCTCTTGTCACAGTGTGAACACTTGTAAGGTTTCTCTCCAGTGTGGATCCTCTCGTGTGTTTTCAGAGATGATGACCGACTGAATCTCTTGTCACAGTGTGAACACTTGTAAGGTTTCTCTCCAGTGTGGATCCTCTCATGTGTTTTCATATCTCCAAACTGAGTGAATCTCTTGTCGCAGTGTGAACACTTGTAAGGTTTTTCTCCAGTGTGAGTTCTCTGGTGCAGTTTTAATTGTGTCTGTGAAAAAAAAGTCTTCTCACACTCAAAGCACATGTACTCTCTCACACCAATGTGAATTTTCTCATGCGTTAGAACATATTGCAGCCGTGAAAAACTCTTTGCACACACAGAACATGAATACGGCTTCTCCTTTGAATGAACTGTCAGGTGTCTCTTCAGGTGATGTTGGCAAAGAAATGTTTTGTCGCACTGATCACAACTGAACGGCCTCTCTCCGCTGTGGATCCTCATGTGAATCTTAAAAGTTGATTTGTGTGGGAAACTCTTCCCACATTGATCACACGAGAACGGCTTCTCTCCGGTGTGGATCCACATGTGTTCCTTAAGTTGAATTGAAGTACAGAAACTCTTCCCACATTGATGGCATACATATGGCTTCTCGACTGAATGAATTCGCATGTGAAGAACAAGACTTTTTTGGGTTGCCAAACTCTTTCCACACTGAGTGCAGGTCGGAGATTTCTTGGCTTTTGTTGTATTTTTTAACGTCTGTTTAGTCTTTGAGCGACTCAAAGGTTTTCCTCCAGGTTGGACATGATGTTTCTCCTCCACTTCACTCAGATCTTCTCTCTCCTCGATCTCTTCCATCAGGTCTGACGGGAAAGAAAAAATGTCTTTCTTTAATTTAATTTTCAGAGCATCAAAATAACTCAAAGACACTATATTTTATTGAGAGGAGTACCTAACTTAACTCAAACTGATTGAGCCATCTCTATCATCTGGTTATGCATGTCATAACACTTCTTCTAACATGGATGTCAGAAACAAATAAATCTCCCCAGCCATGTGAACTGTTTTTGGTGAAATTTTGCATATTACATATTACACTGTAAGAGCCCTAACTTTACAAAATGATGTTACTTGATGCTATGAAAAAGCGTAAGTATATTTTTAATAATTTTTCAAAAACATGCTCAACCAAACGGTTAATTTGGCACATAACGGTTAACCGTCACCCCCCTTTTTGAGAACGTTGTGCTGAAGACCTGAGTTTAGTCTTCTTTTAAATAAAACACTCAGCAGATTAAGTAAAAGCACGTTTGCTATGGGGAAGCGAGAATTGCAAAAGACCTGTGAAGGGTTTCAGGAAGCCGAGGGGCCTAAACCGACTGTTTGCTATATAACCGTCTTGCCAAATGCTGTATTTTTATTATTTTATATATGCACATGGTTTGTGCTCAGGGGTAAACCATGTGAGCTCTGAAGGGTTTAAATTGTCAGACTTTAAACAGAGGTTAGAGGTTGAAACTACTCGTATGTTATGTTGATTTGTATTCTTGTACTAAAACCTTTGAATGTGGTGATTGGTAAACTTCTCTACAACTCTTGTTATAAAATCTTCTAAAAACTATTATCTGACCATGGACAACCAATCCCATCGAGCTCAATCCCATCGAGCCACCACTTACTACAATGGTGATGAACTCTGAACTATTATAAAGTCACATAAAAGCTTTGTTGATTGTCACCATTGTTGAGATTCATATGTTGATTATTGATGTCATACTCCTAAAAAATATTGTTTGAATATTTTACACTCACTTTTACACTTGTTATAAATTATTGTTTAAATATTTCAAGGTTCATGGGGAAAAGTACGACAATCATAGATTTTATCTAAAATTTAAGCATGCCTATTTATAATGTAATTTCAACAGATACACTAGGGTATTTTTCTGTCAGATCAGTGAATCAGGTCACCATATGATGACTATAACATCACCAATAAATGAGCAACATCAGCTGATATTTTCTCCTGCTTTCAATGCTATAACAATTGTATGTTGAATGCAGTTAAAGAAGTCAGAGAAAAACTAATGGTATAAATTAAAGGTCAAGAGCCCAACTAAAGCAAACACTGATCTCAATCATGGTGACATTTGACCATTTTTTTAACGTAAATACTTGTGAAAACTTTTTTTTTTTTTGGTTTATTTAAAATAGAATATTTTACTTTAATTTTATGGTTTTTGTTTGGCAGTCATTTGACCATTTTTTAATGATTTTTTGATGAAGGTATTTGATCATAATAATGCAGGAAATACCTGTAAATAACAGTGTTTTTCAGTTTATTTAATTTATGACGTTTTACTTTAATGTTACAGTTTTTTGAGCTGCCAGTCATGTAATCATGTTTACCATTTAATTACAGATTCTATTTGTAATTTTACATGCATTTTTATGTAATTTAAAAAAACAGAAAAATACTGTATGAAAAATACAATCAATTTCTGTAAAAAAAAAATGTGAATGACTGGAATTTGCCTTTAATGTAACAATACCTAAAATAACAGCTGCATTTTTGTTTTGCATAACCTAAGTCGGCTACACTGAGATATCAAGACTAATAAAAGAAAAGCGTTGAACATGCATTCAATATGATGAATACATCAAACTATATGATTACTAGAAGTATAATTGATTACATTTCATCAAATGATATTAAAGATAGGAATGATTGAATAAAACATAAACAAGAATTCTGATTCATCGGCCTCTGTTTGAATAAAAAAAGACATAGCAATAAATAAAACAGATACAGTTCATGAAGCCTTCGCTGTACAACCATATGGTCTCATTTGAAAGCTTTTTTTAGCAGAATGTATTATTGTCATGGTGAAAAACACCATAGTTATAAAGAGTTTCAATATCACTCCTCTCTATAGAAATTTTAGAAATGCCAAAAACATTTGAGAATCTATCAAAATTTCTTGAAATGTGCAGACAGGAGTGTTTTTATTTCCTCAATGGATGCAGCAAAGTCTCATTCATAGTAAACTCATATCTCCTGACTGAAATTAAGACATCATTGTCACTATAAGATTTTCAGAATTAAATAGAGGTCAAATACTAAAGCTTGAGTCTTCAGTCTTTTTAGTGATGTTTAGTTTGTTGAAGTGATTACAATATTTTACATTAAAACTAACTTCGAACTGATGTAAACAAAGAACGTTTCAGTGCCATCAATATGAGAGTTTCTCAAACCTTTGTTGAAAACTAGCAAACAAGAACATTTGAACCAATTTCATAGTTTAGCTGTTTATCTAAAAGTGCTTGAATGTTTCTAACATGAATGTTGTCCAGCATCATGAATGAATGAAGAATAAACACCAACCTCTTTGTTCTTCAGGATCTTCAGTGTGTTTCATTCTGCAGGGTTCTGGATCACTCATGTTCTCACTGTCCTCTTTAATAAACTGCAGATTTCAGCTCTTCCTGATGCTCTGATGCTCGTCTTCACTTGTATCTTATGGGAGGAGCTTCACTGATGATGCGTTTATGGTAGGAGGAGCTTCACTGGTGATGTAATTGACACATGAGGGGCTTCAAATGTGGTGAATTGCAGTGGGAGGAGCTGATGTATGGGATCAAAATCCCACCAAATGCATTGCGTAATAGATCTGCTTAAAAGTCCTTCACCTGGATGAGTGAACATCAGTAGCGTGAGTCACATTGGAGTGACGTCAACACCCCTCTTCGATTGATTGGCTAGAATAGGAGCTGTCAATCTAGAACTATAGACCAATGGTGACGCTTAAGCCCGCCCTAATTTACATGAAACTCGAACCGCAACATTTGGAAGAGCAAGCGCAGAACACGGTAAGAAGAGCGAAAAACATGAACATAAGTTTCGTGCGTAATATTTAAAGTTTTTATCAATGCTTGTTATTTTTTGATTCACGCTTATTATACATTGATCTGTGACGACTTTGTTTGCTTTTCTGATAAATTTGCTTTTTTTGTCAGTTTGTGCAATATATTTTTACATGTGTTTTTACATTTTTGAATCACGCTTATTATTTTTTGATCCGTGGCCGCAATACATTTGGCGGGATTTTGATCCCATAGCCTACTGATGTGCTCAAAACAAAAAACATATATCAGTTCCTGAGTTTGTTTTTATACTGTTGTGGAAAATACACAATTGTCTAGTTATAAGTATATATTTTGTCTGTAGAACACGTCTGTATAGTAATCAACCACAAAAAGTAAAGCATGAAGTTGTTGTACTTCTCTGTGTCCGTCGCTGTCGTGTTTTTCTCCACAAGAGCCTGGTGTTAACAGATCATGTGAGGTACATTGAGATGTGTGTTCCCAGGAATTTAACATCACTGATCCTCACAATGTCCTCATTGATGTGAAGAGCGACACATTCCTCCCTCTTCCTCCTAAAATCTATCACCAACTCCTTTGTTTTTGAGGAGTTGAGTGTGAAAGTGTTGTCAGAGCTCCAGGCAGTGAGTTTTTGGACTCATTATGATATATCAATCCAACTACAGCAGTGTCGTCAGCAAACTTGAGGATAATGTTGCTATCATAGATTTGTGCACAGATGGGTGTGTAGGATGAATAGACCATTTCACAAGATGTAAACAACACTGGTCCAGAAGCACTTCCTGTTTCAGTTTTTTAACACTACATAAAAGCTGGGATAAAATACAACCAACAGAACATTTAAAACTGAATCAAAAAGTTAAACAAACATCTTTAAGATGTTTTCTTTGCATGTGAACTAAAGAAAAAAGTTACAAACTGAAACAGGAAGTGTTTCTGGACCAGTGTTGTTTACATCTTGTGAAATGGTCTATAGAAGAGGACCAAAAACTCCACAAGAGTCGTGGGGAGAAAAATGTTTATTGAGAAATTGGTTTTTAAAGAAAAACATGGCATAATTAATGTTTTAAGCATTTATTAAAAAGCATAGTGTGGGATTAAGAAATCTACTGTAACTCATTCCATGAATGTGTGTGTGTGTACATTCACATTTATAACATGTATGTGCAATATGTATACTCAATAAAGGATACAATCTTGTGAGTATTAGATGTAATGCTATTTTTGTCTTCATTTATAGATATTATATAGGCGTTTTAATAGCTTCAGTGACTTCCTCCAAACCAAGTGATAGGTCACACATGCTTCTGTCTGCCCCATTCATTTTACAAAAACTAAGTAGTGAATTGAAAAAAAAACTGCAGCTGCTGCGTAATCAAAAGAGAAACGACTGTATGTCCGTACTATACACAAGTTTTTGAGCCGTTTCCGCTCTACATCCTAAGCTCCTCCCGTTTATGCAATCCACTTCCGTTTTGGCGGGCTGGTTATGCTACCTAGCTCCGTTGTGCCGACAAAGCACTGATATCGCAGTGACAAAGAGGATACCAATTAACTTTCAACATGAATAAAAGTGGTTCGGGAACGACGTGTGCGGTAGTTGGTTGCAAAAACTCGCGAAAGCACCTGAACGAGTGGTTAGATAGAGAGTGTTACGACCACAAACCAGCTACGAAGAGGCAATGTCCATGCGCTCCATTGTTTACATTTTTTCGCAAGCCTGATACCGACTCGGAATCAAGGACCTGGCTGAAGGCATTAAATCTAAAGAAACCACCCCGTACCGTTTATGTTTGTTCCTATCACTTTGTTGACCAAAAACCAACCAAGGATAATCCTTTCCCAGAGTTGTGGTTGGGATACAATCGTCCTCCCCAGCCAAAGAGGCGTCAACTCACTCAGCGGACCACTGTCTCCACCCAGATAAAGAAACGCAGACTTGCATCTGAGGGTAAGTAAAGCAAATTTAGCTATGAAGTTGACAATACTGTTAATTATGAACAAGTTGTCATACACTAACATTGCTACCGGTATTTTGCTGAGGCAGTTGATTGTTTTGGATATGGGACAAACAATGCCCACGATACATCATTAATTGTGTGTGTGTGTGTGTGTGTGTGTGTGTGTGCATGCCTGCGTGTGCCTTAGTCTACATCATAAATGTAATGCAAGGTGGCAGGCTGTTGTGATGATGTGTGTGTGTGCGTGTGTGCGTACGCCCCCGCCCGCGTGTGTGAGTGCAATGTTGTAATACACATTTTGCCATTGTGATGTTTGTTGTGTTGTGGAAAACTTAATATTTTACTTTTCTTATTGTTTACTTTCTTAGACTTTGTGATTTTTTTCTTTCGATTCAATCATGTGTTTCTCTCCTGGAATGTATTTTTTACCTGGCAGGAACAAAGACGCACAGTAAAAGAAATGGTCTATGCCTTAATTAATTTTGCTCCATCCATGTTTTCTCTTCCCTTTTTAGATGCTCCTGAAACCTGTCAGCCTGCCTGTGAGGCCGAGCCTGCTACACCAAAATTTCGAGATGCCCAGACCCAATGGGAGGATCCGTCACATATTGACCACATGTACTGTTCAACAACACAGTCTGTTAAAGTTGACAAGGCCACACAGTGCGAGGCAGAAATGGGTCCTACTGTGACTAGCACCACGGTCATTGATGATGCTAGGTCCCGGCTGTATACAGGAGTGCGTATGGTTCAATTTTTCACCCTGGTGACAGTGTTGTTGCCTTTCAGTAAGCTAACAATTACCCTTCCTGTTGTTGACCAAATCCTGATGACCTTGATGAAGCTAAAACTAAACCTAATATTAGGAGATATTGCTCATCGCTTCAATGTGTCTACATCCATGGCAAGCATTGTGATTAGTCACTGGATTGACGTGATGGGTGAACAGTTCAAAGTCCTGATCCCCTGGCTTCCAAGAGAGACCATTCGTGCCACCATGCCCTTGTCGTTTCAGAGGAACTACCCTCGAACCACCTGCATCATTGACTGTGCCGAAAGTGCCATGCAGAGAGCCACAAACCACGACTCAAGGAGTGACACTTTCAGCCAGTACAAATCACGCAACACTGTGAAATATCTCGTCGCTGTGGCCCCTAATGGGCTAATCATGTTTATCTCTGATGCCTATGCTGGCAGAAGCAGCGATAAGTTTATCACCATGGACAGTGGGTTCCTAGACTATCTGAGGGCTGGTGATGAGGTCATGGCGGACCGTGGGTTCACCATTCGAGACTTGCTTGATGAGAGAAAAGTGAGTTTGAACATCCCTGCATTCACCTACAGACGCAATCAGTTGACCAATGAGGAGACCACACGCACCAGGCGAGTAGCCAATGTCCGCATACACGTGGAAAGAGCAATACAGAGACTGAAGGTCTTTAAGATTTTATCCCAGACTGTTCCCATCAGCATGGCACCGAAACTGGACAACATCTTAACCATCTGTGCTGGCCTAGTTAACCTGAAGAGTCCACTGATCAGAGTGCCTTGTGAGGTTTAATCTTGCCTTGTGTCCTTGTCTACCAACACCCAGCCATGTTGCTCATTACATACAGATAAACACAACAAATACTTCTTGCATTGTATTTTTTTTTTAGGGATGGGCAATGATTAATCGCGATTAATTGCATCCAAAATAAAAGTTTGTGTTTACATAATATATGTGTGTGTACTGTGTATAATTAATTTGTATATATAAATACCCACACATGCATGTATATATTTAAGAAAAATTTGTTATTTATATAGCAAATATTTATATATAATATTAATAATGTATAAATATATGTAAACATTATAAAGTATATACATGCAAATATTTCTTAAATATATACATTCATGTGTGTGTATTTATATATACAAATGAATTATACACACTACACACACATGTATTATGTAAACACAAACTTTTATTTTGGATGCGATTAATCGCGATTAATTGTTGGCCATCCCTAATTTTTTTATTATATATGAACATTTTTAGTGTGATGTACTTGTGTGGGCTGCTTTTGTATTTTACTTTTTAATACCTGTTAGGATTAATCACACAATCTTTCTTGTTGAACCCATTTCTTCAGTTTACTCAAAACAATTAATTCATCCAGTGTTATTTATGTACAGTATGAGCTTACTATGAATGATGAACTGTGTTAAAAGAAATTGTAGCACTCTAAGGAACATAAAGCCTATAATTAATGATTGTACTTCAGTGCAGTAATTAAATGTGAAATTAAATAAAACTTAATTTTCACTCAAACAGTAGAGGCAAACATCTGTTGGCTCCTGTAGGCATGACCTAAATAAGGCAGCTTATTTTGGTTTTAAAATGCTCAGATATTTACTGCAGAACTGTAACCTTCCCTCAACAAAATCATCAACAATTTTCGGGAGCATGTGGGCAAAGTAGAATGTGCGCAGCCTTTTGATATGCCCCTGGACAAAGCCTTGGTCGTAGGGTACTTCAATTTCTAGGTGCTCAGATTTGTTCCAGATCACCAACTTGGAGTGCTGTAGCCCTGTGCAGTGCATCCCAATTTGTACCTGCATGTAGTAGCCTTTTGGACCATTGCAGGCAATATGGTAATCTACTCTATCTATGTTTGCCACAGTTGTGATTTCACAGTTCTTTGTTGCCAAAAATTCTGCAAGTGACTTGTTTCCAATCACAGGTGATTTGATCTCCAACAGAATGTCTTTGTTTATCACTCCATCGGGAGATGCTGCAAGCCACGGTTCATTTTCGCACACCACTAAGCCTTTGGTTTCAATGCTGTTGCCCAGAGTTTCCAAATAGTCCCTCGCAAGTTCCTCCCCCTCCGCTCCTTGACGGGTTGCGGCATTACCACGGAAGGATGGGTGTAAGTGATCAGACAAAAACTTGTCAGGCGCCGTGCTTGAGCGAGCGGGTACCTTTTTAGCCGTGCTTGCTGTAATGCGCACTCTCCGTGCATCATGCCAGACCTGTTCTTTGCTCTGTGATTTTGTAACCTTCTCAATTTCCTCAAGCTGGGCTGTGGACATGTTAATGTATTTATCGTAGAAGGTTCTGCATTTTACACAAGCCAGTGGTGTGTGGTTCTCATCATGGGTTAGGAGATGGAGGCCTGGACATGGTGATGGCTCGATGATGGAGGAGGTATTTGCATTAAAGCAGAGCTGCAGAAGGCTATTCCCAGGGCATTTGAAAAGTTCTGCCATTGGTGAGGCAAGTGCATTCCTCCTCCACTCTTCATGAGTCCTAAAGCGTGTCACCTCCTGTGCCGGTTCTGGAGTGGTAGAGGATGGCTGTGAAGTTGGCGGCGGCTGGTAGAGATCCTTCCTGTTGTGCCGTTTGAAGTGCACATACTTCATCTTTCTCTGACCAGCATTCCTTTTAGACCCAGCATTCCACTGGTTCTGTCCGTCTGTGCAGGCACGGCCGGTTTTCCCCTGTCTCACAGCATTTTCTACCTAGAGAGATATAGTCAGGGATGGATTTTGACTTGCAAGGCCCATTATCTCAATGGACCCTCTCTCACAATTTGGTCCCTGTTATTTTAGCTGCACGTTCACAGTAGCTAATCCCCTGCACTAAAAAGACGGGCCTATATTGTAGGGTTTACAGAATCGGGGCATAGGATCATAATAATAATAATCAACAATGGACTACATTGAGGTGTATGAAACACGTATTTATTGAATTAACTTCAGATATAGACTAAACACTATACACAATTAATTCAAATGCATTTACAATGAAAATATAATTAAAATCAATTAAAAACACATTTAATGCATCACATGAATAAAAATTATTTGTTACAATACAAAATAACATGCCTGTAAAGTTGCCTCTCTCTCTCTCTCTCTCTCTCTCTCTCTCTCTCTCTCTCTCTCTCTCTCTCTCTCTCTCTCTCTCTCTCTCACACACACACACACACACACACACACACACACACATACATACAGTTTCGTTCGCGCCCGCACATCTCTCGCGCGCCTAATTATTATCATCATGGCACACACACATTGCACTCTAGCCAAGTCGCCTATGATGTAGCTCGGATACCAACAATAAAAAAAGACATAGGCCTTGGCTACAATGGTCAAATAATCTAGTTACCTTCCACAGGATCGCAGCTGAGTGGGAACAAGATCTCCCTGGTCCAGCAACACACGTACATCCCGCAGTTTTAACGTCTCCAGCTTCAATTACCAGCACCCAAGCATTATGCCACGCATTGTTCAAACACTGGCTAGGCTCTACATTTGCTTTTAGATAAATAAAGTGATCATGTTTGTATGACATAACACAACCGACTTTGTTGCTGTGCAGATATTGGTATGCCTCGGAGGCTTTCAGATTGTCCATTGCTTTTCCATCTATTGCCATGGAGTGCATGAAGTAGGAGCAAATATTACTGTACGTTATCCTGGGCCACGTCGTCATGTTATCCTCCCAGTTCTGTACTGAATTCGGATGGGGGATAGTAACGCCATCTCCAGTCAAAGTAGTGGAACCGTGTTCCCAAGCTAGCATCTTAATAGCTGTGTTTACACCGGCAGACGCTGTGCAAACCACTTCCGGCGGAAATTAATTGCATATGTGTAGCGTTATGGCGGCGCCCACAATTTGCCGCGTAAACTTGTGTATATGGCGTGGCCCTGATTGGCTGCGGGGGTGTCCGCGGTACGCGCGTGCGTTTGTTTGCCGATGACGTCACCGCTCGCTCGTGCCGCTTTTTCCCTCAGTGAGTTTCAGCGTCGAGTCTTCTGAGGTGAGGCGAGCATTTTCGGTATTTTCTCATCTTTATACACCCATCACACACACACTTCACAGTTTGATTAGGCGACAGACTCATTTCTGTGTTGTTTTCATCGATCACAGCGATACTTGTGGGTCTGTTCTGGCGTCTTCCTCCTGATATAGGCTACACATTTAGTTCAGCAGCAACGAGCCTGAGGAGAATATGTGGAGTTCATTCAGACCTGAGCGAGTGTGTGTTTGTGTGATAGTCTCGATGTTTGTAGTGAGATCTGTCACTGAATGTGAAGAGTTAAAGTTTGAGATATGTGAGGGGAATCGATCTCTAATGTTGCTGTTGCCGTTTTCATTACTTTTATTTCTTTGTTGAAATTTATCTTTGGCAGATTACATGTATTGATGTCTATTCACTTGTGGTTTTAGGGGCACACCTGTCATTTTTCACCATGTCATGCATCACTGCAATCTCAAAAGTACAACTCAAGTTAATGTTTAATTTATTTGACTATAATTTTCTATTGTAATGTGAAATAATGATCATGATAACGTCCTGGTTGCATATCATGCAAGACGTGTGCTAAGCTGAAGCTATAGGTTTCGCCTTAAGGTTTTGATTTAGCGTAAAAATTACCTTTAGGAGGTAAAAATAAAGACAATAATAAAAATTCACAATAAAATAATGAGCTTAAAGGAGTAGTTCACTTTAAAAAAAAACTTTAATGATAATTTACTCACCCCCACGTCATCCAAGATGTCCATGTCTTTTTCTTCAGTCGAAAAGAAATTAAGGTTTTTGATGAAAACATTCCAGGATTTTCTCCATATAATGGACTTCAAATGGATTTAATTATCATTTAAAGTTTTTTCTCCTATAAATGATTGCGAAGGCTAGATGTTTTACAAGATAAAATATGTTTTATTACCTCCGATTGTATTCATCTGAAAGAAGAATGTCATATACACCTATGATGACGTGAAGGTGAGTAAATCATGAGCTAATGTACATTTTTGGAGTGAACTATCCCTTTAATAATGTAGACAGGCAGCAAATCTCATTCAATGTCACTCATGTGTGTGGTTAAATATATTTTGATAGGTATTTAAAAGCTCTATTGATAAATTAACAAAATGGGAATTTTAAAAAGCCACCATAATATGATATTTCATTACAAATTATTCCTGATCCAAGCAGAATGAGAATAAAATAGAAATGGACAATAACAATGATTTGTTGGTCAAATTCATTTAATCAATTATTGAAGCAATACAAACATTAAGTAAAAGTGAAAGCGAATGAGACGGATCTCTTTCTTTATCGAAGAGAAGAAGAGAAGCAAAGTCTCCAGTTTCAAAGCTATGAAAGTATATCTTGCATTTGCATGAAAGAGTAGAAGCAAAATAGAAACTAAGGGCCAGATTAACCAGCACAAACCATCTACTAACATTAAAAAACTACTGTCAGGATTTACTAAAGACAAACATTGAAAAATTAGTGCTGAAAAGTCATGGACACAGTTATTTTTGCGGCTGACCTTACGAGTTTCCCTTTCAGACGCAACATTTTTGAGAGGAGAGTATTAAATGAATCAGGCAAGGTGGTTTACTAAGGTTTGCGCTCGTCAATGTACTGGTGTTTGCGCCATTATTTACCACCCCAAAAAAAGCCGGTCTTAAACCAGACGCTAACTGGTAGATTGCCTTGGTCATTATGGAAATGAAGCCCAATGAAACGGTTTACCGCACTGATCACGGTTAAATGGTCTGTCTTCAGAATGAGAAGCAGAAGTGATTTCAGAGAGAAAGCTTGAGCCGCTTCTCCCCAGTGTGAACTCTCATGTGAATCTTCAGCCTTCATTTGTGAAGCGGGCAGGAGACAGATGTTTTGGCTTCAGTTCTTCTTCACATCTAAAAGAAACATTAAAACGTGAGTTTTCAAATGAGAAACAATAAATCACATGAGCGAGCACACAAGCTGTCCTAAACATGAAACTGCTTTACATTAAGAGCTTCAAATAAACTCATAAGCACACAGTTTAATACAGTTCTCCCTGGATGTCGTACAGATGCTGTACAGACTTCAGATGTGTTTTTCCCATTGCATGACTGACATTGAATTTAACTGTTATATCAGGGGTGGCCAACGTTGGTCCAGGAGAGCCACAGTTTTGCTCCAACCCTCATCAAACACACCAGAAGCTAATCAAGGTCTGAAGGGTTACTAGAAACTTAAAGGGATAGTTCACTTTGAAATTAATTTTTGATATGTTTTATCTTACCTCAAGGACATCCAAGATGTTGGTGTCTTTGTTTCCGCAGTATTTTCAATTTTGACATTTTTCAGTCAAACCGTTGTTGTCTATCAGTCATACACTGGAGGCAAAGGGGGTCCACCAAAAAGCATGTACAGAGAAGTCAAAATTAAACATAATTTAATGACTCATAAATGTAAGTACACATTGATGGCCTAAGACATGAAACGAGCGGTTTGTGTGAGAAAACTAACAGTATTTATATCGTTTTTACCTTGTGTAATCCAAGTGATCTGAATCAGTTGTTCAATGTTCAATTGAACCGAACTGAATCAGTTCAATGTTACCCCGGAAGTGATCACTTGCGTGTGACGTCACTCAATATTTACACGGAGATTTCGGAAGTTTTACCTTTTACTAAACATATTTAGATATACCGAAATCGTATTCCATTGCGGTTTCCCGTGTATCTAAATATGTTTAGTGAAAGGTAAAACTTCCGAAATCTCTGTATAAACAAAGAGTGACGTAGCGATCACTTCCGAGGCATGCGCAGACCGAAGCGCCCGTGCCGTCAGATCATTTTGTCATGGCTATGATTACAAGAGGTAAAAACTATATAAATTCTGTTCGTTTTCTCACACAAACCGCTCGTTTCGTGTCTTAGGCCATCATTGTGTACTTACATTTACGAGTCATTAAATCATGTTTAATTTTGACTTCTCTGTGCATGCTCTTTGAGGTGAACCAATTGAGGACCCCCTTCACCTCCAGTGTATGACTGACAGACAACAACGGTTTGACCAAAAAATGTCAACATTGAAAATACTGTGGAAACAAAGTGGATCCCCTTGAGGTAAGCTAAAACATATCAAAAAATAAATTCAAAGTGAACTATCCCTTTAAAGGCAGGAGAGTCTTTAAATCAGGGTTGGAGCAAATCTCTCCAGGACTGACACTGCAGCCCGTTATCATCCCAATGGCGTCATATACTGACGCTTTTGACATTTCGTCTACATCCAACGCACATGGCACCCTTTAGCGTCAATATGAGACGCAGATATATATGGGCCAGAAGGCGCCTCCTAGTGGTCTAACCCTAACCCTACCCCAGACCTAAACCTACCCATAACCGAACAAAGCTCTGTGCATGTTATATTGACGCTAAAGGATGCCATGTGCGTTGGATTTAGACGAAAATTCAAGTGTCACTAAATGACGCCCTAGGATGAGAACGCGTTGGCCTATCCCTGGGTTATATCCTTTATCTGTAAAAGTCATGTGAGTTTTTCCATTGTGCTTTAATCCTTGTCCTGAGAGCGAGCGAGTCTCTGTTTAACTTTACAGAAGGAGTTCCAGCACATCAAGCTCAAAGACTCTGACTAAAATAGAAATTTGTTGTTAGACCCTAAATGTAAGTTTCAAATTCTACATGTAAAACAAGTTAAGGTACTTCTATGAAAGCTGTCCTGTCGCTCATTGTGGTTGTTAGGAAACTAACTGACACAGAAGAGACTTTGTTACTCAGCACGTTAAAGCCCTATTCAAACAGGATTACTTAAACATGGAGAGTTGGGGTAAAGCAATTATTACCAGAGCTTCTCAGTGATTTTAGTCCCGAAATCTCAGTGATCATTACGAACAATGTTAGTAATGATTACGGCGACACTAATCGTTAGAGACACGAAAAATTTGCAGTATGTAATTGCCCATTACCATCATAATCCAAGAAGTATTTAATTAATAAATCGTCAACCAGACCTAACTGTTTTATATACACTCACCTAAAGGATTATTAGGAACACACACTTATACTGTGTTTGACCCTCTTTCACCTTCAGAACTGCCTTAATTCTCCGTGGCATTGATTCAACAAGGTGCTGAAAGCATTCTTTAGAAATGTTGGCCCATATTGATCGGATAGCATCTTGCAGTTGATGGAGATTTGTGGGATGAAGCTCCTGTTCCACCACATCCCAAAGATGCTCTATTGGGTTGAGATCTGGTGACTGTGGGGGCCATTTTAGTACAGTCAACTCATTGTCATGTTCAAGAAACCAGTTTGAAATGATTGCAGCTTTGTGACATGGTGCATTATCCTGCTGGAAGTAGCCATCAGAGGATGGGGACATGGTGGCCATAAAGGGATGGACATGGTCAGAAACAATGCTCGGGTAGGCCGTGGCATTTAAACGATGCCCGATTGGCACTAAGGGGCCTAAAGTGTGCCAAGAAAACATCCCCACACCATTACAACACCACCACCAGCCTGCACAGTGGGAACAATGCATGATGATCCATGTTCTCATTCTGTTTACGCCAAATCATGACTCTACCATCTGCGAGACTCATCAGACCAGGCAACATTTTTCCAGTCTTCAACTGTCCAGTTTTGTTGAGCTCTTGCAAATTGTGGCCTCTTTTTCCTATTTGTAGTGGAGATGAGTGGTACCCGGTGGGGTCTTCTGCTGTTGTAGCCCATCCGCCTCAAGGTTGTGTGTGTTGTGTCTTCTTCACAAATGCTTTGCTGCATACCTCGGTTGTAACGAGTGGTTATTTCAGTCTATCAGCTTGAATCAGTCGGCCCATTCTCCTCTGACCTCTCGCATCAACAAGGCATTTTCGCCCACAGGACTGCCGCATACTGGATGTTTTTCCCTTTTCACTCCATTCTTTGTAAACCCTAGAAATGGTTGTGCGTGAAAATCTCAGTAACTGAGCAGATTGTGAAATACTCAGACACCAACAACCATGCCACGCTCAAAATTGCTTAAATCACCTTTCTTTCCCATTCTGACATTCAGTTTGGAGTTCAGGAGATTGTCTTGACCAGGACCACACCCCTAAATGCATTGAGGCAACTGCCATGTGATTGGTTGATTAGATAATTGCATTAATGAGAAACTGAAAAGGTGTTCCTAATAATCCTTTAGGTGAGTGCATTAAAATATAGGTTATATGTGTTTGCGCCAGGGACGTAGGAGCAATTCTGAACCTGGGGGGGACAGTCAATGCTAGGGGGGTCCGGGGGGAAATTTAAAAAAAAAAATAAACCATGAAATGACACTTTCTGGAGAGTTTTGTGCAAAGAAATTGAGAAATTGAGTCTTACATGATATGTGAAAAACTGCAAGGTTAAGAGCATATACTTTGGATTGTTGTAGTATCAACATGCATTAGGGCATTTAGCATTTACATTACTGTTAATCAGTTCTGTACTGATTAACTTAAATAAATGGTTGATTTGATTTCCATTAACTATAAAATACTAAAAAATAAAATCAATCTATCCCTTGAGGAAAGGTTGCTTGGTAGCTAAAAGTAGGTCTAGCAATTATATTTCAAGTTTTTCACACAGATCAAACACAAATATGCTGACTGAATAGATTGCTAGTTTATTTTGAGTAGCCAGCTAGCAGCTCTCTTTGCAGTTTGCTGATAATCCGGTGTCTGAAGTAAAATGCTCAAAACATCTCCTGAGAAAAATACCAACCAAGTCTTGGTTATTTAATTTTGGTTTAGACTTATTTTCCCTACCTTGTCATTCAAGGCCAGGGCACTTTTGTACATTTCTGGAACTTTTGCGCGCTTCCACATCCCATGCAACTACAGATCTCCCAGGAACATAATGCCTACATTTTATCCATGTCACCTAGATGCGCGAGCGGTGCGCGATGCCGCGATCATGGTCGACTGACAGCAGCTGAAGAATACGGCCGTTTTTAAAAATTGAATTATGTATTTAAAAGTTGCAGAATGGATTAATTGGGAGACTCCAAAATTGGCAGAGATAGGCAGGCAATGCAAAACAAAATCTTACATTGGGAAATAGTCGGGGGGACAAAACTTAGATTTTCAAATGTGGGGCACGTATAATGGCTCCTACGCCCCTGGTTTGCGCACATGAAATCAGGAAGCAACATAACACACACATGACAACAGGAAGGTGACGGTGGTGAGTAAAACTTCTGTTTTGCTGAGATTTCTTAATACTGTAGACGCTCTGTGGTAAAATGACATTACTCCATCTACTAATCCCATCCGAATAGGGCTAAAGATGAACTACTTACTGTTCAGACTGCATTGATCTGGTTTCTCCTATGTGTGGACCTTCATGTGTAGCTTCAGGCCAATTTTAAAAGAGAAACTCTTTCCGCACTGATCACACGTGTGTGGTTTCTTTCTGGTGTGGATCCTCTCATGTTTTTTCAGATTTGATGATTGACTGAATCTCTTGTCGCAGTGTGAACACTTGTAAGGTTTTTCTCCAGTGTGGATCATCTCATGTGTTTTCAGAGTTGTTGATTTACTGAATCTCTTGTCACAGTGTGAACACTTGTAAGGTTGTTCTCCAGTGTGGTTCATCTCATGTCTTTTCATATCTCCAAACTGAGTGAATCTCTTGTCGCAGTGTGAACACTTGTAAGGTTTTTCTCCAGTGTGAATTCTCTGGTGCAGTTTTAATTTTGTAGTTGAAAAAAAAGTCTTCTCACACTCAAAGCACATGTACTCTCTCACACCAATGTGAATTTTCTCATGCGTTAGAACATATTGCAGCCGTGAAAAACTCTTTGCACACACAGAACATGCATACGGCTTCTCCTTTGAATGAACTGTCAGGTGTCTCTTCAGGTGATGTTGGAAAAGAAATGTTTTGTCGCACTGATCACAACTGAACGGCCTCTCTCCGCTGTGGATCCTCATGTGAATCTTAAAAGTTGATTTGTGTGGGAAACTCTTCCCACATTGATCACATGAGAACGGCTTCTCTCCAGTGTGGATCCACATGTGTTCCTTAAGTTGAATTGAAGTACAGAAACTCTTCCCACATTGATCACATGTGAACGGCTTCTCTCCGGTGTGTATCCTCATGTGTTTTTTAAGGGATGATGATTGACTGAAACGATTCCCACATTGATCACATGTGAACGGCTTCTCTCCGGTGTGGATCCACATGTGTTCCTTAAGTTTTGTTGAATTACAGAAACTCTTCCCACATTGATGGCATACATATGACTTCTCGACTGAATGAATTCGCATGTGAAGAACAAGTCTTTTTTCGCTTGTGAAACTCCTCCCACACTGAGTGCATGTCGTAGATTTCTTGGCTTTTGTTGTATTTTTTATTGTCTTTTTAGTCTTTGAGCGACTCAAGGGTTTTCCTCCAGGTTGGACATGATGTTCCTCCTCCACTTCACTCAGATCTTCTCTCTCCTCGATCTCTTCCATCAGGTCTGACGGGAAAGAAAAAATGTCTTTCTTTAATTTAATTTTCAGAGCATCAAAATAACTCAAAGACACTATATTTTATGGAGAGGAGTACCTAACTTAACTCAAACTGATTGAGCCATCTCTATCATCTGGTTATGCATGTCACAACACTTCTTCTAACATGGATGTCAGAAACGAATAAATCTCCCCAGCCATGTGAACTGTTTTTGGTGAAATTTTGCAAGCTAAGCATATTTTTTTTCCATATTACATTGTAAGAGCCCTAACTTTACAAAATGATGTTACTTGGTGCTATGAAAAAGCGTAAGTATATTTTTAATAATTTTTCAAAAACATGCTCAACCAAACGGTTGATTTGGCACATAACGGTTAACCCCACTTTTTGAGAACGGACATTACAATGCACTATTAAGGGCCAATCCCAATTCTACCCCTTACCCCTTCCCTTTCCCCTAGCCCTACCCCTTCGCCTTCCCCTTGACCCTTGAAACAGAGTGGCAATGCGTAGGGGTGAAAATATTCCCCTAAGAAATGGGACACCACTACGCCTCCGTTAAACGTCATTATAAGTCGTCGCTAGCGCCTACGTCACAGGAGATGCGCCGATGTTTATCACAACTTCCAAGATGCCGTCGACAGCTGCAGTTATCTCAGTTGCGTGGGTTACAGCTATTTTCTTGCATTTATCTTGTGAAGTTCGCAGGAAACAACGGAGACGAAAAAAATGTGTTGCTGGACTATCGTTAGCAAACTACAGTAATTTTAGCGATTTTTTTACAAACATTTCTGTGACGAAACTGACCGTAAATATGAACACAATATTGAATGTAACATAAAGCAAATCATTATTTGTCGTTACAATACTTATTAAAGCCACAAATACTTAAATGTATCTGTCTCCTTTGTCGCTTGGGCAGCCAGCCTGGGTTAGCAGTGACACTTCTCATACCCCTTCGTTTGAAGTGTGCTCCCGAAAAATCTTCGTTTGAAGGGCTATCTGGCCCTTCTCCCTAGCCCTCCCCCTCCAACCAAAAGAGAATTGGGACAGCCCTACCCCTTCATGTGGACGCGCAAAACGGAGGGGAAGGGGAAAGTGAAGGGGTAAGGGGTAGAATTGGGATTGGCCCTAAAACTTGGTTCAAGTATGCTTTGGAATAAAGACCTGAGTTTAGTCTTGTTTTAAAGAAAACACTCAGCAGATTAAGTAAAAGCACGTTTGCTATGAGACTTGCAGCAGGAGGAAGTTCAGCAGAAAAAGTTCAGTTATGGGGAAGCGAGAATTGCAAAAGATCTGTGAAGGGTTTCAGGAAGCCGAGGGGCCTAAACCGACTGTTTGCTGTATAACCGTCTTGCCAAATGCTGTATTTTTATTATTTTATATATGCACATGGTTTGTGCTCAGGGGAAAACCATGTGAGGTCTGAAGGGTTTAATGTTACAGTTTTTTGAGCTGCCGGTCATGTAATCATTTTACCATTTAATTACAGATTATATTTGTAATTTTACATACATTTTTATATAATTATATATAACAGAAAAATACTGTGTGAAAAATACAATCAATTTCTGTAAAAAAAAAAATGTGAATGACTGGAATTTGTCTTTAATGTAACAATACCTAAAATAACAGCTGCATTTTTATTTTGCAGATATTATTTGTAATTTTACAGTGTTTTGAGTACAATTTAAAATGAAAGAAAATGATCGGCAAAAATCACAGTTATTTTCTGTGAAATTAGGATTTTTTTTTATAGTGTGGGGTGTGAACACACACACATACACACACACACACACACACACACACACACACACACACACACACACACACACACACACACACACACATAGCCCAGATAACATCTCTTAGCACTTAACTGAAACTGAAGCACAAAAGTTTAACCTATAGTCGGCTACACTGAGATATCAAGACTAAGAAAAGCGTTGAACATTCAATATGATGAATACATCAAACTATATGATTACTAGAAATATACTTGATTACATTTCATCAAATGATATTAAAGATATGAATGATTTAATAAAACATAAACAAGATTCAAGAAATATAAAAAAATCTGATTCATCGGCCTCTGTTTGAATAAAAAAAAGGCTTAGCAATAAATAAAACGGACACCGTTAATGAAGCCTTCGCTGTGCAACCGTAAGTATGGTTTCAATTGAAAGCTTTTTTAGCAGAATGTATTATTGTCATGGTGAAAAACACCATAGTTATAAAGAGTTTCAATATCACTCCTCTTAGAAATGCCTAAAACATTTGAGAATCTATCAATATTTCTTCAAATGTGCAGACAGGAGTGTTTTTATTTCCTCAATGGATGCAGCAAAGTCTCATTCATAGTAAACTCATAACTCCTGACTGAAATTAAGACATCATTGTCACTATAAGATTTTCAGAATTAAATAGAGGTCAAATGCTAAAGCTTGAGTCTTAGAACTTTTTAATGATGTATAGTTTGTTGAGGTGATTACAATATTTTACATTAAAACTAATTTCGAACTGATGTAAGAACGTTTCAGTGCAATATGAGAGTTTCTCAAACCTTGCTTTAACAAACAAGAACATTTGAACCAATTTCATAGTTGAACTGTTTATCTAAAAGTGCTTGAATGTTTCTAACATGAATGTTCTCCAGCATCATGAATGAATGAAGAATAAACACCAACCTCTTTGTTCTTCAGGATCTTCAGTGTGTTTCATTCTGCAGGGTTCTGGATCACTCATGTTCTCACTGTCCTCTTTAATAAACTGCAGATTTCAGCTCTTCCTGCTGCTCTGATGATCGTCTTCACTTATAGGCTGTGGGAGGAGCTTCACTGATGATGCGTTTATGGTAGGAGGAGCTTCACTGGTGATGTAATTGACACAGGAGGGGCTTCAAATGTGGTGAATAGCTGATGTATGGGATCAAAATCCTGCCAAATGCATTGCGGCCACTGATCAAAAAATAATTAGTGTGATTAAACATTTTTTAAAATATATTGCACAAACTGCAAAATTATCCGAAAAGCAAACAATGTGGTCACGGATCAAAATATAAGTGTGAATCAAAAAATAACAAGCAACTTTAAATATTACGCACGAAAATTATGTTCATGTTTTTGGCTCTTCTTTCCGTGTTCTGCGCTTGCTCTTCCAAATGTTGCGGTTCGAGTTTCATGTAAATTAGGGCGACTTAAGCGTCACCATTGGTCCACAGTTGTAGATTGACAGCTCCTCCTCTAGCCAATCAATCGAAGAGGAGAGTTGACGTCACTCCAATGCGATTGACGCTACTGACGTAATTGTGTTGTTACAGGTATTTCTTTTTGCCTGTAGAACACTTCTGTAATAAACCACATTTGAAACTTGTTTATTAAGAAAGGTTTTCTATTTTCTATCATTTCGATCCAATTATTGGCAATGGCGCCCCCGCTTGCTGGGAAGATGCCGTGCACAGAAGCGATGTCATGGGGTCTGATTAGTTTACGTATTGCGTCTTTTGCGCGCTCGAGGTCGTTATTTCAATTGTAGGCGCACGGGAAGCGCACTCATTACTGTCTCACATTGCCTTCCCATGATGATTTAAATATATCAAAACGGACTGATAAATATGAAATTGATTTTGACGATCTTTTAGTTGCCCAGCTCCAGAAGGAAGAAAAAGTCGACCTTTGACCTTGCAGCACGACCTGATCTGGCAGAGTGGAAGAATGATAGCAACAATACAGAAAATGGAATGACTGAATAAACGACTGATGCATGTTGTAAAAAAGTTTATGCTAATGAGTGAACTTAAATGTCCTAAATGTGAAATGTCGGACATGCAGAAGAGAATTGAATCTTTTGAGATGCAATCCTGCTCGATCGGCTGTCTGAAATGTTATTTTTAATTTGCATTGTCTTTCCTTTGCGCTGTTATTGCATAAGCTATGCAGATGTTGCAAATGTGACCTTTAGCATAGATAAGGTAACGCTTCTTAGGAGGCCATTGTGAGGCCAGAAGATTAACGACTTTTGTGTTCAACAACAATTGTAAATATTTCCTGCTTTTTGCATTCCTTGTAAGGAGTTACAACAATAAATCAAAATGAATAACATATCACCCATTTAAAACTAATGAGTTAAGCCACTACATGACTACATTCTACTCATCAATCAGTTTACAACATCTGATTGTATTTTCTTTCGCTGTTCTCAACATAACAATCAGATACAACTGAGCAGAGAGAAGCTAATGTTAAAAAGTAAAAAGCCCAACTATTCTGCCCTCACAGAGCGTGACTGTGCTCCATTAGACAGATAGTGAACAGATTGAAATAAAGTCCCAAGGCGTAACTTTTCTTGGTGATTATTCTTTATACTGTAAAACTGAAATACAAATAATAAAACATGTAAATATATATTACAGGAAAACAAATACAATAATACTGTTGGATAACAGTCACTGATTGCTCTTAGTTCAAACCATTCTCTACCAAGTTCGTTTCAATGTTGTAATCAGTTCAATCACTTGTATTCAATAATCATAACTTAATTATAGTGGAATAAACACGTTAATTACTTACAGTCAAATGTTTTCCCAAGGCTGAACTGTTAGAAGATCGCATTTCTAAGCTGTGCTGCGATGCTTTCCCTTCTCTATTGCATTCTGAACATGTCATAACATATCCGCAATTGTGCTATCAGATCGCTATTTCAAAATAAAAGTCATGGAGAAAAATTCACAATATAATGAATGCAATAGCAAAATAAAATACACAAAAAAAATACCATTTAAATTTTTTAAAGTCAGCACACCTTCTAAAGCAAACACTTATCACAACAATGGTGACATCAAACTATACTATTGTTTTCAATAAATAATCAACATTTTAACCTCAGTTAATTTTCAATAAGAACTTCTGTATATCAGAAATTAAGTAAATCTGGTTAGTGAAGCTGGTAATGCTGTTTGTGGAGTTGTGTGATCAGATCTTGAGAGATTTTGTGTATTTTATCTTCAGTTGATTTCATTTAAGGCTGTGGCTGGAAGTAGTTCTTGTGTTTCTCTTTTCTTCAGTGACTCTTCTGCTTATTAAAATCAGGTGTTCATCAATAATGCTCTATCATTATTCAATCAATTAAATATCGCATTAACACCTACACTGAGGCTATGTTTACACGGAAACGATTCTGAAGAGAAAACGCAAAAGTGGCGTTGCGTCATCACTTTTTATTCTGCGTTTAGACGATCGATTTGAGTGGGAAATCCGCGTTCATACAGTGACGCAAAAGTGTTTGAAATTCAATGTAGTATGCACTTCAGGCGGCTAGGAGTGCATACTACAACAACACCAAGTCCACGCGCCTGCGTACAACTTTAACCGTCAAGCGACTTTTGTGTTTTTACCGTTTACACTGGAACGCGGCGGTCGAGCGTTTTTAAGATTTTTCTACTCTGGAGGGTGATTTCACTTTTTCGCATTTTTAAGCCTCAAAAATGCCGTCGCCGAGTAAACGAAAGGCACATCCGATACAATATTTTTACGTTTTCACATGCGAGCGTTCTCATGTAAACAGGGCCTGATATGTGTTGCATTTAACAGCCTGCAGTGTGCACAGTGAGCAGTGTTCAGTTCATCTGGGCAAACCCATGTGGGGCCACCATGGAAACCAGGAGCAAAACTGGTTGGGTGCCAGTTAGATAGCACAGGTGTTGGTTGGGAGTTTGTTGGTGTAACCCAGACTCAAATTATGTGTGTGCGTAAGACTGGAAAACTGGAACTGGTTGATGTAATCAGTCTGACCAGTGTCTTCTGAAGACAAATGGCATTGCAGATTAACATTTGACACCCTACCCCCTTTTCTCTGAGCATCTTATCTACATCCTCTCTCTCTCTGAGTCAGTAAATTGAAAACTCTCACAAGAATATATATGTTTTTAATGTGAATGTGATCATCTTTAAGGATTGTTTAGAATCATTTTGTGACTGGTAATAATGTCTCATTTCCAAAGTAATAAAAGAAAAGGTAATAAGGTTTTTAAGAATATAGAAATATCTTGAACACAACGAAGGATGTGTCTTTTTACTTAACACCTTCTGCCTTGTTGTCTGAATGCAAATTACAACCAAGCAAATGGTCTGCCCCCAATAAACATAGTAGGGGGATTCAGTAACTTTCCATTATAACCTGGTGATTTACATATCAGGTGAGGTCTAACTAGAGTTCGGGGCTGCCTTTCTGTACTCAGATAAGCCCATGATGTTGTGTCTTCTAGCCTCAGCTCATGTTGCCTTGGGTAAAGTTCTTTGTTCTTTGAAACATTTAATGGTTTGCATTGATTATCTTGTGGAATTGTAATAATACATTTACCTGACATAATAAATTGTTATATTTGGCTATTCTAACAGACTTTGACTTTATTTTCATTAGAGTTAAAAGGAATAGTCAAGTATCAACGTATTAAATGATGCACAGATATCATAAACCTTTTCATTTTATGGAGTCAGATGAAACGAGTTAATACATAAGATTAAATGTGTTGCATTTAATTAAAATTTACTTTGCCGTGGAAAAGACGGAACACGCTTGAGACCTTCACCGCGAATCGAATTCCGCGATTTGGATCGATTTCGTGGCACGTTTTAAATGTGTGTGTATTTTGCATATCCCCCCTTCCAGTAAAACTGTTTATGTGAAAAAGTTAGACATAAAAGAAAATTTAGGCAAATAAAATGCTTTATTAATCATATTAGTAATATGCAAATTACTGCAGTAAAAAAAATCCAATTAGATAGTTAGAATCTGGACTGCAGATGTAGATCTTCCAATCGAGTGCGATCAGCGGCAATGCTGACTCCGCCCACTGGGAGACGCGGTAAACTGTCTGAGAGAGAGAGCTAAACTGGAAAAACGCATGTGATCAAAGCTCCAGGAATTTGAGATAAACGATCTAATTTTGAACAAACATTTAGTATACAACTACTAAACAATGAATATAAAAGTTAGTTTAAGTTTAATTACGTGTCAATTTGAGAAGTATTGTGAAAGAGCTTACCTTTTATGGCCTTGTTGATCCTGAACGTCGAGGTAAAGTTACGTTAGTTGAGTCATCGCTATAGTTTGTGGTGTAATCTGGAGAAAATGTTAACAAAACACTGTTAATTCAGAGGAATCGGTGAGTTGTGGACTTATTTTCATATATGTGATGAATTATAATGGTGTGTTGTATTTCTGTGTGTTAAAATAAAGTGATGTTCACTGTTGAAGTATGGCCTATGTTTTACCTGAACGCTAAATGTTGATGTGAAGAGTAAATATTGTTGAAACAGAGGTTAGAAATGAGTTTCTAAAAATGTTATCCTGTACAGGTCGATTTTTGTTGTTTGTGTAGATCGTTTGGATTTTCTGCTGTGATTGTGCATGGTGATGATTCATCAAGCCGTGCTGAGAGAAAAGAAAGATGGCGAGCCTCCCGGACTGAACTTGGATCTTTTACTTCTTATCTTCTCATCCATTTGTTGTCGTTTTTCTTCCTGAAATCTAATGGACTCAGGTATGTTTTTCTGAACTGAATTTATCGAATGGACTCTATGTTTTCCTGAACTGAAGCTATCTACTGGGCACAGGTATATTTTTTTCTTAACCAAGTTTATTGAATGGACTGAGGGGTGTTTAATCTTTATTTTTTCAGTTTTGTGACCTTGTTTACAATTTGTTTGTATATAGTTTTGCTTGACCCCAAAGGAGTAGGATGTAGCAGCATTGCACTTAGTAGGTGGTCGGTAGACCTGAAAAATAAATAATTTATTTTAATATAAATATGGAGATACAAGGTTTCCATCCCAACAGCAACTATCTATCGAACAGAATCCATATTTCAGCCTATATCTCCATATTTTTTCAAAAAATAAAAAACAAAATGCTATTGGTCACACGTTACATCTGCCAATGTGTTTTGCAAATATTTAACCAATGAAAAGCTTTAAAAGAGCTTGGAAATTATTTTGGGGAAAAAACAGGTTAAAAAAGTTTTGGACATACAAGGCTTCCGTCAGACAGTGATGATTTGTGTGTTATTACTTTTATTAACATTAATGTTTTACCAAAATTCAAGCTCAAATGGAGTTTGACCAGGGTTTTTGACCAGTAATTGTATTTCCAATCCACCCAGAGAGTTTCTTTTATGAAAGATTCCACTAGGTGGCGACAAATAATGTTGTTGACCGAATCATTGGCGTGTAGAATAAAGATTGTGTTGGTGTTCACATTTCAAAGTACAATGCTAGGAGTTAAAAAAAGACTGATTGTAAAAACAAAGTGAGATTTCCAACACTTGAGTATTTAATGATTAGCAATAACGCCTCTTTAGACAGACTCTGCTTTTCTTCTTCCCCCAAGGCCATGAGCTCTGGTCCCTGAACACAGATAGATCCACAGTGTTTTTATGAATAAAACATGTTTTATGAATGATCTCATGTCATTGACAATACTTATCCATTTCTTAGAAAAACAGAACACAGAATGTTTTATGTGTATTTTCTTAGAATAGCTCAAAAGATATAAAAAATGCTGGCCAAACTGTTACAGACAAGGCAATTACAATTCCAAAAATGCAGAGGATTTTTAGAAATAGGCTCATTTTACAACTCCCCGGAGTTAAACAGTTGGGTTTTACCGTTTTCGAAACGATTTTCTGATATTTAGAAGAATATCAATATCCAGACAGTTTCTGGTCTCATTGACTTCCATAGTATTTATTTTTTCCTACTATGGAAGTTTTTGAAAACACATTGGAAACCGAAATATACAAGAGGGATTTTCTTAACCTGGAAATTGTATCCATTGTCATTGTAACTTTTATTATTATTATTATTATTATTCCAATAGTATCATGGCTTTCTCAATGTCTAAAACCAGTATGGCCAAACTAACACACACGCGTTTCTGCCTAATTGTTGTCTTTTGTCCTCTTTGAGTTCTTGTGCTTTCAGAACTATTTTAATAACCTTTAGTCTAATTTATTTGGAGCTAGTGTGACTTCATATTTCAGTAGTATTTTCAGAGCGATGAACTCACTGTTGAGGTTTTGGAAACCGATGAGTGTGAGAACTCAGTTAGTTTAACCACACATGCTATTAGAGAAACACGTGTGGTTAAAGAAGAAAGAAAGAAGAGGAACTGACATCTTAACCCACACACAACTGATCATCTCTGAACCCAGTTTGGACTGAACCTGGTAACACAAAAATACCTTATTTAAATTTTAAAATGTATATTTTATTCACTCACATAAGTACGTAAAAACATATTAATGTTGCAAGAAAAAAATAACTTTGATATATTGCAGATCCTTTATGTATTCCTTAAAAAGTTTTTGATGTTTATATTGTCAGTGAATTAAATATGACTATATAAATGAATATTCATATAGCATAGCATAGCATATCAGCCAGTTATAGCCCATGTGTGGCCCTTGTCTTTAATCCAGATCATTGTTTGCAGCATGAGGACTGAGGGAAAAGGGGCTTTGTGGACCGGAGCTGAGATGCAGACACGCTCTGTCAGTTTAAATCTAGATTGAAAACACATCTTTTTAACCTGGCGTTCACATATAACATTATCCTATTATTCAAGATTATTGGGCTGCATAAAACACTTCCTATAACACCCGATGTACTCGCTACATCATAAGACGGAGGGCATCTATGCTAATTTTAGTTTTTCTGTTTATTCTGAGGTTAACTGTAATCAGCCAGACCCGGGCCGTACCCAGATCAGATGGAGGACCTGAGCCTAGACATGACAACAACACATCCCTGAAGTGCCCGCGGATCTTGTGTAGGGTTGAGTATCGTTTGAATTTGAACGATTCCGATTTCGATTCCGGTTCCTAACGATTCTCGATTCCGATTCTTTTAAGAGGCAGGGTCAAAAAAGTTTAGCTAACCTTGCTAACCAACGCTTTTTCTGAAGGAAATACTCCTTTTGTCACAAATTTAGCATTTTGCCGAGATTTCGTTATTTTTAGAAAAGTGAAGCCACACTTTGGCCCGCCGACGTAAGGTACTCATGTTCGACTCGCGCGGTTATGCCAACACTTCCGGTAGACGCTTCGTTGGTGTTGTTCAGCGGTTTCTTCTTCCGCTCGGCGGACTGTGAATATCGAAACTAGGAATCGAAATTGTAACTTTTGAACGATTCCGGGAAAAACGAAAAGTTAGTCTCGGTTCCAATCGATACTCGATTCTCGATACCCAACCCTAATCTTGTGTTAAGTAGACTCACCCCTGTGAAGGCCTCATCGGCCCTGAATCATAATCACACACTGTTTATTCGGTGTCCAGAGGAGAACTGGCCCCCGACTGAGTCTCGGTTCTCCGAAGGTTTTTTCTCCATTCTGTCACTGATGGAGTTTTGGTTTCTCGCCACTGTCTCCTTTCTTCGCTATAAAAGCGCAGACGTCATGACTTCCTGACGCTTTGACCTTTTCCTTCCAGTGTTGTGACCCCGAAGCGCCATAGCGAGGTGTGAGTGTGACCTTTTGTTTCTGATACACACAGACGTTTACTTTGCTGATTCTATATTAATTTAATTTAATTTATTGATTCTATGTTAAACGCAGGGGAAATCCGTGAGGCAAGTGTGTTAGCGCGCGGGTGATTTAATGGAGCTAGTGTCGAGCGCTGGATGCCGTGTTTAACTTATAGCCATGACCAGAGGTGTGTGTGTGTGTGTGTGTTAGATTGTTAGGTTTGGCTCGTTGCTAACATTTTATGTATAATTATCAGATTATCTAACTATTCTGTAGTTTGAGTGTGTGTGACGCTGTGTGGGGTTTGCGTCATTTTATTTGGCAGATTATTGTGGCGTCCTGTGCATGTGGACCAGCTTCCTAAAATAATTAACATCTTAACTGCGTTCATATTCAGAAAGTATCTAACCTTTTTGGAATTGGATGATTTTATCCATTAAATGGTCATAAAATGTCATGTGACCTCGTATAGATTAAACACGGAGAGTTTAAGCTAGTTACACACTAGAGCCCGACCGATAAAGGATTTTGAAGGCCGATACAAATATTTTTGGGTTTTAAAATCCGATATATCGGCCGATATTGTTTTTTTTATTAAATATTGTTGGTTTTCACACACGTGTAAAAGAAAAGCTAACTTTTCTGCACAAGATACGTTTGATACTTTTTCTCTATGTCTAAATGTTCACTCCTCGCAAGTCTAACTTACATTTTACGATGCAGGGACTGTAACTGGAGATATGCGAGTTATAAATACAGTAATCATTACTTTATTTAGGCAGAAGAAGTTCATTGTGGTTTCCAAGCTCTTTAATGTTAACGCTAGCGGTCTTCCACTGATGATAGTGGCGTTAGCTAGCTTTGTGGTTAGCTAGTCTATGATGAGCCATAATTAAGCAATAGATGAAATCATACTGCAAGTTGTAAAACATACATTTTCAATACAACAGGCCAAGGGGAGATGATTAAAGCGTGTTTCGTCCATTTTTATTTTATTTTTTAAATATTCATTTATCGGCCATTATAACTGCCGATACCGATATTATGGAAAATGCCTAATATCGGCCGATATATCGGTCTGGCTCTACTACACACATTATTATAATCTTCAATGACTTTACTCAACACATCCCGTTAGCCACTCTCAGTGCTGCGTAATACAAATGTAAATGACTACCTTCTGACCTCTGAACCACACATGTTGTTTTTGTTTTGTGATGGTTGTTCATAGTTAAACTTAGCAATGTTCACGTACTTAAGAAGTTCACTTACTGTGAATGTTTAATGGGATGTGTTTAGTAAAGACATGGAAGATTGTAATTGTGTGTGTGTGTTGTTAGCTTAAACGGCTAGTTCACCCAAAATAATCTTTCATCATTACATGTGATCCCTAATATATATATATCTCGTTTTTTTTCTCTCGATATTTAGGAAACAAATGAACGGCTGTCGCATGTCTGACACTTTAAATAGTGATGGTGATGGTATGACCCCAGTGGATGAATCAATGCCTTCTGAAGCCAAACGAGATACGTCTGTATGATACAATAAAGGAAACCTAAAAATGCTGAATTACCCAGAACTCACTGCTTCCAGTTTACTGTCATGCGAGCACTTACGAAATGGGTATTGTAACATGTGAATTGTGAAATCGTGTGCGAGAAGTGACCAACACTTCACATGAACTCGCGTCACCCTGTGCTTCTGGTGAACACACTTATAGATTGGAAGCTGATTTATAGTTTTTTGAATTTATAGTTTTCTGAACTTATAGTTACACTGTAGTTTTTTTTTTTAATATTTAAATTTATTTGTTTTTCTTACACAAAAATAAAGTGAGTTAAAAATTCATATTCACACACATATCGTAAGACATTTATTCATCCACTGGGGTCTTGTGAACTTTTGTCACGATCGTTGTGCCGTTGTTTTTTTAAGTGTCAATCAATGCCATTGTATGGACTCAAAGATTGTCATGTGTAATAGCATGAGGATGTTTGGGGTGAACTATCCATCTCAGGACATTGTGTTTGTCTATACTTGAAGATCAAATGACATTTTATGTCCAATTAATGCAGAAAACCAACCAATTCCAAAAGGTTGAGGGTTCACAGCTTTTGCAGGCCGTTATATGGGCAGGAATGGAGTCTGGTTTTCATCTAGTGAAAAAGTTCAGTACTGTGCCCAAACCTAACATTTGAAACACAACTTGTTCAGAGTTTTGGCTTTGATTTTATTGCATTTTTGGAGTCGCCAAGTTTTGAAAAAAAAAATATTTTATATAAAATATGAATAATTAAATTTGTACATTTTCATATAGCCTACCCAAACTTTTATTTTAACTTTTTTTTCTGTTTCACTTTCTTCTACAAAAATGTCTATAATCCAAGATTGCTGCCACCATATGACGTCATAATATGCAAATTAGATGGGGAAATTTAATCCCTACATAAACTTTGGGTCATCCTTAATATTTCTCTAATTTACAGAAAGTATCTATCTTGTTTCGCTTTTAAGATATAGTCTTTTGAGATTAAAATGTGAAAATCGATCGTTTAACCCTAAAGGGTTAAAACAAGACCAATATTACATCTGTATATTCCAAAGCATTCTTGAATTACAACCATTTAAGTTCAGATTGTGCATTTTCATGTTTATTCAGAATAGGGCGCGTGACACAGAGGTTAATATTATGTTTTTAATGTTTTTCCTTCATGCAGTAACAAACATACACCCTCATTTGCTCTCTTAGATTAGTTAAGTACATTAACATGATCATTTTATGTCTCTTGTAAAAGTGTTTGCAGAGTATGTGATCACTAGTTTTTGTCATGTGCTTTATTATTTTACCACTTCTTGATTTTCTTTCCTCTCAGACCTGGATTTCCTCAGACTGTATGTGTTGAAAGCTGATGTGGGACGTGTGGGCTGTTTTTTGCCTCTTCTTTCATTGGTTTTCGTGATTATGTCCTCTCAGATCTGGACTTCCTCTCAGGCCATGTCTTTCGAAAGCAGGTTTGGGATGTTTTGGCACTTTTTGACTCTATCGAGGATTTTTCATCCATTGGTTCTCAATGTTTTCCTCTCTGGCCTGATTGACATGTCGTCTGTTTATAGTTTTTTGTTTGTTGGGTTTTTTGCCTCTTTGTAATATTTCTGCTTTTGCCTACTGGCTCCTCTTGCATTTTAAAATGTATTTTCTGTCACTTTTTTTTCTTTAAATACTGTTAATGAATTGTTAACCTGATACCTGTTTTAAACAAATGTCTAATTTTTTTAATCTAATTTTTCTTAATTTCTTTTTCCATTGAGTAAAAAGTCTGTTTGCATTATGCTACATATAGGGATGCTAATAGATATCGGACAATAGAGTAAATAGAAAAACGTATTTATATTCTAACTTTATACTGTAGAATTAAAAACTGTAGAATTACAGCAAATGTCTGGAACCATATATCTCTAATATATAATGAAGAGGAGGAGCTGATGATGTTTAAAGGAGGAGCTGTAACTATATATAATAAAGAGGAAGACAGACAGAAGCGGACAGAAGCAGAAATGTCTGATCAGTGTGATCTGTGTCTGCTGGGACTGATCATTCTCTCTTCACTTCTCACAGGTAAAGAAATCTGTATTTTCTCTAAACACATTTAGTGGAATTAGTCTGGAAAGAGTTGATTTGAACATGCTCAGTTTATTCTTGCACACATTCACGTTGTGATCTCAGAGTTGTGTATTGATACACACAGATCATACTGTATTATTCCTGATACTGGACATAGTGTCACTCAAACATCTGATGATGAAGAATGATCTTCATATTAAGTGTGTGTCAGTGATTTGAACAGCTCTCTGATAAACACTCATAGTTTAGTGAAGTATTTTACTAAAAATACTTAAACGTATACATAAAAAGTATACATTGTCCCTTTAAGGTTGCAGTTATTGATGTGTGAATCCATAATGACTCCAGTCGTAGTTCAGGAAAACTCTTCATTGGTTCATGATTAGTTCAGGCTTTTAATCAGAGATGTAAAGTCCAGGTCAGAAAGTAAAAGTCCTGCCATATGTTTATTCCACTAATTAATTCTCTCTCCGGCTGGAAAACTGATCGTTAGCAAATCCAGGTGATTGAACAAAATACTGAGGAGGACTTTTACTTTCTGAACCTGGACTTTACACCTCTGCTTTTAATTATCATTAGATCATGTTGAATTAAGTATTAATTCAGGTATTAGTACATGATTATTCATATACCCTTATTGTAAAGCGATACCGGAAAAATACTGTATGATTGTAATCTTCTGCTTGTTATGCTGGTATGGTTTATGGTTTAATTTATTAATAAATATCATAATGATCACTGAGATCTACTGTGTTTCAGGCACCAGTGGAGTGGATCATGTGTTCATCAGTTCTGGTGTAGATGTCCGTCTGTCCTGTAATAAAACTCTTTCTGACTGCAAATCAACTACATGGATCTATAACAGCTTCAGAGGTTCACAGACAGTTGAACTGATTACTTTAGGGATAAAGAATGAAGACACAGAGAGACATGAGAGACTGAGTCTGGAGTCTGACTGCTCTCTGAACATCAAGAACGTCACAGAAGAAGATTATGGATTATACAGATGCAGACAATTTGTGAACGGACAGAAACATGGACCTGATGCACATGTTTTTCTGCATGTTCTTCATGGTAAGTTTATGATTATATGGTCAATTTAAAAAGGGCAGATTCTTTATTAAACTCAGATGATGATTGAAGAGTCTGTGATTTGTGTCTTGTGTTCAGTTTCAGTGTCTCCATCATCATCATCATCATCTTCATCCTCACAGACTGAGATCAGTCCAGGCCGCTCTGTGACTCTCTCCTGTCAGTTGTATTCATATATTGGATACTCCTGTGATGATTTGGTCAGTTATGAGGGATTTGAGCTGTTGTGGGTGAATCAGGCTGGTGTTGATCTGAAGACAGACTCCAGATATCAGATATCACCATCATCATCATCAGATCACTGTAACATCATCACTCTGACTACAACACTCCTGAATGAAGATAACAACAGACAGTGGAGATGTCAGCTTACTCAGAGAAATCAACTCCAGGCCTCAGTCACATACACTGTCAAGTATTCAGGTGAGAAACACTGTAGTTTTCTGACAGACAGATCAAACTCTGAGAAGACAGACAATAAATGAATACAGGAATAAATGATCCAGTAACATCTCTCTTCTCAACTGCTGCTACTGTAAGCTGTGATGATTGAACACAAACTGCATGTGAAGATATGATGTTAATGTCCTACAGGTGATGTGTCTGTGTTACACCCCTGGAAAAGGGGAATAATGAGTAATAAGACACACGACACAGTGTTACTTCCCTCACGTCCAGTGTAATAATGCATTTCTTTTACAAGAACAATAATTCAACAATACATAATATTACTAAATGCAAAATCAGCACTGAATAACCACTTAACACTAACCGTCAAAATATCACTGCAAAGTACAAATGCAACTGGTTACTTTAAATACATGAAACAGGCTGTATTATTCCTCTTGTATACGTAGAAGCTGACCAGACTAATTAACAAACATGAATTTTACTATTCTAATATTTAACACACACTGATAGTTTAGCAATTAACATCACTCTTCTCAACTACACAAAATAATATAACATATCCCAGTTATTTCTCATTAAACACATCTTCTCTTTAAGTGCTGAACACTGCACATGAACCGTATAGTTGTATATCCCCACCATGCGAAGTACACCACGTGATGCAGCTAGCAAACTAACTATAGGCCTATTTCACAAAAATGACCGCCGAGACCGGAAGTAGAGTAAGCTTTTTCCCGCTGACAGCGCTAGCAGTTGCAGCCGAGACTAAATGCCGGTCCGTCCCATTGCTTACCTTTTAATCTTTCAAACCAAAGAAGAAACAACCACATGTATCACTTCACAGCTTTTCGTGTTTAACAACAGGCATAATCAACCGATTCCCGATCAACAGGCGAACTCTTTAACACAAACTTTGAATTGCAACCACATGAAAATAAGGTGCAACAATATATGAGCAGAGTAACTTTTAAATAATACAGTTTTTGGCATGTTATTGTGCTAATGCATCATCTTATGACTCTTTAACTTGAAGACCAAAGTAATCGCTAATAGATCATTCAATCAGGAAATCACAGTGCTATTACTCTCTCTTACCAATATTCTATATATGGGCATGAATTATAATGTGGTCTTCGCCCTTTTTTTAGTACTTCTCTGCATTAAAGCAAATTTCTTATTTTCCATTTTTAACCCCCTGAGCCCGACGGCGTCGTCGACGATGCCACACGTCACCTCCGATAAAAGTTTACATAACTCGATGACAGATTTATCGATTTTCTTACCGTTTTTTCCAGCAGAAAGCTAACGAGCTAGCCATCACGGGGGTGTCTTTCGGGTCTTTCTAGCCTTTACAGAAGGTTTTCTATCCAGCCTGGAACTTGTGCTTCCTTTCAGAGGTTTTCAGCAATAAATCCAAACGCTTTATGTCAAACTTTGATAATCTTGAAGCCCATAATTCATAAATATTCGGTCATTTTTGCCGCTAGCTTGATGCTAGCGGACATCCTGGATATCACGTGATGTTTTCACGTGATGGTTTTTGACCAATTACAGGCTGATCCGTTGTAAACATTGGTGTGCGTCATTACGCATGAACCAAGCGCTGATATAGTGTAGAGAGATAGAGAGACTCACGGAGACGCGCGATTCACAGAGAAACACAGCGAAATGGACGTAAATAAAGCGCTGGTCTATTTTGGTGCATTGCAGGATGAAGGATTTTCAGGAGAACAGAGCTTTTTGACAGATGAGGAACTAGATTACCAGGATAGACCCAGCTGAAGTGCCATTTATTTATTTACTGTAAAAAAGTATTATAGTAGTATAAATGTATTATAAAAGAATAAAAAGAACATAATAAATAAAAGAATAAATAAAATAGAAATGCAAAACCTGTGATGTGGCCCTCTGTGTGATTGCTGATAGGAACTGTTTTGAGGCTTGGCACCAGTGAATTTCATGAGGCCCCAAACGCCTGGACTTCTTTTGGAAAAATGTCAATATTTTTTGTTCTGTACAAGTTATAATGTTTATTCCTGTGCTCCAGGACTCCAAAGACATGAACAAACTATTTTCCAGAGGAAAATTGCTTAGCTTTTATTTATTTGTGTGTGATTTCAATAAATAATTGAGTGATTCCATTTCCGATTTATTTTTTCATTTGTCTTTATGGTCCCATAACTTATTTTACATTCAGGTGACATCAATGTAACACAAATATGCTGAAAGTTCAATTTGTCCTGAAAAAAAAGAGGTGTGTCAATTGTCTGTGCACCAAAGGGTTGATATTTTACAAGCTTTTTTAGTAAATGACACCAGACGGAAAATTTATTGTAAAAATACCCTTAGGTCTCAGAGGGTTAACACACAGAATTGCTTATAAGGAGCTTTTCTGGCTTTACACATTATCATAACCATTAAATCTGAACATTCATCTTCTGCAGCTCCAGTCTCTTCAACAACACAGGCTCCAGTCAGATCAAACTCTGAGAAGACATCAAGCAGAACTACAGCAACAGCTCCTACACAAGGTTCATGATCACATGACCACTGGCACACATCATCACTCTCGCTTCAGTGGTTCGCACTGGCTCTCACACACTGGCTTACTGGCTTAAAGATAAGAAATATCTTGACATTGTGTGTTGAACTGAACTAATGTGATCCACAGCTCCAGTTGATCCGCCATCATTAACTGCTGGATTATTATACAGAGGTACGACACGTTGATTTAGACGGACAGCTTTCTAACATTACACTATCAGTCCGTCTGTAAATGCTTCATCAATAACTGTTGATAGATGAAGACCCTTGACTTCAGTCATGTCCAGTTTCTCTTCTTCCTCTCATGTTTCCTGCAGTGATTGTGAGTATTGTTGAGATGGCAGTGTTTGCTGCTCCTACTGTGATTCTTCTTCAGATCATCTGTGCAAGAAGAGCTGGTGAGTTTGAGCCGCACACACTCTGAAGATTCACACTCGTCTGATCTGAACATCTGCAATCATGATAAACACACACCAGAGGTCAGGCAATGCTTTTATTTTGCAGGGAGGAAGGACTCGAGACACCCGGAGGAAATAGAGATGCCTGCAATACAACAATAAAAACTGGTGAGTTGTGAGCAAATCTGTTTATTTTACAATCACAATGTGAGTCACAGCCCAGCAAACACAGAATGTTCCCCTAACGTTCCCGAATGGTCCCATGAGGTTATTTTTTTGGGACCCAAACAAGAAAGTTATAAGAATGTTCCATGTAGGTTATTTTTAGCTTCCATTTTTATAACGTAAGGAGAATGTTCCGGGAACGTTCCCTTAACCTTGAGGGAAAGTTCTAGGAACGTTCTGGGAACCTAAAACTAACGTTCCCAGAACCTAAATTTGTTTGCTGGGAGTGAGCTAAAAGTGTAACCTCGCAGTCCACTCACTGTGTGCTCATATTATGGCCACAATGTGAGTCATCATTGCTAGAAATATTATTGGACCTGAACTTCATCGCTTAGACATCAAAGTTTGGTTGAAAATATAAGCTGGGTTAACGTCTAAACATTTGTTTTAATGTCAGACTCCAACATCATTAAACATCTCCACAAACAGCTTTACTTATTACGAACCAGACTGACTTTACTTCTGTCATATGTGGAGAAGTTCTTATTGAGATTAACAGAGGCTTAGATGTTGATTTTTGAAAATAATAGTTTGGTTCGATGTCACCATTGTGGTCGGTGTTTGATTTAGTTCAGTGTTCCTCAAACTCGGTCCTGGAGGGCCACTGTCCACAACCCTGATCAAACACACCTGCCTGTGAGTTTCTAGTGATCCTGAAGACCTTGATTAGCTTGCTCATTGTTTTCTAAAGCTCCCACTCCTCTGGAGAGGAGGATGGTCTCCACAACCTCAGGGACCAGATTCTATGAGCTGGACCTCTCAGAGGCCAAGCCCACAACCTCCATAGATCTGGGCGGGGGTGAAGTATCGACTCGCTTGCCTGAGAGAGAAGGTCCCTCCTGATCGAATCTCCAGAGGAGAGAAATTAGGTCCGCGAACCAAACTCGGGCCGGCCCGAACCCGTCCCGGCGAACCCTCTCCAGAACTCCTGGGAGCAGAGCAATCGGGGGAGATGCGTACAGGTGTGACCTCGGCCACTCCTTGACCATCGCGTCCAACCCCAGAGGGGCGGGAGGACTTAGGGAAAACCACAGTTGGCAGTGTGATGTTTCCCTTGATGCAAATAGGTCTACCTCGGCACGACCGAAATGTTTCCATAGGAGCTCCACCCCCTCGGGATGGAGTCTCCACTCCCCGGTCCTCGGCCCCTGCGTCCTCAATAAAAGAAGCGTTCCCTGAGACCATAGAAGGATCTGGCGAGCCAGCTTGTATAACGGGCGCAAACGCAGAACTTGGTGACCTCTCAGGTCTGGGAGGAAGTGTTTCAGGGCCATCATTTCTAGACAATTTATGTGCCATTGAAGATGATGGTCCTGCACAGACCCTGGGCCGAGCGACCACTCATGATCGCCCCCCAGCCTGTGAGAGAGGCGTCCGTCGTTAGTGTTACACGACGACACCGAGCCCCCAGCACAGGAACCAAGGTTCTTTCCACATAGCCAGGGCACGAAGACACCGTCGCGTGACCCTGATCTTGCTGAGCGGGTTTCCTCTCGGGGAGAACCCCTTGGCCCTGATCCACCACTGCAGTGGTCTCATGTACAGCTGGCCGCAAGGTATAACACTGGACACTGTTGCCATCAGACCCAGAATTCTCTGATATTCTTTCACAGTGAGTCTTATGTTGGCCTCGCTTTGCCTGTTTGACGGCTACGAGAATCGAAGCTATACGAGCAGGAGACAGATGTGCCTGCATCGTTGTCGAATCCCAAACCACACCGAGAAAAGTCCTCTCTGTATTGGAGAAAGCACACTCTTCTTGGCGTTGAGCCTCAACCCCAACTTTTTGATATGGGCGAGCACGACATCTCGATGCCGAATCGCCTGATGCTCCGATTGAGCTAGAATCAACCAATCGTTGATATCATTTAAAATGGGGATGCCCTGGAGTCGCAGCGGAGCCAGAGCTGCATCCATACATTTCGTGAAAGTTCGGGGAGACAGTGCTAGGCCGAACGGAAGAACCCGATATTGGTACGCTTCGCCCCCGAAAGCGAACCTCAGGAACTTCCTGTGTTGTGGAAGGATGGAAATATGGAAGTACACGTCCTTTAGATCTATCGTGACAAACCAGTCCTCGGCCCTGATCTGTGACACGATCTGCTTGAGAGCATTTTGAATTTTGTGCGATTTAACAGGTGCAGATCTAAAATTGGACGTAACTCCCCATCCCTCTTTGGAACGATGAAATATCGTCTGTAATAACCCAACTCACTGCTGGGAGGAAGAACTCGTTCTATAGCCGAGACACAAACTGCATGTCATGATCAATGTGAAGATATGATGTTAATGTCCTACAGGTGATGTGTGTGAACATTCATCTTCTGCAGCTCCAGTCTCTTCAACAACACTGACTCCAGTCAGCAGATCAAACTCTGAGAAGACATCAAGCAGAACTACAGCAACAGCTCCTACACAAGGTTCATGATCACATGACCACTGGCACACATCATCACACTCACTTCAGTGGTTCGCACTGGCTCTTACAGACTGCTTTATCATTTACATTTCTTCATTTAGCTGAAGCTTTTATCCAAAGCGACTTACAATTATGCTATATATGTCAGAGGTCGCACGCCTCTGGAGCAACTAGGGGTTAAGTGTCTTGCTCAGGGACACATTGGTGTCTCACAGTGGATTCGAACCCGGGTCTCTCACACCAAAGGCATGTGTCTAATCCACTGCGCCATCATCAGATATTATCTACATAAAAAGCTCTTTAAATATGCGTTTAAATGAATGACATTTTGATACATGTCTTGTACAGTTTGTTGTCATATAATACAATTAAAAAACAGAATAAGTAAAATACACAAACAAAATTTGATGCATGTACAAATGCAAGGAAATGTAAAGAAGAAATGTTGTGTGTTGAATAAATCAATGTATAAATAGTGTTTAAGTGTTTAAGCAGCGCCTGCAAACTTCAGATATTTGACAGAGGGGTCTTTTGCGGTGCAGTCGCTGCTGTACAGGGAGAAGAGCAGTGGGGAGAGAACGCACCCCTGGGGGGCGCCAGTGCTGAATATGCAGGTGCTGGATGAGGGTTTCCCAGCTTTACTGTTGCCTGTCCGTCAGGAGGTTGGTGGTCCACTGACAGATGGAGGCGGGCACAGGGAGCTGGGTTAGTTTGGACTGGAGGATGTATGGTATGATGAAGGCCACAAACACAAAAATTGCTCTTAAAGATGTTTGTTTCGTGTGGCCGCTACTACTTTGCGAGCAGTTTTGATTTTAATCATCTCATTTGATTTGAATTTTTCAGTGATTCAACGACCCATTATCATTTATTCCTCTATCATACTATGCAGTGACATTCAGCTACTATTGATTTTCCTTTGCAGTAAAGTTGAGATGTGCATTCGCTGATGTGGACTCACAACAAACTCTCAAATGAGTGAAAACTTAGCAGTCGTGACAAGAATAATTTTTTACTAATTTAAACTATTGCCTATACAGTTGCTATCTCATGCTATGTGTTATTGTGAACAGTCATGGTATTTGTTGTGAATAAATGTTACAATGTAATACCACAAGTGTATTTAATGTCACAAAACACGACTTACTGTAATAATTTACCTTGTATATCAACAGGTCACGACTAAAGCTTATCTTGCATGTGTACTATATTTTCAGATTATGACTAGTATGCAAGTAATATCACAGGTTTATAATGGACAAATCATTTTTCTTGCAAGAATACTATATACTATGTTACCATAAAAGAAATGAAGGTTCCAGGAATAGTACAAAACAGTTAAAGGTGCAATACCTAAGATTTTTGCATTAAAATATCCCAAAATCACATGGCCAGTGTTATATATTTAGTTAAGATGATAACTTACAATATTCCAAATGTTTCAAACAATGTTTAAATCGCGAGAAAATTGAGATTTTAACTAAGGAAACGGGGCGTGTGAGCAGGGGTGAGCTGGGAGTCGCGAGTCAATCGCGTCATATCAGCTTACCTCGGTTTCCGCTCGTACTACGTGTAGTCCTGGACAAATGCGGTAGTTGTAGTTGTGCGTTAGCGTCTATCAAGCAACAAATGTAAGCTTGTTTCTAGGGCTGTCAACTTTAGTCGTTTAGTCGACTAATCGGTCGATGCCGTCTTGGTCGACTGACATTCTTATTGGTCGACCAGTTGCATTTTTTTTTTTTTAACCAATAGAAAGAATTTTTAAATGATTTACTCCTTGATATTTATTCATTTATAAGCAGTTATTTATTACTGTATTCTAAATATAATTAGCCTATGTTTTGTCCCCAACTTTAAAATGCTTTAATTTAGGCTATTTTTGTAACTGCGCCACAGTTTAGCGCACACACATAATACACTCGGGAACCGCACCTGTGGCTACGCTGCTGCTCGCGCTCGGTAAGGGATGCTGTATTCATTCAGTTAGAACGCTGCTTGTTTTGGCTTTAGTCGACAAAATGTCCAGGAAATATAAATCTTTTGTCTGGCTGCATTTTGAAACAAAGACGACAAGACTGTGGAGGGAGGCGATCGCGTTGCTCCATTATGAGCGCGCAAGTCGTGCGCCTACATTTGAAATCGAACTTGAGCGCGCAAAAGACGCGAGCAGCCTTTTAACGGCTATATCATGCTGACTCAATAGATTGTGTTTTCTTAATGTTTTCGTTTGTACACTTGACGCATTTGAAAATAGCCTAAATAATGCAACAAAACGAAAATAAACCTATACGCGGTCCTACAGCCTATTATTAGGATTGTTTTTAAGTTATTTGTTTTTTTGTGTTGTTTAAAACGCCTTGATCGTCAGGACTAAAGTTAACCCATAGCTTTGAAAGTAAAGAAGAATATAAAGCCTGTATAAACGAGAGCTTTTGTTGGGATTTTTCATTATGTGGCAGATAGCAGTTATATTTTTTGCAGCGTGTGGTGTGGTCAGGTGCGCGATTGTGATTGTTACTATAGACCGAGGACAGAGCTCTTCACTTTTTGCAGTTAAAAAAATCACTTAATTTTCAAAGAATTGTATTATTATTATAGTTTTATTTATTTGTGATGTTTTTTCGTTGTTGTTTTATAAATGCTCAATGACAATTGTTTAAAAAATGTTTAATCAAAACATCAAGGTGTTTTTTTTTTTTTTTTTTTTTTTTTTTTTTTAAGTCGACTAATCGTTGCGCAGGACTCGACTTTGGTCGACTAAGGATTTCTTTGGTTGAATACAGCCCTACTTGTTTCGCGCATTTGTTATGGAATGGAGCACAATTATTCTTTTCATTTATTCTGGGAATGTGAACTGTTGGCTGTAAAGGGGGTCGCTACCGTTATCGAACACCGGCCGCACACTTTCTCATCAGTGTATGGCCAGCAATCTTGTTATGTTTAATGACAGATAATGTCTGTTCTATGTTATGATTGTACTGTACAATTAAATACAATCGTTGCTGAGTCTGCAGTCTGAAAACTTTACCTCAGATCATCCGTTCACTGAATGAATTGAGAATCTCACCTGAAAAATCCAATAACATCAGCAATTGTCATTCAAGCAGCTGATTTCTGTAAATGAATGCAAAACTAAATGCATATTGAAGCATAGGGCGAAGTCAGGATCCATTAGCAACGATTTGAGACAAAAATAAACCATGTAAATGGCGCTCTGTGGTGCAGCAGGATTTTGAACACGGTCCTGAGGCGTTGCTGGGCGCCGCGGACAGACGCCGAATGGCGCCGCCGGTATGTGTACACTTATAATAATGTGTTCGAATTTTAAATATGTGGCGCGACGTGGCGCTGAGCTTCTCGTCCGGTGTTCGACCCCCTTAACGTTAATTTTGTGAAACTGTAGCTGTGGTTGAATACTTACATGACATGAAAAGATTTATTTTATATTATTTTTATAAAGTTACCAAAAAGGAGGACCAACCACGTCAACTCCTTGCAAGAGACCTGCCCCTTCAAACCCTCTCCACCATAGCTTCGTCCAGTGACTCGTACAGTAACATCTGTGATAACTAATTTACTTTTAAACCTGACTTTTCTTGCGGTTACTTCAGTTTAAGGAAAAACCAGCATGTAAACGCAACATTTATAGAAATCGAACTTTACCTCATCCATGACAACTAATTCGATTCCTGTCTGACTGATTTATCCACGGTGGAGTTGAAAACAACAGTTCCCATCATTCCGCGTTTCTCCACGTCGTCATCAAGCAAAGCCGTTGTTGTTGTTTTGAATGTAGCGCCATCTAGCGGCATCTAAATCTTAGGTATTGCAGCTTTAAACTATTAAGGACCATGGGTTCATTACAGAATATTCCAAGTATTACTGCAGGAATATGACAGTAGCACAAGAATGGCACACAAATATATTGACCAGTAAATGTATTTCCAATCCACTCAGAGAGTTTCTTTTATGAAAGATTCCACTAGGTGGCGACAAATAATCAATGCAAGGGAACATTAGCGTTTCACACCTTTGGGACACAAGGCAGTGGCCTCCTTCAATTGGTCAGAGATCTTACATAGGATTGGGTGCTCAATGCTTTGTCCCTCCTCTAAACCCCCACACTATTGGTCCAGTTTATGGCCTCATTTGGGTTTATTATTACTCATTATTAATATTCATTGTCATTGGTGTTCATGGTTATAATTAGGGATGGGAATCGAAAACCGGTTCCACTCGAGAACCGGTTCTAAATTTTACGATCCATCGATATTGTATGCGCTCGACGTTAACGATTCAAAGCCTTATTTGATCGGTGAGTACCGGTAAAATTGTCTCTCTCTGTAGTTATGAACCGCTGCGCTCGTGACAGGGCTCGTGTTAAACTGAACGAGCAGGGAGAGAGAGAGCCCCGGTCGTGCGCGTGCGCACCTCTCTCTGGCTTCACTGCTCAAAACTAAGCACTGTCTTGCTCTCTCTTTCTCCCTCGCACATATTAATCAAAATAATCGACACAATGGTAAGGTCGGGAGACTAAAGTTTCATGTGCAGCATTCGGAGATTTGTTTTTCCTGAATTACCGCTGGGTGTGAATTGTGCTAAAATAGGCCTACGTTGCCTTATCTTCTCTGAAAAGTGGTCCGCACATTTAGCTGACATAAACCACACTTCAAATAACCGGAAAAAAAACGACCAAAAGATGAAATGTTTTCTGTGATGACACACATCTTGTGTCGGAACGCGCACACGTCTGATAATGACACGTTCAATTCGCGAACTAATGACTCATTTGAACCGATTCGCTTTAATGAATGGTTAAAACAACTGAACTGATCTTCCAACACTGAACTGAACTCATAAGGTTTCATTTATTATATAAATTACATCAAAAGTACAGTTTACTTAGTCAAGTGTAAGGTTTAAAACAAATAAAACCAATTGTTTCTTTCCCCCAAAAAAGCACATGACTACTGTTTCCCACACAGTGCTATCAGGAATCGATAAGAGAATCGTTAAAGAATCGGATCGATAAGCAGAATCGTTAGTGGCATCGATATCGATAAAATCTTATCAATTCCCATCCCTAGTTATAATGTCAAGACAATCAGATAGACAAAGTTGAGTTTGTTATTTTTATTATTTGTAAATGACACTGGACACATGACATATATATTTATATACACACAGTCAAAACTCTATAAATAATAATAAAAAACATTAGCACAGAATACGTTTTACTATTAGTCATACAACAAATAACCCCATATAATATATAAGGCCTGTGTATAATATATGTAAAACAATATAATAACCCGAACAACCCACACCGACTTTCCATCCAAGATGGCATCCTACTGTTCAGACATGTGGTCAACTGTTGCAGTCTTCCAGATAGATGCATCTTCGTCTGTCTGGAGAATCCCAGTCCTGCAGCTCAGTAGCTGCAAAATGGGGAAAAAAGTAATTAAACCACTGAAAATATCAAATAGGTTGGGATGGGAGCCTCTCCCAGGCTGAGGCTTTTACTCAGATTTATATGTATTTATACTTACTCTTCTTTTTCTTTGTCTCATGAGCATAATGATCCTGCTGTCCTCCATCTTGTCTTTGTTCTCATCTTGGGCCATCGTGTAACCCTTTCTAACAGTTTCAAAATAGCAGGATACTAGAGAGATGGGGGAGAATATGTTTATTTATAACTAACTAATCTATACAGTTAAATAGTTGTAGCCTTGGTACATTCTCTTGTGACTTACCTTTAACAACAGCAGGATCTACGTCCGGTACAGCCATTAAAAAGATAGGTTATGACCTCAAGGTTGTGGGAGGAGGATAGACTGTGAAGCAGTAATTAAAGAAGGTTGATTAAAAATATAATTTAGAAGAAAAGACTTTTATGAAAGAATAGTTTTAAAGATATACCTTGTCTGTGGGTCATATTTGTGTACATTGTTTTCCCCATTGTGCAATCTCCATACAGCTTCCTGTAAAAATCCAACATAGTATGAGGGCTCAATTCGAATACATTTATAAATAAAGCACACAAAGTTAAGCAGACACCGTGATGGTCAGAAAATAACTTACCGCAACAGAATTATTCCCAGCTCTCTTTGATTTCTTTGAAGCAGGCTCCTCTTTTGCCTCTTTGAGCTCATTGATGTCAGCCTTCATCTTATCCAACCTCATGTCCAACATCTCCAGCTTTTCAAATATCCTCTTCAAACTTTCATTTGCCATATACACCAGTCTATACACCAGTCTGTTTTCGTTCGAACTCAGAGATTTAATAGCCACATTGTCCCTATGTAAAGGAGTAACATCTCCACTCTGCTCTCCGTAACACTTGTTGAAGATTGACACGATGTAAACCCTATCACCTTTCCTGAATACTAATGAGGGGGGCAGGGGAATAGGGGCAAACTTGAGCTGCCAGTCCCAAAAGAAATTAGCATTTAAAAAGCCAAGCCACTGAATGCATTGTGTGTGTGTGTGTGTGTGTGTGTGTGTGTGTGTGCAAGGGCGTAGATTACGCGGGGGACGTGTCCCCCCCACATTTTATAAAATGTAAATTTGTCCCGCGCACTTTTTCATAGGGGAAGTGTTCACGACATGTTGAGGTTTCCGCGAGCCAATGTGTATTTATAGATACAGATTTAACATTCAAAGAGAAAAGATCGCCTATCTACTGTCTCTACACGTGACTTTCACGTTGCCATGGTAATCAGTCACTCGCGCTCGTGCATCACCACACGCCCGTGCTCGTACCCTCACTGAATCCATCGTCGAGGTCGAAAGGAATTCAAAACGGCAAAAAACACTTCACACTTTTTTCGCAAAAAAGTCAAGAACTGTAAGTTGTAATGTGGTATCCGAATTTTGTTGCTCATTGTCATTGATGAATAACTTTGCCTAATTTTCTGCCATTATCTAACTTATTTGCTTGAATCATGCAGCGTTGCACTTGACTTGTAACATGTGTACATGTTGTTTACCATATAATAAGGTAACACTTTACAATTAGATTGAAAAAGTTTGTAGACAAACGTTAAGTTTTCTTTAAAAAGCCTAACCAGAGAGTTTGAAGAAGTTATAAAAGCATGAAGTTTGAATGTTTTCAATATGAATGACAGTTTTAGACAGACAGACAGACAGACAGACAGACAGACAGACAGACAGACAGACAGACAGACAGACAGACAGACAGACAGATAGATAGATAGATAGATAGATAGATAGATAGATAGATAGATAGATAGATAGATAGATAACTAATGAAACCTTATTGTAAAGTGTTACCATTCAATATAAATGCAGTATGCAATTGTATGCATTAATGTTCTGATTTAGGTCTTAATTTATAGGGCTCAATAATATTATTGCACTAATTTAATGTTTGTTTTTTTTCTTCTTCTGTGTTGTCAAGATTGATCAAGAAACAGGGAGCCTAGGGTTGTCAGGTCAGAAAGAGGATGACACTCAAAAAGAAAATTCACAGGTGAAAAGTAATAGACTGGCTTGGCTTTTAAAAAAAGCTTGAATCATGCAGTGTTGTACTTGTACCATGTGTACATGATGTTTACCATATAATAAGGTAACACTTTACAATTAGATTAAAAAAGTTTGTAGACAAATGTTAAGTTTTCTTTAAAAAGCCTAACCAGAAAGTTTGAAGAAGTTATAAAAGCATGAAGTTTGAATATTTTCAATATGAATGACCGTTTTGGTTAAGTAAAACAGATAGATAGATAGATAGATAGATAGATAGATAGATAGATAGATAGATAGATAGATAGATAGATAGATAGATAGATTGATTGATTGATTGATTGATTGATTGATTGATTAAATTGTGTGTGTTCTGGAGGCAAACTTAGGAAAAGTAGCCAAGTCTTGTACCGCTCAGATCAAGGGAAGTATTTTTTAAAAAAAATAATCAAAATGATTTTGCCCAAATTTGTCCAGAATACGGTTTTAGGGTTAAAGGAAGAGCTGTAACTATATATAATAAAGAGGAAGACGGACAGAAGTGGACAGAAGCAGAAATGTCTGATCAGTGTGATCTGTGTCTGCTGGGACTGATCATTCTCTCTTCACTTCTCACAGGTAAAGAAATCTGTATTTTCTCTAAACACATTTAGTGGAATTAGTCTGGAAAGAGTTGATTTGAACATGCTCAGTTTATTCTTGCACACATTCACGTTGTGATCTCAGAGTTGTGTATTGATACACACAGATCATACTGTATTATTCCTGATACTGGACATAGTGTCAAAGGGTAACACTTTACAATAAGGCTACATGAATAATCATGTACTAATACTTGAATTAATACTTTATTAAACATGAACTAATAATTATTGAAGGCACGACCGAATCATGAACCAATGAAGAGTTATCTTGAACTACGACTGTCATTACGGATTCACACATGAATAACGGCAGCCTTCACTACATGTTATACATGTTTGATAATTAATTAATTCATTAACATTTATGGATAAACTTAATCAAACCAGAGATACAGGAAGTGGGGGTGCAGCAGCTGCAGCGTTTGTGTTCATTTCTATTTCCTGTATCTGTGTACGCTCTTCTATTGTGTGTTTCAGTGTAAACAGCACAATAACCCTTTTATTTAAACTTAATTTATGTCCTGTAGACCAGTCCGTTGCATTACGATTGAAAGCAGTATCAATAATGTCAAAAATAATGTCAAAAATTTGATGCGAGTCATTCTAGCAAACTGGTGCCATTTGGGTCCGCAACGTTTGATGAGATGTTTAAGGCACAAAATGTCCCAAAATGTGTTTATAAAGCTTAAAGTTATTAATTCAAGTTTTTTTTTTGTTAACATGATATGCGATAAAATACTATTTTTTAAAAAATAACGTACTATTTTTAATAATTTGTCATCAGTACATTGCCAATTTTACATGTACGTGAATTAATGTTGAATGCTGTTCTTGTTATGTGGACTAATCAAATAAATGTATATTTATTTGTATTTTTTAAGTGAATTAATTTTTGTGTTTTTTTCAGTATAAACAATGAGGCCATTGAAATGTCAAATTCAAATTTCAAGATTAAAAACTAAGAAAAAAAAATACAGACTTTATATTGATGGTTTCCAATAGCATTTTACTATTAGGAAAACATTATATTTAAAGAATATATATTTCTGTCTGTGACGGGGTGGTACAAGACTACCTTGCCTGAATAAAAGGTGGGAAAATATGTTTTGTGGAGGATTAATGTATCTTTAAAGTTGTAAGTTTTTTAAAAATAATATATTTTTTTAATGAAAATTTGGAAAATTGCTAAGTGGAAGTGGCACCCGTTTCATAGAATGACTGATGTTTAAACTGTGTTCTGTTTAGACGAGTGTTTTCATCGATACGCTACTGATTTGCGGAGTTTTGACGAGTTTTATAGACTTTGAAAAATTCAAAAGTGGTGACCTTAAAAAAAAAAAGGAAAGAAGTAGCGAGTAGAAATAAGGTGTGGCCCCTTTAAGAGCTGCGCGCTCCCGGTTGAACGCTCTGCTTTGTATGTGCGTCTCGATCACACCATGCGGGTTATTTCTGTCTGATGCTCTTTTTAAAGTAATTGTGTTTAGTTAATAACGCTGTGGACGGCTGATCGTGTCTGACAGAGAGTTACAGGAGATCAACTGGGGAATAAAGTGTGAGTTGTGAATTCCCGATCGCTCCGTGAGTCTGTGGCCTCTGAAACGACTCCAGATAAGTGAGATATACATAGTTTACCATGAAGTAGCGTGTGTATGCCACGTCAATTCGTATTTCCATTTTTGGCGTGCTATCAAGACGCATAATCGCCTTTCAGCGTGTTTATGAACGCCGTTGACTTAACTTTATATAAATATATGACTTACCTCAACCCCATCCCTAAACTTAACCGTCACTGGGGTTAATGGCATTTATGACTGGAGATTTGACTGCGTGTACAGACACGTGGAATGACGCGGACGTTAATGGCATAGACCAGCCTTTCTCAAACTTTTTTCAGTCAGGGCACCTTTCAAAAGTGCATAAAATCTCAAGGCACCCCAGTGTAAAATATAATTTAAAAACACTGCATAACCCAAATTTAAATGCAAATGTCTTGTTTAGTTAGACAGAACAGTAATGAACAGAGCATAATATGAACTGTAAATAACAATAATAATAAAAACTTTATAGCACCTTTAAAAACACAGGTTTGGAAAGTAATTCACAAAATAATTAATCAGAGACACAAATGCCATAAAACCGTAAGAGGTGGACCGCCCAATACAAGAACCCAATAACAAATCCAGAACAGGAGAACTCAAATGAAGTGCAGGATGCAGATAAAATAAAATAAAAATCCCCGGCTCTTGTGGGGATTTTCTTTTCAAAAAACGATCCATAATGCTGTAACTAAAGTGGCCTAAATTCACGTTTATTTTTACTTTTCTGTCAGTCTGAGGTGTTGCTATAACGCGTTGCTATGGATTGCGTCACTTGCGTCAAGTTGTGTGTGTCTTGCTTCGGTCTTGTGCGACGGATTTTTTTATGATTAATTTTATATATTTATCTAAAATGAATTTACAATTTTATTAATATGTTCATATGTTTAAAAAGAAGAATGTAAATTCAAATATATTTATATATGAAATGTCAGCTGTTTTTTTTTCTGGGGGGGGTTTTTTCACATTTTTTTTAGCCTACGTAATTTTTTGGCGGCACCCCTGACACAGCTAGGGGGCACCCCAGTGTGCCGCGGCACCCACTTTGAGAAAGGCTGGCATAGACATACACGCGGATAGCTCAAAATGCGTAGAGATAACACGCCACCTGACTCGAAAGTGGCGTGTATGTTAACGCAAAAGTCATGATGTCATGTTGCCGAACACAACGTCTTACAAATACCCTGACTTTGAATGTCGAGGATCCTCTTCGTTCGGAAAATATCCCATACACAGGAAAGGGTGTAGCCTTCGCGCTCTCAAATCACCCACAATCCTGATAGCTTTGCTTGTTCAAAAAATAAAAAATGTCGGTAGCGGAGTCGGAGTGATAACGGCAATATGCTTTCAAATGTAAGCAAGTTTAAGTATAATTTCAGGGTTTGTTTTTTTTTTGTACATTTTTTTAATGTTTGTTAAACTATTAAACACATCGGCTCAAGTGATTTACAGAGGGGGGATTTAAAGCTGTTCCCTTATACCGGTGATTCACTTATTAATTTTTACTTCACATAACGTTAACGTTAGCCTTTTTTGTTGATCACATATTTTACCATTGCATGTTTTAACAGCTAGATCGTGTTGCTATGGACGCAGTTCTGTTCACTCCGTTTTTAAATTAATAAACTCCTTTTTAAATCAATATTTTGTGTCAAATTATTGATTTGTTTGGTGTAGATGTACCTAATACAAATAAAACATCTCGAGTTAACTAGCAGAGTATTAATTTAGTTCGCTCTTTAATAAGAGATCTAGCGCTAAAATAAATCAAGCTGAGCGCTCGTTATCGCTGCCGTCAGTGTCATGGATACAGTGTTTGGACAGTCTTTACTCGGACACAAACTGCGCGTACTTCAATCTATCGCTGTTGCGGAGACTCTATTCATAGACTCTATTCAAATGCCTATCTTTAAATGCAAATATAAACAATAACAGTGTATAATAAATCACTAATATATCACTAATCGTGCTCCTGTCCTGTCCATGCTGCTGGGTCCGTCCTCATCTGCACCTCCAGCTGCCATTTTAGCTGCCTCTTGTGCCAATGTTTTTTACTTTTTAATTCATATTTTTGGCCTCATCCATCCTCAACCACCAAACATGACCAAAAGTAAACTCTATTGATCGGCGCCTAGTTTGAGCCAATCGGATGTCAGGAAAAACGAGGATCAGTCCAAGTTGGGAGGGGCTGCTCGTATCCCCCCTCAGATTGAAAGTATTGGCCCGGTCTGATGATGCGTTCGTGTGCTATGGTAATTATGGTAAATCGTGTAAAATGCACTTGAACACACTCATGTGGTATTTCCACTGGGCAGCTCGTAGAATAATTTGATGCACGAGTTGCCGAGATGAGATAACCTTTGACCTTTTCAAAATGGCGGAGAGCAACGCGAGAGTCGTGAATGGTAAAAATATGTACTATTCTTGATTTAGAAAATATACAGCATATTATTTACCGTTTGAGTTTTGATAAATCATTTTTGTGCTGTGTCCAGGGATCGGGTCGCCGAGGCCCCTGCCTTCGACTGCCGCCCAATCCTCTCTGCACCGGCCCCTTACGGCTCCTCCTGCAGGTGGTGAGCCCACGGGAAGACGGTCCCACGTCGCTTCTTCGGGCTGAGCCCGGCCGGACCCCGTGGGGAGAGGCCCGGCCACCAGGCGCTCGCATACGAGCCCCAACCCCGGGCCTGGCTCCAGGGTGGGGCCCCGGCTGCGCCATACCGGGCGACGTCACGGTCCTTGGGTGTATTTCCTTCATAAGGGGGTTTTTGAACCGCTCTTAGTCTGACCCGTCGCCTAGGACCTGTTTGCCTTGGGAGACCCTACCAGGGGCATATAGCCCCAGACAACATAGCTCCTAGGGTCATTCGGGTACTCAAACCCCTCCACCACGTTAAGGTGGCAGTTCAGATAGTCGGAATCACCTCTACGCATGGCTTGGGTTCTGGAACCACACTCCTTGAGAGAGGATGGACTCTTCACCACTCTGGAGTTGCCCATGGTGAGAGGCGGCGGGCTGGTGTGGGCTTGCTTATAGCCCCCCAGCTCAGCCGCCATGTGTTGGAGTTTACCCCGTTGAACGAGAGGGTCGTTTCTCTGCGCCTACGGGTCGGGGATAGGTCTCTCACTGTCGTTTGTGCCTACGGGCCAAACGGCAGTGTAGAGTACCCGGCCTTCTTGGAGTCTCTGGGAGGGGTGCTGGAAAGTGCCCCGACTGGGGACTCCGTTGTTCTACTGGGGGACTTCAACGCTCACGTGGGTAACGACAGTGACACCTGGAGGGGCGTGATTGGGAGGAACGGCCCCCCCGACCTGAACCCGAGTGGTGTTCAGTTATTGGACTTCTGTGCTAGTTACAGTTTGTCCATAACGAACACCATGTTCAAGCATAAGGGTGTCCACCAGTGCACGTGGCACCAGGACACCCTAGGCCGTAGGTCGATGATCGACTTTGTGGTCGTTTCATCTGACCTGCGGCCGTATGTCTTGGACACTCGGGTGAAGAGAGGGGCGGAGCTGTCAACTGATCACCACCTGGTGGTGAGCTGGATCCGATGGCGGGGGAGGAGGCTGGACGGACTCGGCAGACCCAAGCGTACTGTAAGGGTTTGCTGGGAACGTTTGGCCGAATCTCCTGTCAGAAAGATCTTCAACTCTCACCTCCGGCAGAGCTACGACCAGATCCCGAAGGAGGCTGGAGATATTGAGTCTGAGTGGACCATGTTCTCCACCTCCATTGTCGAAGCGGCTGCTCGGAGCTGTGGCCGTAAGGTCTCCGGTGCCTGTCGAGGCGGCAATCCTCGAAAGGTCACCGAGGTAGTCAAGAAACTCCTCGGTGGCAAGGCACCCGGGGGTGGATGAGATCCGCCCCGAATACCTTAAGTCTCTGGATGCTGTGGGGCTGTCTTGGTTGACACGCCTCTGCAGCATTGAGTGGCGGTCGGGGACAGTGCCTCTGGGATGGCAGACCGGGGTGGTGGTTCCTCTTTTTAAGAAGGGGGACCGGAGGGTGTGTTCCAACTATAGGGGGATCACACTTCTCAGCCTCCCTGGGAAAGTCTATGCCAGGGTACTGGAGAGGAGAATACGGCCGATAGTGGAACCTCGGATTCAGGAGGAACAGTGCGGTTTTCGTCCTGGCCGTGGAACACTGGACCAGCTCTATACTCTCTACAGGGTGCTGGAGGGTTCATGGGAGTTTGCCCAACCAGTCCACATGTGTTTTGTGGATTTGGAGAAGGCATTCGACTGTGTCCCCCGAGGCGGCCTGTGGAGGGTGCTTCGGGAATATGGGGTCCGGGGTCCTTTGCTAAGGGCTGTCCGGTCCCTGTATGACCGAAGCAGGAGCTTGGTTCGCATTGCCGGTAGTAAGTCAGACTTCTTCCCGGTGCATGTTGGACTCCGGCAGGGCTGCCTTTTGTCGCCGGTTCTGTTCATAATCTTTATGGACAGAATTTCTAGGCGCAGCCAGGGGCCGGAGGGTGTCAGGTTTGGGGACTGCACGATTTCGTCTCTGCTCTTTGCGGGTGATGTTGTCGTGTTGGCCCCTTCATACCAGGACCTTCAGCATGCACTGGGACGGTTTGCAGCCGAGTGTGAAGCGGCTGGGATGAAAATAAGCACCTCCAAATCCGAGGCCATGGTCCTCAGCCGGAAAAGGGTGGCTTGCCCAGTTCAGGTTGGTGGAGAGATCCTTCCTCAAGTGGAGGAGTTTAAGTATCTTGGGGTTTTGTTCACGAGTGAGGGAAGGATGGAACGGGAGATTGACAGACGGATCGGTGCAGCTTCAGCAGTAATGCGGTCGATGTACCGATCTGTTGTGGTGAAGAAGGAGCTGAGCCGTAAGGCAAAGCTCTCGATTTACCAGTCAATCTACGTTCCTACTCTCACTTATGGTCATGAGCTTTGGGTCTTGACCGAAAGGACAAGATCCCGGATACAGGCGGCTGAAATGAGCTTTCTCCGCAGGGTGGCTGGGCGATCCCTTAGAGATAGGGTGAGAAGCTCGGTCACTCGGGAGGAGCTCAGAGTAGAGCCGCTGCTTCTCCACATCGAGAGGGGTCAGCTGAGGTGGCTCGGGCATCTGTTTCGGATGCCTCCTGGACGCCTTCCTGGGGAGGTGTTCCGGGTACGTCCCACTGGGTGGAGGCCCCGGGGAAGACCTAGGACACGCTGGAGAGACTATGTCTCCCGGCTGGCCTGGGAACGCCTCGGTATCCCCCCAGAAGAGCTGGAGGAAGTGTCTAGGGAGAGGGAAGTCTGGGCATCTCTGCTTAGACTGCTGCCCCCGCGACCCGGCCCCGGATGAGCGGAAGAAGATGATGATGATGATGATTTTTGTGCTGTAACAGATGATGTAAGCAATCTAAAATAGTTTTAGCTCAATAACAGGTCTGGATCTCCATCTTTTTACCACATTACGACAACAAAAGCACTTGACCGCAACACATTGGTAACGTAAAATACAAGTTCACAAGTGGAAAATATCATATTGAACGCACCATGAAACACACAGACAGTGTTCCACTGCAGTTGAGCGGCCGGTCGCGTATCATTAAAAATGAAAAAGCCCGTCTTCGGCCTGAATTGGACCGGCTGTTCGGGATTGTTCCCGGTATTCCCGATGACCAATCCGCCCCTGCCTTGCATGTGCAGACCTCTATGGTACATGATTATTCATAAACCCTTATTGTAAAGCGTTACTTGAGAAATACTGTAATCTTCTGCTTGTTATGCTTGTTTGGTTTATGGTTTCATTTATTAATAAATATCATAATGATCACTGAGATCTACTGTGTTTCAGGCACCAGTGGAGTGGATGATGATCATGTGTTCATCAGTTCTGGTGTAAATGTCCGTCTGTCCTGTAATAATGCTCTTTCTGACTGCAAATCAACTACATGGACCTACAGCAGCTTCAGTCGTTCACGGACAGTTGAACTGATTAAATTAGGGATAAAGAATAAAGACACAAAGAGACACGAGAGACTGAGTCTGGAGTCTGACTGCTCTCTGAACATCAAGAACGTCACAGTAGAAGATTATGGATTATACAACTGCCAACAATTTGTGAACGGACGACAACAAGGATCTGATGCACATGTTTATCTGCATGTTCTTCATGGTAAGTTTATGATTATATGGTCAATTTAAAAAGGGCAGCTTCTTTATTAAACTCAGATGATGATTGAAGAGTCTGTGATTTGTGTCTTGTGTTCAGTTTCAGTGTCTCCATCATCATCATCATCATCATCATCTTCATCCTCACAGACTGAGATCAGTCCAGGCTGCTCTGTGACTCTCTACTGTCAGTTCTATTCATTTATTACATACTCCTGTGATGATCGGGTTCGTTCTGAGGGAGTTGAGCTGTTGTGGGTGAATCAGGCTGGTGTTGATCTGAAGACAGACTCCAGATATAAGATATCATCATCATTACCATCATATCGCTGTTTCATCACTCTGACTACAACACTCCTGAAGGAAGATAACAACAGAGAGTGGAGATGTCAGCTTACTCACAGAAATCAACTCCAATACACTGTCAAGTATTCAGGTGAGAAACACTGTTAGAAGACAGATTTGAGAAAACTTCCACAGACTGGCTCTACTCTTTATGATGACTTCAATTGTAAAATATTAGTGGTCAAAGTCATAAACTGCATAAAAATCCTTAAAAGTCCCAATATATTTCACACATGATAAATTGCATAAATCATAAGAGTCTATTAAAGCCTAGTATGACCCATGTAGGAGTTCACCTTTAGGAGTTATACGGCTTAATAATGTCCTTCATTCAGGAAAGCTGAAGGTTTATGGGAAGCAGCTCAACTGTGTTTCACTCTCATATAAATCATATAAAATTATTAGACGGGTCCGTTGCATTACGATTGAAAGCAGTACCAATAATGTCAAAAATGTGATGTGCAGTCGAGTTTGTGTGTGTGTGTGTGTGTGTGTGTGCTGTTTAAATAAGTGTTTTCACCGATACACTTGTTGTGATTCGCTGAAGTTCTGACGAGTTTTACTGTAAACTGTCACGCATTGAGCGCGAGACTCACACAGTTGACCCTTTCCACACACTCTCACCACACATCCATTTACTCACACAGAGAATGATCATGTAGCAAAGAGGACACTGACACCGACAGACAAGACATAGCAGGTTACTTTAATACAAAACAAATGATCAGCGCTCAGATTCTGTCCATTTTATTACGAAATTCAAGCAATAAATGGCGTTTTGGCTCTTGTAAGTGTGTCGTGACAGATCTCAGTAGCGCTTCAGTTCAAGCGGCACGTAACCGATCATCTGTTACTCTTCTTTACTACTAATATAAGCACAAATGATCAATAAGCCATTTTGAAAAATATCTAATTTAAAAATTTGAAATAAAACTCTTGATCAGTGTTTATCAACCGGGGAAAGAGGTCCATAAAACATCTGGAGAACAACATGTCAACGTTACATTTACCTCACGAAAGCCATTTAATGATCATACAGGCTAGACAAATTAGTGTTTTGTTAAATATGTCCACTATATTAGGCTACATATTATATGTTTACTTTACTTATATCATTAAAATATTTTTAAGTTGTTATTAAAAAACTAACCTCTCTGGGGTTAGTTTGATATTTTGCACTTAAAGCCCTGTTTTAAGATCGTTTCTGATGAAATAGAACGGTTAAGATTGAAATTTGGACAAATTTTGCTGTCCTGAGAATTGTAGTTTTCTGTGTTAGCACCCCCATCCACACAATGGTTGTCTATGTGCACTTGAACAATCATTCATAAAACGCATTAAACTTTAGTTTACAAAGACGTGAAACTCACCGAGTGGTCTGGGGTGTTCACTGATATACTCACACAAATATCGCTGCAAAAGATGCTTTCCAACACGTTTTAGCGTAGTTTTGTCCGACTCCATTGACTTGACTTGGTACAAAAATATGATAAAACCTGTTGGAAAGCATCTTCACAATGTAAATATATGATGTTAATGTCCTACAGGTGATGTGTGTGAACATTCATCTTCTGCAGCTCCAGTCTCTTCAACAACACTGACTCCAGACACCACAACAAACTCTCTGAATCCAGGTGTGTATGAACATCATCCTCATCATCCAGAGAATCAGTTTCTGATCACACATCATCACTCTCGCTTCAGTGGTTTGCACTGGCTCTCTCAGGCTGGTTTATTATCACAGATATTATCTACAAAAAATATCTCTTTAGTCAGATTTGTCAGTGAGCCATTTTGATACATACAGTATGACTTGTACTTCCTGTTGTCTGATGCAAATTAATTATAGATATTATACAGATAGTGTATCTCATGCCATCCCATGATAAATTCAAATGATAGTATGGATTCATTTTTGGAAAATAAATGCCTTGACATTCTGTTCATGCATTAAAATATGACATATTTCTATTTCCATCTTGTTTTAATAGGTGTAACTACAACTACATCAACTACAGTAACAGGACTTTCCACAGCAAACTCTCTGAATCCAGGTGTGTATGAAAATCATCCTCATTTGATCGACTCAAAGTTTATAGAATCAGTATCTGAATCCTCTCTAAAGTTGTTCAAACAGCTGATCACAAATATTGATTGTTATTAAATGTCAAAGATACATCATTCTCATCCAGACTGTCCTAACAATAGGGGAGTGATTTGCTTACATTCATTGACATAAAAAGAGCAGCTAATCCCCCGCCTCTCTTACCCGCTCTGCAGACACTCATAACTGTAAAGTTACGAGGGGCTGTTCCAGTGAGGACTGTCTTATAGCCAAGTTTTATTTAGAAACATAAAGGCTTTTGAAGGCCTTAGACTTTCTATTGTGCACAGCAATAGAGAAAGATTCAGGTACACTGGGTTCCCGCTTGTTTTGTAAACATTTAAGAAAATTACTCTTATCATAGCGGAGACCCGATACATATCACTGAGAGCTGGTATCAGTTGTTTTTGGTTCACCTCGAGCCGCCGGAGGAGGGTATGGGGTCTGGCGCTGTGGCATATAGGCCATAATAGGCCAAAGAGCTCTCAGAGGAGGGGGAGGGGGGCTTGGGGGTGAGCTGGGCCTACAGGCTTTGGTGGTTGTGAGGCCTGGCGTTTTTTGGTTGACATCTGGGGGCTTTCAGCAAACGAGTGGGACAGTTTGGTTCCAGCATACACCAGTTTTTCCATTTTCTCTGAGAAGGACAGAAGTGGAGATTCTGGAGAGAGGGATAACGTGTCCGGGGAGAGGGACTGTTGCTCTGGTGTTATCTTAAATAAGTTCCCTGTTTGGCTGGTCGGAGAAAAGAATTCTGCTTTTTTGTAGTAATCAAGTTTTTGAGCACTGTGCTGATTTGCTGAAGTTACAATTAGGTGATAAAAGGAGATAAAATATAAAAATATAAAAGCGATAAAACAAAGCGCGGAGCAGTAAGCAAGAGCTTAGATGTTGATCGTTGGTGGGGAGAAAGTGTTCAGCACTGTTTTGTGTTCAACCTCCCTTATCTATCATTCTTCAGACGCTACACCTCTCTCAATATTCAAAGTGTAAACAGAGACCAGAGCTACAGCTACTCAGTCCAGGATAGGTTTGATAGCTCTGTTGCGCAGCAAACACTTCGCCATCGTCACGTGATCAGTGAACTGTGAGTCCTACTCTGGCGACTCGTGCTGGATGAGCAGAGCAGACGTTTACAATAGTTTACAATGGTTTTTATTTTTATATAAACAGCAAAATGATCTTGGAGGCAGTGACGCGGTCGTAATGTGAATATAGTGGCGCATATTCTGTGCTAATTCCACCCTTGCACTCCGTCAAGGCGATATCACAAGACCACTTCCACTCGACAAGAGATCTCGTCACATTTTATTCTCGCAAGATCTCATCACATTTTAGTCTCACAAGATATCGTCACATTTTGTTCTCACAAGAGATCTCGTCACATTTTATTCTTGCGAGATCTCGTCACATTTTAGTCTCGGGAGATCTCATCACATTTTATTCTCGCGAGATCTCGTCACTTTTCTCGTGAGATCTCGTCACATTTTAGTATTGCGAGAACTCGTCAAATTTTAGTATTGCAAGATCTCGTCACATTTTAGTCTTGTGAGATCTCGTCACATTTTAGTCTCGTGAGATCTCGTCACATTTTAGTCTCGTGAGATCTCGTAACATTTTTGTATTGCAAGATCTCATCACATTTTATACTCGCGAGGTCTCGTCACATTTTAGTATTGCGTGATCTCGTCACATTTTATTCTCGCGAGATCTCGTCACATTTTAGTCTCGTGAGATCTCGTCACATTTTAGTCTCGGGAGATCTCGTCACTTTTCTCGCGAGATCTCGTCACATTTTAGTATTGCGAGATCTTGTCACATTTTAGTCTTATGAGATCTCTTTAACATTTTAGTCTCACAAGATCTCGTCACATTTTAGTATTGGGAGATCTCGTCACATTTTAGTATTGCGAGATCTCGTTACATTTTAGTATTGCGAGATCTCGTCACATTTTAGTCTCGTGAGATCTCGTCACTTTTTATTCTCGCGAGATCTCGTCACATTTTATTCTAGCGAGATCTCGTCACATTTTAGTCTCGGGAGATCTCGTCACATTTTATTCTCGCGAGATCTCGTCACTTTTCTCGTGAGATCTCGTCACATTTTAGTATTGCGAGAACTCGTCAAATTTTAGTATTGCAAGATCTCGTCACATTTTAGTCTCGTGAGATCTCGTAACATTTTTGTATTGCAAGATCTCATCACATTTTATACTCGCGAGGTCTCGTCACATTTTAGTATTGCGAGATCTCGTCACATTTTATTCTTGCGAGATCTCGTCACATTTTAGTCTCGTGAGATCTCGTCACATTTTAGTCTCGGGAGATCTCGTCACTTTTCTCGCGAGATCTCGTCACATTTTAGTATTGCGAGATCTTGTCACATTTTAGTCTTATGAGATCTCGTCACATTTTAGTCTCACAAGATCTCGTCACATTTTAGTATTGGGAGATCTCGTCAGATTTTAGTATTGCGAGATCTCGTTACATTTTAGTATTGCGAGATCTCGTCACATTTTAGTCTCGTGAGATCTCGTCACTTTTTATTCTCGCGAGATCTCGTCACATTTTATTCTAGCGAGATCTCGTCACATTTTAGTCTCGGGAGATCTCAACACATTTTATTCTCGCGAGATCTCGTCACTTTTCTCGTGAGATCTCGTCACATTTTAGTATTGCGAGAACTCGTCAAATTTTAGTATTGCAAGATCTCGTCACTTTTTAGTATTGGGAGATCTCGTCAGATTTTAGTATTGCGAGATCTCGTTACATTTTAGTATTGCGAGATCTCGTCACATTTTAGTCTCGTGAGATCTCGTCACTTTTTATTCTCGCGAGATCTCGTCACATTTTATTCTAGCGAGATCTCGTCACATTTTAGTCTCGGGAGATCTCAACACATTTTATTCTCGCGAGATCTCGTCACTTTTCTCGTGAGATCTCGTCACATTTTAGTATTGCGAGATCTCGTCACATTTTAGTATTGCGAGATCTTGTCACATTTTAGTCTTGTGAGATCTCGTCACATTTTAGTCTCACAAGATCTCGTCACATGTTAGTATTGGGAGATCACGTCACATTTTAGTATTGCGAGAACTCGTCACATTTTAGTCTCGTGAGATCTCGTCACATTTTATTCTCGCGAGATCTCGTCACATTTTATTCTCGCGAGATCTCGTCACATTTTATTCTCGTGAGATCTCGTCACATTTTATTCTCGCGAGATCTCATCTCATTTTAGTTCCACAAGATCCCGTCACATTTTATTCTCGCGTGATCTCATCTCATTTTAGTCCCACAAGATCTCGTCACATTTTATTCTCGCGTGATCTCATCTCATTTTAGTTCCACAAGATCCAGTCACATTTTATTCTCGCGTGATCTCATCTCATTTTAGTCCCACAAGATCTCGTCACATTTTATTCTCGCGAGATCTCGTCACATTTTATTCTCGCGAGATCTCGTCACATTTTAGTCTCGTGAGATCTCGTAACATTTTTGTATTGCAAGATCTCATCACATTTTATACTCGCGAGGTCTCGTCACATTTTAGTATTGCGAGATCTCGTCACATTTTATTCTCGCGAGATCTCGTCACATTTTAGTCTCGGGAGATCTCGTCACTTTTCCCGCGAGATCTCGTCACATTTTAGTATTGCGAGATCTTGTCACATTTTAGTCTTATGAGATCTCGTCACATTTTAGTCTCACAAGATCTCGTCACATTTTAGTATTGCGAGATCTCGTCACATTTTATTCTCGCGAGATCTCGTCACATTTTAGTCTCGTGAGATCTCGTCACATTTTAGTCTCGTGAGATCTCGTCACATTTTATTCTCGCGAGATCTCGTCACATTTTATTCTCGCGTGATCTCATCTCATTTTAGTTCCACAAGATCCCGTCACATTTTATTCTCGCGTGATCTCATCTCATTTTAGTCCCACAAGATCTCGTCACATTTTATTCTCGCGAGATCTCGTCACATTTTATTCTCGTGAGATCTCGTCACATTTTATTCTCGTGAGATCTCGTCACATTTTAGTCTCGGGAGATCTCGTCACATTTTATTCTCGCGTGATCTCATCTCATTTTAGTCCCACAAGATCTCGTCACATTTTATTCTCGCGAGATCTCGTCACATTTTATTCTCGTGAGATCTCGTCACATTTTATTCTCGTGAGATCTCATCTCATTTTAGTTCCACGAGATCTCATCTCGTCACATTTTATTCTCGTGAGATCTCGTCACATTTTAGTCTCGGGAGATCTCGTCACATTTTATTCTCGCGTGATCTCATCTCATTTTAGTCCCACAAGATCTCGTCACATTTTATTCTCGCGAGATCTCGTCACATTTTATTCTCGTGAGATCTCGTCACATTTTATTCTCGTGAGATCTCATCTCATTTTAGTTCCACGAGATCTCATCTCATTTTAGTTCCACGAGATCTCGTCACATTTTATTCTCGCGTGATCTCATCTCATTTTAGTTCCACGAGATCTCGTCACATTTTATTCTCACGAGATATCGTCACATTTTGTTCTCACAAGATCTCGTCACATTTTATTCTCGCGAGGTCTTGTCACATTTTATTCTTGCGAGATCTCGTCACTTTTCTCGTGAGATCTCGTCACATTTTAGTATTGCGAGAACTCGTCAAATTTTAGTCTCGTGAGATCTCGTAACATTTTTGTATTGCAAGATCTCGTCACATTTTAGTCTTGTGAGATCTCGTCACATTTTAGTCTCGTGAGATCTCGTAACATTTTTGTATTGCAAGATCTCATCACATTTTATACTCGCGAGGTCTCGTCACATTTTATTCTCGCGAGATCTCGTCACATTTTATTCTCGCGAGATCTCATCTCATTTTAGTCCCACAAGATCTTGTCACATTTTATTCTGGTGAGATCTCGTCACATTTTAGTCTCGGGAGATCTCGTCACATTTTATTCTCGCGTGATCTCATCTCATTTTAGTTCCACGAGATCTCGTCACATTTTATTCTCGCGTGATCTCATCTCATTTTAGTTCCACAAAATCTCGTCACATTTTATTCTCGCGTGATCTCATCTCCATTTTAGTCCCACAAGATCTTGTCACATTTTATTCTGGTGAGATCTCGTCACATTTTAGTCTCGGGAGATCTCGTCACATTTTATTCTCGCGTGATCTCATCTCATTTTAGTTCCACGAGATCTCGTCACATTTTATTCTCGCGTGAGCTCATCTCATTTTAGTTCCACGAAATCTCGTCACATTTTAGTCTCACAAGATCTCGTCACATTTTAGTATTGGGAGATCTCATCACATTTTATACTTGCGAGGTCTCGTCACATTTTATTCTCGCGTGATCTCATCTCATTTTAGTTCCACGAGATCTCGTCACATTTTATTCTCGCGTGATCTCATCTCATTTTAGTTCCACAAGATCTCGTCACATTTTATTCTCGCGTGATCTCATCTCATTTTAGTCCCACAAGATCTTGTCACATTTTATTCTGGTGAGATCTCGTCACATTTTAGTCTCGGGAGATCTCGTCACATTTTATTCTCGCGTGATCTCATCTCATTTTAGTTCCACGAGATCTCGTCACATTTTATTCTCGCGTGATCTCATCTCATTTTAGTTCCACGAAATCTCGTCACATTTTATTCTCGCGTGATCTCGTCTCATTTTAGTCCCACAAGATCTCGTCACATTTTATTCTCGCAAGATCTCGTCACTTTTCTCGCGAGACCTAGTCACATTTTAGTCTTGTGAGATCTCGTCACATTTTAGTCTCGTGAGATCTCGTCACATTTTAGTCTCGTGAGATCTCGTCACATTTTAGTATTGCGAGATCTCAACATTTTAGTATTGCAAGATCTCGTTACATTTTATTCTCGCAAAATCTCATCACAATTTAGTCCCACAAGATCTCGTCACATTTTAGCCTCACGAGATCTCGTTACATTTTATTCTCGCGTTATCTCATCACAGTTTAGTCCCACAAGATCCCGTCACATTTTAGTCTGAATTTTTATATAAATTCATCACGAACATCAATTTACTTCATGATAAATATGGATAATTATGCTATTGTTGTTTTTATGTTTTTGGTTAAACAGTAATATAGTCCTGCTGAATGTGTCTCTATTTATAATGTCTCTCTCAGGGCTTGTGGCTGTGATTGTGATTGTTGCCGCTTCATTCGCTCTGGCTCTTATTCTCTGGGTGATTCGTAAGAAAAGAGCAGGTGAGTTTTTCATATTTTGTAACAACAGACAAAATTTTAAAAACTGATTGTCATCTGCATTATAGACTGTGTGTTTGATCATAAACTTTCCTGTGACATTATGTTTCAGGCAACAGAAGAGGGACTGGTGACTCTGTGGTAAGTATTGCAGGTTTAACCATGAGTTATTAATGTTCATGTGGTGGGGAAGGGCAAAAATTACACTAATGTACAAAATAGAGTAAGATAAAGAGCAGACTACATCACCACATTTCTAGCGAGAAATTACTATTGTAGTCATTAAATATTCTCTCAGTTTTCACCAAAGCTCGGTCTATTTTGTTGTAGATTATGAAACCGTAGCAGAAGTCTGAAATCAGTTTCGTGAGGAACGTTCAACGACACGTTCACGACAACGCTTTCAACCAAAAACGTAAAACTTTTTATGGGTTTTGGCTGTTTATTTACACGACAGTGTTTTGGGTGCCTGAAATCTGTGAAATGTAAACAACAAAAACGTGAATCTGTGGAGACGATAACGTCATGCACATAAAAAAAAACAAAAAAAACAACAAAAAAAAAAACATCATGCACATGCGTATTACATGTTCAGTCTATAGTGTTTCATCGCCATCTAGTGGCCTGGCAGAAAAATACAGTGTTTAGTCGTTTTCGCGGATCTGTGTGAACGGGGGTAATTTTGACAATCGTGTCGTCTACGCGGAAAACTCAAAGGAAAAACTTATTTTTTTAAGCATAATGTTTTCGAGTAAACGTACCCTGAGTGTGTGTGTTGTTGTGCTACTGCAAAACCTGAGTAAAATATTATTGATGGATGGCTTTTAATTTTTAATTGTATTTCCATTGATGTTTAGGGGCAGACAGATGACGTGACTTATACTGAAGTCGCTGCGTACAGTAAAAAACGAAGCAAAAAGGACAAGGTGAGCGAACACTTCCTTGATGTTGTCCAGCTTCACTCAACATGATAGTTTGTGTTTTCCTCTCATATTCAGTTATTCTTGATTTGTGTGATGATATGCAGTTCTTCATGAATTGAGCTCAGACAACATGCTGTAATAATGGTGGTTTGAAACGACTGTGATGTTCATTCAGGTTCGCTGTGATGATAGAGTGACGTATGCTTCCATCAGAGGAGCAAAAGCTGGAGCTCAGGAGAACTGCAGTGAACTTTATGCCTCTGTGAACAAGAACACACCAGTCAAATAATTATACAAAACACACATCAGCACAGGAATATCAATCTAATATAACTCATTCATTAACATGTTAACAAACTAATTGTAGTGAATTGTTGTCTTTTGTCCTCTTTGTGTTCTGGCTTTGAGTTCTAGCGCTTTCAGAACTGTTTTAATAACCTTTGGTCTAGTTTTAATTTAGCGATATGGAGCTAGCGTGACCAATGGTACATATTTTCAGTAGTATTTTCAGAGCGATGAACTCACTGTTGAGGTTTTGGAAACTGATGAGTGTGAGAACTCGTAGTTCGTTTAACCACACATGCTATTAGAGAAACACGTGTGGTTAAAGAAGAAAGAAAGAAGAGGAACTGACATCTTAACTCTCACAGAACTGGTCATCTCTGAACCCAGTTTGGACTGAACCTGGGAACCTGAACATAAAAACAATGTTGCAAGAGAAAACGAACTTCCATATATCGCAGATCCTTGATGTATTCCTTAACATGCTTTTATTGACCCCAAATAAATGTGTATAAATGGTCAGTGAATTAAATATGAGTATATGTATGTATGTATGTATACTCATGTTTAATTTTAGGATTATTAATTTTAATTCAATTTTAAGGATTATTAGGAACACCATACTAATACTGTGTTTGACCCCATTTCACCTTCAGAATTGCTTTAATTCTACGTAATTTTAATGGTGAAAATGCATAGCTTTTCGATCGAGGGAACCCATGTGCTGCTAACTTCTGAGTTGTCCCACAAAGTGACATCATCACTTCAGCACTCTATTGGCACTAAAGTGTGTCCAGAAAACATCCCCACACCATTACACCACCACCAGCAGCCTGCACAGTGGGAACAAGGCCCATTTACTTTTTTATGGTTTTTTACAAATATTTTATTTTTACTGCTTTATCTGCTAATTTGTTACTGCTGTTCAGCTGAAATAAATGATCAAATCTTAAGACTCCAACATTTCTCTTTGTAACATGTTGTTCAGTACAAAAACAAATGCTAAACTTTGACAAAAAGTATTTTATTTTTGTTATAATTGTGATTTTATAATATTTAGATATGAATCCAACTTTAGAAACTATATCTTTCAGTAATTCAAATAGTATATAGGCCTAGGATCTCTATAGCCATCTAGTGGTTAATGTGACTTATTACAAATTTTAACCTGTATTTTCCAAATAATGAGCAAAAGTTTTACATTAAACCTTATAAAATTATCCATGGCATCCCCAGGAATGAAAGTTAGAAATCTGGATCTTTTATAAAGTTTTTTGGTAACACTTTACAATACGGGTGCATTAATTCATGCTTAACTAATGCACAGATAATACTGAATTAATGTGTAACTAATGATTATTTAAACTATTCATTAATGATTACCACATTAGGAACTAATTAAGAGTCTGAAAGGTTAATGTATTAGTTCATACACGAAATGTTATTAATTAAATATGTAATTGTAATTGGGGTTCTAAGCATGCGTCAAAACCGCCGCCATCTTGGAACAGGGGTCGTGTCATAGGAAGTAGCTACAGTAGATAACGCTGCTATCTCTGCCTTTACTTCGAATTCATTGATGGTGGCGGACTTTTGTGCAGCATATGATGTTCACGGATGAAATCTGAACTAGGAAGAATGTTTTTTTTTTTTTTTCTGGAATCAATAATAAATACAAGTCTGACCAGTGGAACAAACCAAAAAAACGAGAAAAAAAATCGCATTCATGATGATTTATGGTGATTTTATTTCCGTTAGACCTGTGTCTACATTGACGCTGATGCATTAAAGTGGAGGGGCTCGTCTGTTTCAAGATGGCGGCTCTATTGACGCATTCGTTTCCAATGAACTGCCGTAGCCAAGGTGACGTCTAGTTTATATACATCTATGATGCAGAACAGGCAGCTTTCACAACCAATCGTAAAGACCTTTCAATGCGCCCATTTCTTAATTTAAATTATAGTGAACGTTTAATGTTGTGTTAGTTAGCAATTATAATTGTCGACAAAACAGCACGTAACAATTGTTAGTTAATCATAACTGGTTACTTGAAAACCTCATACGACAGCGAACTAGCCCAGGACTGCAAACACAAGGAAAATAAATAGGGAGCAAACAAAGCAGGTAATGAGGGAGGACAGGTGAGGAAAATTAACCAATAATCAGGACACAAGGGGTTAGACAATTGAAAGGAGACCACATGGCATGAGGAAACACACATGCTTTAAATACCCCGTAAATCGTCCTCAATAAAAGGAGCTTTCCCTGAGACCATAGAAGGATCTGGCGAGCCAGCTTGTATAACGGGCACAAACGCAGAACATGGTGACCTCTCAGGTCTGGGAGGAAGTGTTTCAGGGCCATCATTTCTAGACAATTTATGTGCCATTGAAGATGATGGTCCTGCACAGACCCTGGGCCGAACGACCACTCATGATCGCCCCCCAGCCTGTGAGAGAGGCGTCCGTCGTTAGTGTTACACGACGACACCGAGCCCCCAGCACAGGTCCTAAGGACAGGAACCAAGGTTCTTTCCACATAGCCAGGGCACGAAGACGCCGTCGATTGACCCTGATCTTGACTGCAGTGGTCTCATGTACAGCTGGCCGCAAGGTAAAACATTGGACACTGTTGCTATCAGACCCAGAATTCTCTGATATTCTTTTACAGTGAGTGACTGGCCTCGCTTTGCCTGTTTTTGACGGCTATGAGAATCAAAGCTATACGAGCAGGAGACAGACGTGCCTGCATCGTCATCGAATCGCAAACCACACCGAGAAAAGTCTTCTGTAGTGGAGCTGTAACTATATAATGAAGAGGAGGAGCTGATGATTAAAGGAGGAGCTGTAACTATATAATAAAGAGGAAGACAGACAGAAACGGACAGAAGCAGAAATGTCTGATCAGTGTGATCTGTGTCTGCTGGGACTGATCATTCTCTCTTCACTTCTCACAGGTAAAGAAATCTGTATTTTCTCTAAACACATTTAGTGGAATTAGTCTGGAAAGAGTTGATTTGAACATGCTCAGTTTATTCTTGCACACATTCACGTTGTGATCTCAGAGTTGTGTATTGATACACACAGATCATACTGTATTATTCCTGATACTGGACATAGTGTCAAAGGGTAACACTTTACAATAAGGCTACATGAATAATCATGCACTAATACCTGAATTAATACTTTATTAAACATGAACTAATAATTATTGAAGGCACGACCGAATCATGAACCAATGAAGAGTTATCTTGAACTATGACTGTCATTACGGATTCACACATGAATAACGGCAGCATTCACTACATGTTATACATGTTTGATAATTAATTAATTCATTAACATTCATGGATAAACTTAATCAAACCAGAGATACAGGAAGTGGGGGTGCAGCAGCTGCAGCTTTTGTGTTCATTTCTATTTCCTGTATCTGTGTACGCTCTTCTATTGTGTGTTTCAGTGTAAACAGCCCAATAACCCTTTTATTTAAACTTAATTTATGTCCTGTAGACCAGTCCGTTGCATTACGATTGAAAGCAGTATCAATAATGTCGAAAATAATGTCAAAAATTTGATGCGAGTCATTCTAGCAAACTGGTGCCATTTGGGTCCGCAACGTTTGATGAGATGTTTAAGGCACAAAATGTCCCAAAATGTGTTTATAAAGCTTAAAGTTATTAATTCAAGTTTTTCTTTTGTTAACATGATATGCGATAAAATACTATTTTTTTTTAAAAATAACGTACTATTTTTAATAATTTGTCATCAGTACATTGCCAATTTTACATGTACGTGAATTAATGTTGAATGCTGTTCTTGTTATGTGGACTAATCAAATAAATGTATATTTATTTGTATTTTTTAAGTGAATTAATTTTTGTGTTTTTTTCAGTATAAACAATGAGGCCATTGAAATGTCAAATTCAAATTTCAAGATTAAAAACTAAGAAAAAAAAATACAGACTTTATATTGATGGTTTCCAATAGCATTTTACTATAAGGAAAACATTAGATTTAAAGAATATATATTTCTGTCTGTGACGGGGTGGTACAAGACTACCTTGCCTGAATAAAAGGTGGGAAAATATGTTTTGTGGAGGATTAACGTATTTTTAAAGTTGTAAGTTTTTTAAAAATATATATATATTTTTTTAATGAAAATTTGGAAAATTGCTAAGTGGAAGTGGCACCCGTTTCATAGAATGACTGATGTTTAAACTGTGTTCAGTTTAGACAAGTGTTCTCATCGATACGCTTGTTGTGATTTGCGGAGTTTTGACGAGTTTTATAGACTTTCAAAAATTCAAAAGTGGTGACCTAAAAAAAAGGAAATAAGTAGCGAGTAGAAATAAGGTGTGGCCCCTTTAAGAGCTGCGCGCTCCCTGTTGAACGCTCTGCTTTTGTATGTGCGTCTCGATCACCCCATGCGGGTTATTTCTGTCTGATGCTCTTTTTAAAGTAATTGTGTTTAGTTAATAACGCTGTGGACGGCTGATCGTGTCTGACAGAGAGTTACAGGAGATCAACTAAAGAGTGAGTTGTGAATTCCCGATCGCTCCGTGAGTCTGTGGCCTCTGAAACGACTCCAGATAAGTGAGATATACATAGTTTACCATGAAGTAGCGTGTGTATGCCACGTCAATTCGTATTTCCATTTTTGGCGTGCTATCAAGACGCATAATCGCCTTTCAGCGTGTTTATGAACGCCGTTGACTTAACTTTATATAAATATATGACTTACCTCAACCCCATCCCTAAACCTAACTGTCACTGGGGTTAATGGCATTTATGACTGGAGATTTGACTGCGTGTACAGACACGTGGAATGACGCGGACGTTAATGGTGTAGACATACACGCGGATAGCTCAAAATGCGTAGAGATAACTCGAAAGTGGCGTGTACAGGGATTAAAGTCCTCTGTCGCTACGACGGATTTCCGTTAATTGCAGCGAGTCTATGGCGGATATCCGTCAATTGCAGGGTTCCCGTCTGTCCTTATGTCTTAAATTAACTTTTCATAATTTTAAGGCCGTAAATAGGCTTTCATTTCGCAAACAGTGTGATAACTGTCTTAATTTTAGTTTGAATAGGTCTTAAATTAAGGAAAGATGATGCGTATTCACCCTGCTGAGGGGGGATGTGATAAAGCCTGGAGTGGAGCGAAAGCACGTTCCTCTCTCCACTCTCAGCATTCTGTAATCACTTTGCTCATGGTCCACTCCGGGTTTTCAATTCCCGCTCACGGAAAAACTGCTCCCTGGACCCTGTTCACTCAATCTTGTCAGGAGAGGCTACAGCTCGTTTGCTGCGGTCCCATGATAGAAAACAGAACGCGGGTCAATATTGGTCGTTTCTCAATACCAAGTACGCAAACTTCGGACTTGCCAAGTTCGACTCGGGAGAACAAACTCCCGAGGACGAGAGGACGCTGCTAACAGCGCGTTATTCTTGGTCGCGTCACTCAGCACGCGGCTACTCCGGTTATCAACTCTGCCTTTTTTCATCAACACCACTGTGCCTCTTTTCATTTATAAATGAACATAATTATTATCAAAAACATATAAATGGCCACACAAATGTGGTTCAGGCAACGCACATTGATTATCATATATTTATAACAACACAAAATATAGCTAAAACACAAACCTGATTCTTTTTGTTTTCATTTTAAAAATATGAAACATTATTTATCATTAAAACTGACATTAACAAACAGACAGGGTTGTATAGTTTTATTGTATTATGCGTACACATACAGTGAAGAGAATGCATAGTAATATAATATTTTATATATTTTATATATAAAATTACACAACCATGTCTCTTTTTTGTTAAATGTCAGTTTTAATGCTAATATCCCGTTCAAAAGTATAAGTAGCCTAATAGGTAGGCTATAATAAGCTATACAATGATGAATAAAGCAAACAATTCAGTTAAACATAAGTAGGCTCTCTAATAGGCTACAAAGTTAAAGTTAAATAGCCTACATAATAAAGTTATAAAACTTCACTTTGCCCTTAGCCAAAACAATTTGCCATGGCACAAACTATATATTAATATAGTTTAGCATTGTTTGGTCTCATAAGATAAATAAAAACATGTACTGAAAAGTTATGTATATGGTTGATTATTTGTCAAGATAAGTAATTGTTTTTCATAGATTAAAATAGCTTTTAAATTACGCAAACTGGCAATATTAGATCGGTTTTAAACATCTCCCCTTAAAACGCTATTGGTCTCAACTATTTAAATAAAGTTACAGGAATATGACTTGGCCTGAAAAAAATTTCAGTCAGAAGAATTTTTTTCACTTTAATCCCTGCGTGTATGTTTACGCAAGTCATGATGTCATGTTGCCGAACACAACGTCTTACAAATACCCTGACTTTGAATGTCGAGGATCCTCTTCGTTCGAAAAATATCCCATACACAGGAAAGGGTGTAGCCTTCGCGCTCTCAAATCACCCACAATCCTTATAGCGGCGTCTGTTATCAAGAAACCGACCGCGTTCTGCAGTGTAATTCTACCAAGCCATGTAATAAATGCCTATCTTTAAATGCAAATATGAACAATAACAGTGTATAATAAATCACTAATATATCACTAATCGTGCTCCTGTGCTGTCCATGCTGCTGGGTCCTTCCTCATCTGCACCTCCAGCTGCCATTTAGCTGCCTCTTGTGCCAATGTTTTTTTTTCTTTTTGATTCATATTTTTTGGCCTCATCCATTTCTTTCTCTTCTTTCCTTCCTTTGGCCATTTTTACCACCAAACATGACCAAAAGTAAACTCTATTGATCGGCGCCTAGTTTGAGCCAATCGGATGTCAGGAAAAACGAGGATCAGTCCAGGTTGGGAGGGGCCGCTCGTATCCCCCCTCAGATTGAAAGTATTGGCCCGGTCTGATGATGCGTTCGCGTGCTATGGTAATTATGGTAAATCGTGTAAAATGCACTTGAACACACTCATGTGGTATTTCCACTGGGCAGCTCGTAGAATAATTTGATGCACGAGTTGCCGAGATGAGAACCTTTGACCTTTTCAAAATGGCGGAGAGCAACACGAGAGTCGTGAATGGTAAAATAATGTACTATTCATGATTTAGAAAATATACTGCATATTATTTACCGTTTAAGTTTTGATAAATCACTTTTGTGCTGTAGCAGATGACTTAAGCAATCTAAAATAGTTTTAGCTTAATAACAGGTCTGGATCTCCATCTTTTTACCACATTACGACAACAAAAGCACTTGACCGCAACACACTGGTAACGTTAAATACCAGTTTACAAGTGGAAAATATCATATTGAACGCACCATGAAACACACAGACAGTGTTCCACTGCAGTTGAGCGGCCGGTCGCGTATCATTAAAAATGAAAAAGCCCGTCTTCGGCCTGAATTGGACCGGCTGTTCAGGATTGTTCCCGGTATTCCCGATGACCAATCCGCCCCTGCCTTGTGTGTGCAGACCTCTATGGTACATGATTATTCATAAACCCTTATTGTAAAGCGTTACCGGAAAAATACTGTATGATTGTAATCTTCTGCTTGTTATGCTGGTTTGGTTTATGGTTTCATTTATTAATAAATATCATAATGATCACTGAGATCTACTGTGTTTCAGGCACCAGTGGAGTGGATCATGTGTTCATCAGTTCTGGTGGAAATGTCCGTCTGTCCTGTAATAATGCTCTTTCTGACTGCAAATCAACTACATGGACCTACACTAACAGCTTCAGATATTCAGCAGCAGTTGCACTGATTGAGTTAGGGATAAAGAATAAAGACACAGAGAGACATGAGAGACTGAGTCTGGAGTCTGACTGCTCTCTGAACATCAAGAACGCCACAGAAGAAGATTATGGATTATACACCTGCAGACAATTTGTGAACGAACAACAAGGAACTGATGCACGTGTTTATCTGAATGTTCTTCATGGTAAGTTTATGATTATATGGTCAATTTAAAAAGGGCAGATTCTTTATTAAACTCAGATGATGATTGAAGAGTCTGTGATTTGTGTCTTGTGTTCAGTTTCAGTGTCTCCATCATCATCATCTTCATCATCATCTTCATCCTCTCAGACTGAGATCAGTCCAGGCCGCTCTGTGACTCTCTCCTGTCAGTTGTATAAATATATGAGATACTCCTGTAATGATCGGGTTCGTTCTGATGGAGTTGAGCTGTTGTGGGTGAATCAGGCTGGTGTTGATCTGAAGACAGACTCCAGATATCAGATATCATCATCATCACCACCATCATCATCATCATCATCATCATCTCAATATCCTTGTTTCATCACTCTGACTACAACACTCCTGAATGAAGATAACAACAGAGAGTGGAGATGTCAGCTTACTCTCAGAAATCAACTCCAGACGTCAGTCACATACACTGTCAAGTATTCAGGTGAGAAACACTGTTAGAAGACAGATTTGAGAAAACTTCCACAGACTGGCTCTACTCTTTATGATGACTTCAATTGTAAAATATTAGTGGTCAAAGTCATAAACTGCATAAAAATCCTTAAAAGTCCCAATATATTTCATACATGATAAATTGCATAAATCATAAGAGTCTATTAAAGCCTAGTATGACCCATGTAGGAGTTCAGCTTTAGGAGTTATACGGCTTAATAATGTCCTTCATTCAGGAAAGCTGAAGGTTTATGGGAAGCAGCTCAACTGTGTTTCACTCTCATATAAATCATATAAAATTATTAGACGGGTCCGTTGCATTACGATTGAAAGCAGTACCAATAATGTCAAAAATGTGATGTGCAGTCGAGTTTGTGTGTGTGTGTGTGTGTGTGTGCTGTTTAAATAAGTGTTTTCACCGATACACTTGTTGTGATTCGCTGAGTTCTGACGAGTTTTACTGTAAACTGTCACGCATTGAGCGCGAGACTCACACAGTTGACCCTTTCCACACACTCTCACCACACATCCATTTACTCACACAGAGAATGATCATGTAGCAAAGAGGACACTGACACCGACAGACAAGACATAGCAGGTTACTTTAATACAAAACAAATGATCAGCGCTCAGATTCTGTCCATTTTATTACCAAATTCAATCAATAAATGGCGTTTTGGCTCTTGTAAGTGTGTCGTGACAGATCTCAGTAGCGCTTCAGTTCAAGCGGCACGTAACCGATCATCTGTTACTCTTCTTTACTACTAATATAAGCACGAATGATCAATAGGCCATTTTGAAAAATATCTCATTTGAAAAATTGAAATAAAACTCTTGATCAGTGTTTATCAACCGGGGAAAGAGGTCCATAAAACATCTGGAGAACAACATGTCAACGTTACATTTACCTCACGAAAGCCATTTAATGATCATACAGGCTAGACAAATTAGTGTTTTGTTAAATATGTCCACTATATTAGGCTACATATTATATGTTTACTTTACTTATATCATTAAAATAGTTTTAAGTTGTTATTAAAAAACTAACCTCTCTGGGGTTAGTTTGATATTTTGCACTTAAAGCCCTGTTTTAAGATCGTTTCTGATGAAATAGAACGGTTAAGATTGAAATTTGGACAAATGCTGCTGTCCTGAGAATTGTAGTTTTCTGTGTTAGCACCCCCATCCACACAATGGTTGTCTATGTGCACTGCAACAATCATTCATAAAACGCATTAAACTTTAGTTTACAAAGACGTGAAACTCACCGAGTGGTCTGGGGTGTTCACTGATATACTCACACAAATATCGCTGCAAAAGATGCTTTCCAACACGTTTTATCGTAGTTTTGTCCGACTCCATTGACTTGACTTGGTACAAAAACTACAATAAAACCTGTTGGAAAGCATCTTCACAATGTGAAGATATGATGTTAATGTCCTACAGGTGATGTGTGTGAACATTCATCTTCTGCAGCTCCAGTCTCTTCATCAACACTGACTCCAGACACCACAACAAACTCTCTGAATCCAGGTGTGTATGAACATCATCCTCATCATCCAGAGAATCAGTTTCTGATCACACATCATCACTCTCGCTTCAGTGGTTTGCACTGGCTCTCTCAGGCTGGTTTATTATCACAGATATTATCTACAAAAAGTATCTCTTAAGTCAGATTTGTCAGTGAGCCATTTTGATACATACAGTATGACTTGTACTTCCTGTTGTCTGATGCAAATTAATTATAGATATTATACAGATAGTGTATCTCATGCCATCCCATGATAAATTCAAATGATAGTGTGGATTCATTTTTGGAAAATAAATGCCTTGACATTCTGTTCATGCATTAAAATATGACATATTTCTATTTCCATCTTGTTTTAATAGTTGTAACTACAACTACATCAACTACAGTAACAGGACCTCCCACAGCAAAATCTCTGAATCCAGGTGTGTATGAACATCATCCTCATTTGATCGACTCATAGAGTTTACAGAATCAGTATCTGAATCCTCTCTAAAGTTGTTCAAACAGCTGATCACAAATATTGATTGTTATTGTCAAAGATACATCATTCTCATCCAGACTGTCCTAAACAATAGGGGAGTGATTTGCTTACATTCATAAACATATTTAAAAAGAGCAGCTAATCCCCCGCCTCTCTTACCCGCTCTGCAGACACTCATAACTGTAAAGTTAGAAGGGGCTGTTCCAGTGAGGACTGTCTTATAGCCAAGTTTCATTTAGAAACATAAAGGCTTTTGAAGGCCTTAGACTTTCTATTGTGCACAGCAATAGAGAAAGATACAGGCACACTGGGTTCCCGCTTGTTTTGTAAACATTTAAGAAAATTACTCTTATCATAGCGGGGACCCGATACATATCACTGAGAGCTGGTATCAGTTGTTTTTGGTTCACCTCGAGCCGCCGGAGGAGGGTATGGGGTCTGGCGCTGTGTCATAGGCCAAAGAGCTCTCAGAGGAGGGGGGAGGGGGGCTTGGGGGTGAGCTGGGCCTACAGGCTTTGGTGGTTGTGAGGCCTGCCGTTTTTTGGTTGACATCTGGGGGCTTTCAGCAAACGAGTGGGACAGTTTGGTTCCAGCATACACCAGTTTTTCCATTTTCTCTGAAAAGGACAGAAGTGGAGATTCTGGAGAGAGGGATAACGTGTCCGGGGAGAGGGACTGTTGCTCTGGTGTTATCTTAAATAAGTTCCCTGTTTGGCTGGTCGGAGAAAAGAATTCTGCTTTTTTGTAGTAATCAAGTTTTTGAGCACTGTGCTGATTTGCTGAAGTTACAATTAGGTGATAAAAGGAGATAAAATATAAAAATATAAAAGCGATAGAGCGATACAAATATAAAAGCGATAAAACAAAGCGCGGAGCAGTAAGCAAGAGCTTAGATGTTGATCGTTGGTGGGGAGAAAGTGTTCAGCACTGTTTTGTGTTCAACCTCCCTTATCTATCATTCTTCAGACGCTACACCTCTCTCAATATTCAAAGTGTAAACAGAGACCAGAGCTACAGCTACTCAGTCCAGGATAGGTTTGATCGCTCTGTTGCGCAGCAAACACTTCGCCATCGTCACGTGATCAGTGAATTGTGAGTCCTACTCTGGCAACTCGTGCTGGATGAGCAGAGCAGACGTTTACAATAGTTTACAATGGTTTTTATTTTTATATAAACAGCAAAATGATCTTGGAGGCAGTGACGCGGTCGTAATGTGAATATAGTGGCGCATATTCTGTGCTAATTCCACCCTTGCACTCCGTCAAGGCGATATCACAAGACCACTTCCACTCGACAAGAGATCTCGTCACATTTTGTTCTCACAAGATCTCGTCACATTTTATTCTCGCAAGATCTCATCACATTTTAGTCTCACGAGATATCGTCACATTTTGTTCTCACAAGATCTCGTCACATTTTATTCTCGCAAGATCTCATCACATTTTAGTCTCACGAGATATCGTCACATTTTGTTCTCACAAGATCTCGTCACATTTTATTCTCGCGAGGTCTTGTCACATTTTATTCTTGCGAGATTTCGTCACATTTTAGTCTCGGGAGATCTCGTCACATTTTATTCTTGGTAGATCTAGTCACATTTTATTCTCGCAAGATCTCGTCACTTTTCTCGCGAGACCTCGTCACATTTTAGTCTTGTGAGATCTCGTCACATTTTAGTCTCGTGAGATCTCGTCACATTTTATTCTCGTGAGATCTCGTCACATTTTATTCTCGCGTGATCTCATCTCATTTTAGTCCCACAAGATCTCGTCACATTTTATTCTCGCAAGATCTCATCACATTTTAGTCTCACGAGATATCGTCACATTTTGTTCTCACAAGATCTCGTCACATTTTATTCTCGCAAGATCTCATCACATTTTAGTCTCACGAGATATCGTCACATTTTGTTCTCACAAGATCTCGTCACATTTTATTCTCGCGAGGTCTTGTCACATTTTATTCTTGCGAGATTTCGTCACATTTTAGTCTCGGGAGATCTCGTCACATTTTATTCTTGGTAGATCTAGTCACATTTTATTCTCGCAAGATCTCGTCACTTTTCTCGCGAGACCTCGTCACATTTTAGTCTTGTGAGATCTCGTCACATTTTAGTCTCGTGAGATCTCGTCACATTTTATTCTCGTGAGATCTCGTCACATTTTATTCTCGCGTGATCTCATCTCATTTTAGTCCCACAAGATCTCGTCACATTTTATTCTCGTGAGATCTCGTCACATTTTAGTCTCGGTAGATCTCGTCACATTTTATTCTCGTGAGATCTCGTCACATTTTAGTCTCGGTAGATCTCGTCACATTTTATTCTCGCAAGATCTCGTCACTTTTCTCGCGAGACCTCGTTACATTTTAGTATTGCGAGATCTCAACATTTAAGTATTGCAAGATCTCGTCACATTTTATTCTCGCAAGATCTCATCACAATTTAGTCCCACAAGATCTCGTCACATTTTAGCCTCACGACATCTCGTTACATTTTATTCTCGCGTTGTCTCATCACACTTTAGTCCCACAAGATCCCGTCACATTTTAGTCTGAATTTTTATATAAATTCATCACGAACATCAATTTACGTCATGATAAATATGGATAATTATGCTATTGTTGTTTTTATGTTTTTGGTTAAACAGTAATATAGTCCTGCTGAATGTGTCTCTATTTATAATGTCTCTCTCAGGGCTTGTGGCTGTGATTGTGATTGTTGCCGCTTCATTCGCTCTGGCTCTTATTCTCTGGGTGATTCGTAAAAAAAGAGCAGGTGAGTTTTTCATATTTTGTAACAACAGACAAAATTTTAAAAACTGATTGTCATCTGCATTATAGACTGTGTGTTTGATCATAAACTTTCCTGTGACATTATGTTTCAGGCAACAGAAGAGGGACTGGTGACTCTGTGGTAAGTATTGCAGGTTTAACCATGAGTTATTAATGTTCATGTGGCGGGGAAGGGCAAAAATTACACTAATGTACAAAATAGAGTAAGATAAAGAGCAGACTACACCACAACATTTCCATAAACTGGGAAATTTCATGAGGCACATAGGTTCGCTACCACATGTAGGTGCAACGTCACTTAGAGTCAACTGAATGTGTTAAAGGGACCATCCAAATAAAGTGAAACTGACAAATTAAGATGGCGTCTGAAAGTTGCGGCTGTTTGTGTGTAAATGTAAATTTTTGATTAACTTTTACCACTTGTGGTGTCATTTCTAGCGATAAATTACTATTGTAGTCATTAAATATTCTCTCAGTTTTCACCAAAGCTCGCTCTATTTTGCTGTAGATTATTAAACCGTAGCAGAAGTCTGAAATCAGTTTCGTGAGGAACGTTCAACGACACGTTCACGACAACGCTTTCAACCAAAAACGTAAAACTTTTTATGGGTTTAAATCTGTGAAATGTAAACAACAAAAACGTGAATCTGAGGAGACGATAACATCATGCACATACGTATTACATGTTCAGTCTATAGTGTTTCATCGCCATCTAGTGGCCTGGCAGAAAAATACAGTGTTTAGTCGTTTTCGCGGATCTGTGTGAACGGGGATAATTTTGACAATCGCGTCGTCTGTACGCGGAAAACTCAAAGGAAAAACTTATTTTTTAAGCATAATGTTTTCGAGTAAATGTGTGTTTTTGTGCTACTGCAAAACCTGAGTAAAATATTATTAATGGATGGCATTTAATTTTTAATTTTATTTCCATTGATGTTTAGGAGCAGACAGATGACGTGACTTATACTGAAGTCGCTGCGTACAGTAAAAAATGAAGCAAAAAGAACAAGGTGAGCGAACACTTCCTTGATGTTGTCCAGCTTCACTCAACATGATAGTTTGTGTTTTCCTCTCATATTCAGTTATTCTTGATTTGTGTGATGATATGCAGTTCTTCATGAATTGAGCTCAGACAACATGCTGTAATAATGGTGGGTTGAAACGACTGTGATGTTCATTCAGGTTCGCTGTGATGATAGAGTGACGTATGCTTCCATCAGAGGAGCAAAAGCTGGAGCTCAGGAGAACTGCACTGAACTTTATGCCTCTGTGAACAAGAACACACCAGTCAAATAATTATACAAAACACACATCAGCAGAGGAATATCAATCTAATATAACTCATTCATTGTTAATACTTACAATGTCTTTAACATGTTAACAAACAATTGTAATGAATTGTTGTCTTTTGTCCTCTTTGAGTTCTAGCGCATTCAGAACTGTTTTAATAACCTTTAGTCTAATTAATTGGAACAAGTGTGACTTCATATTTTCAGTAGTATTTTCAGCGCGGTGAACTCACTGTTGAGGTTTTGGAAACTGATGAGTGTGAGAACTCGTAGTTCGTTTAACCACACACGCTATTAGAGAAACACGTGTGGTTAAAGAAGAAAGAAAGAAGAGGAACTGAATCTTAACTCTCACAGAACTGGTCATCTCTGAACCCAGTTTGGACTGAACCTGGGAACCTGAACATAAAAACAATGTTGCAAGAGAAAACGAACTTCCATATATCGCAGATCCTTGATGTATTCCTTAACATGCTTTTATTGACCCCAAATAAATGTGTATAAATGGTCAGTGAATTAAATATGAGTATATGTATGTATGTATGTATACTCATGTTTAATTTTAGGATTATTAATTTTAATTTAATTTTAAGGATTATTAGGAACACCATACTAAAGGCCCGTACACACCGGGACGAATATCAGCGCGCGTTATTCGTCAGCGTTTTTCAACGCGTTTTCTGTGTTCACACCCAAGCGTTTTTCGCTGACGATGAGCCGAGTGAACATGCAAATTCATTCCCTGACATTAGATGGCGCTTAATGTAAAACAGAAATAATAATAGAATACTATACTAGGGTGATCATATTCATGTCTCAATGTTTTATTATGACAGATAGAAAAAAACGAATGAAATAATGATAGAAATAATGTCTTCTGTATTAGAAAAATAAATATATAAATAATAAATAACTAAAAGAAATGCCTCCAAATGTAACAAAAAATAGCTCTCACAAACTTACAAAAACGAACTAACAAAATCTATTTATATCTTTAGTTTTCATCCTCTTTATCTTGTTTTTCTTCCTCGTCCACCTTTTTTGCCCATCTATATTTTGCTGTAGAACAGATCTTTCCCAGCAGTTTTTTTTTTTTAAACCAGGACATTTTCATCACTTAAAAACAGCCAGGACAGGACGTGGAAACAGGACATGTGTAACGCAAAGTTGAGATGTTGCCCAGAGATAAAAACATAGCACTAGTTGTCGGATGAACAGATGCACGAGAGACGAGAGTTGTCGTATTTCTCCACGTTTAATAAAACCACTCAAACGTTACACTCGTCCTCCTCATACACGGGGATCGAGCGAGAAAAAAAATCACAAACAAACATCTGGTCACAATAGAAAAATAAAATAAAAGAAAGAATACAAAGAGTCGGCAGAGGTTATCTATCTCCTCTCCTCACTTGTCAAAAATCTAACTGACACACGCACATATGCGCAGTTCTCATCTCAACTCAGATTTCTATAAAGCACAAAGTGACCGTTACACATGTCCCGGGAAAAAACAGGACTATTAGTCACCCTATACTATATTATTATTACAGAAATACTAATATAAATATTAAAGCTGCAAGCAGCGATGGGCGGGCCCTCGCACCTGTAGCACGTCGGGGTGTGAGGCGGCCGCGTTTCATTTTCTGCAGCTCAGCCAGTGCGGCTGTGCATTTGCCACACTGCTTCGTTAAAGGCCACTTCCTGTTGCCAGCAGGTGGCGCTATGACTGTGGGTGAATGTCGGCATGTAGATTTGATCAGGGCGGGACTCTTGTCAAATGTGTTAAATTTCGTGCAGATCTGGGCATTTACAGCCAAGTTACTACAACTTCCTGTTTCATGGCGAATCATCGACGCCACGGACACGCCCATCGACAAAAACGCGCAGATAGCACAAATTTTCATCGTCAATGCCTTTAGAAGGCACAGCAGAAATTTGAAGGCGATCCGACTAAAGCCCTAGGAGGAGTTAGTTAAAGTACGTAATGAGTAAATCATCCAAAAATGGTGGTAAAATTAGAAATGGCTGACTTCCTGTTGAGTTTAGGGCATCGCTCCAAGAGACTTTTCTGTGCGTCTGGACATGGTAGATGTACCACAGAAATTTCGTACATGTCGGTCAAACATGCGACGGGGGCTGCTTCGTTAAATGTCACTTCCTCTTGCCACTAGGTGGCGCTATGAATGTGGGTGAATGTCGGCATGTAGATTTGTTCAGGACGGGACTCTTGTCAAATGTGTAAAATTTCGTGTAGATCTGGGCATTTACAGCCAAGTTACTACAACTTCCTGTTTCATGGCGAATCATCGACGCCACGGACACGCCCATCGACGAAAACACGCAGATAGCACAACTTTACATCGTCAATGCCTTTAGAAGGTACAACAGAAATTTGAAGTTGATCCGACTAAATCCCTAGGAGGAGTTCGTTAAAGTACGGAGTGTGTAAATCGTCCCAAATCGGTCGCCGAATTCAAAATGGCGGACTTCCTGTCGAGTTTAGGGTATGGGTTCTTGAGGCTTTTTTGTGCGTCTGGTCATGGTAGATGTACCACAGAAATTTCGTACATGTCGGTCAAACAAGCGGCGGGGGCTGCTTCGTTAAAGGTCACTTCCTGTTGCCAGCAGGTGGCGCTATGACTGTGGGTGAATGTCGGCATGTTCATTTGTTCAGGGCGGGACTCTTGTCAAATGTGTAAAATTTCGTGCAGATCTGGGCATTTACAGCCAAGTTACTACAACTTCCTGTTTCATGGCGAATCTTCGACGCCACGGACACGCCCATCGACGAAAACGCGCAGATAGCACAACTTTACATCGGCAATGCCTTTAGAAGGCACAGCAGAAATTTTAAGTCGATCCCTAGGAAAACTAAACTAAATCCCTAGGAGGAGTTCGTTAAAGTACAGAGTCTGTAAATCGTCCAAAAATGGCCGCCAAATTCAAAATGGCGGACCTCCTGTCGAGTTTAGGGTATGGGTTCTTGAGGCTTTTTTGTGCGTCTTGATATGATACACGTCCCCACCAAATTTCGTGCATGTAGGTTGAACGTGGACGAGGGGCTAATTTTTTCCAATTTTCTAGGTGGCGCTAGCGTGCCATTTTGCCCCGCCCATCTGTGAAACCCACAAAATACGAAATTTTTCACCAGTCCTGACATGCGTGCCAAATTTGGTGAGTTTTTGAGCATGTTGCGGCCCCGAAAATGGCACTTACTTTGCAGAAAAAAGAAAAAAAAAAAAAAAATAATAATAATAATAATCCTAACAGTTTCAATAGGGTCCTCGCACTGTTAGTGCTCGGGCCCTAATTACCATACAGCTCTTATGCTCCGAGACCAGCAGCGCAACATTCATCTTGCCTATAGGTATCTTGTCTCTTCTTCGTGTGCTCGCCTGCTCGGCAAGACCATTTTGTGTTCGCGCGCCCCCAAGTTGTGTTTTACTGTAACTTCAGAAGTACTAGACACGTGAGCAAACCCGCCAATCTCGTTGGTCGGATAGGTTTTGACGCGGCGCGTCAAACCAAAAAAACGAACCCGAGGCGTTTTTTTTAAAAATGACGCTTTTACGCGTGGCGTTTTTCGCGTCGGTGTGAACACTCACATTGGCGCCCATTGTTTAGTCACGAGGCGTTAAACGTCGACGAATAACGCGCGCGAAATTCGTCCCGGTGTGAACAGCCCTTAAAGTCCCCGTGAACCGGAAGTTGCAAACGATTTTTCTCCAGTGCTGTGACGTATTTCCAAGTGAAACGGAATATTGAACAGAGGGCAGGGTTTTACTCTAGCGCTCCTCCACTCCATCTCTCGCTCATAGCAAACTAACGGTTTGAGGGGAGTGGTTAAGCGTTTCCCCACCCAAACTGTGAAACCTACGTCATCAGAAAAAGAAACCGTTCCAGACCGGAAGTAACTTTTCAGATTTTGATTAAAGATTACTAAGGTAAAACATTTTTTTAATATATATTTACTTGCACGGATTAATTGTTCACCACAAGACTAGTAATATGCGCTAGCAAAGTAAATAGGTTCAATTTTGATTTCACAGGGACTTTAATACTGTGTTTGACCCCATTTCACCTTCAGAATTGCTTCAATTCTACATAATTTTAATGGTGAAAATCCATAGCTTTTCGATCGAGGGAAGCCATGTGCCGCTAACTTCTGAGTTGTCCTACAAAGTGACATCATCACTTCGGCACTCTATTGGCACGAAGGGGCCTAAAGTGTGTCCAGAAAACATCCCCACACCATTACACCACCACCACCAGCCTGCACAGTGGGAACAAGGCCCATTTACTTTTTTTTTTTTTTTTTTTACAAATATTTTATTTTTACTGCTTTATCTGCTAATTTGTTATTGCCGTTCAGCTGAAATAAATGATCAAATCTTAAGACTCCAACATTTCTCTTTGTAACATGTTGTTCAGTACAAAAACAAATGCTAAACTTTGACAAAAAGTATTTTATTTTTGTTATAATTGTGATTTTATAATATTTAGATATGAATCCAACTTTAGAAACGATATCTTTCAGTAATTCAAATAGTATATAGGCCTAGGATCTCTATAGCCATCTAGTGGTTAAAGTGACTTATTACAAATTTTAACCTGTATTTTCCAAATAATGAGCAAAAGTTTTACATTAAACCTTGTAAAATTATCCATGGCATCCCCAGGAATGAAAGTTAGAAATCTGGGTCTTTTATAAAGTTTATTGGTAACACTTTACAATACGGGTGCATTAATTCATGCTTAACAAATGCACAGATAATACTGAATTAATGTGTAACTAATGATTATTTAAACTATTCATTAATGATTACCACACAAAATGTTATTAATTAAATATGTAATTGTAATTGGGGTTCTAAGCATGCGTCAAAACCGCCGCCATCTTGGAACAGGGGTCGTGTCATAGGAAGTAGCTCGGTAACGCTGCTATCTCGGCCTTTACTTCGAATTCATTGATGGTGGCGGACTTTTGTGCAGCATATGATGTTCACGGATGAAATCTGAACTAGGAAGAATGTTGTTTTTTTTTTTTTTTTCTGGAATCAATAATAAATACAAGTCTGACCAGTGGAACAAACCAAAAAAACAAGAAAAAAAATCGCATTCATGATGATTTATGGTGATTTTATTTCCGTTAGACCTGAGTCTACATTGACGCTGATGCATTAAAGTGGAGGGGCTCCCCTGTTTCAAGATGGCGGCTCTATTGACGCATTCGTTCCAATGAACTGCCGAAGCCAAGGTGACGTCTAGTGTATATATGTCTATGATGCAGAACAGGCAGCTTTCACAACCAATCGTAAAGACCTTTCAATGCGCCCATTTCTTAATTTAAATTATAGTGAACGTTTAATGTTGTGTTAGTTAGCAATTATAATTGTCTACACAACAGCACGTAACATTTGTTAGTTAATCATAACTGGTTACTTGAAAACCTCATACGACAGCGAACTAGCCCAGGACTGCAAACACAAGGAAAATAAATAGGGAGCAAACAAAGCAGGTAATGAGGGAGGACAGGTGAGGAAAATTAACCAATAATCAGGACACAAGGGGTTAGACAATTGAAAGGAGACCACATGGCATGAGGAAACACACATGCTTTAAATACCCCGTAAATCGTCCTCAATAAAAGAAGCTTTCCCTGCGACCATAGAAGGATCTGGCGAGCCAGCTTGTATAACGGGCGCAAACGCAGAACATGGTGACCTCTCAGGTCTGGGAGGAAGTGTTTCAGGGCCATCATTTCTAGACAATTTATGTGCCATTGAAGATGATGGTCCTGCACAGACCCTGGGCCGAGCGACCACTCATGATCGCCCCCCAGCCTGTGAGAGAGGCGTCCGTCGTTAGTGTTACACGACGACACCGAGCCCCCAGCACAGGTCCTAAGGACAGGAACCAAGGTTCTTTCCACATAGCCAGGGCACGAAGACGCCGTCGATTGACCCTGATCTTGACTGCAGTGGTCTCATGTACAGCTGGCCGCAAGGTAAAACATTGGACACTGTTGCTATCAGACCCAGAATTCTCTGATATTCTTTCACAGTGAGTGACTGGCCTCGCTTTGCCTGTTTTTGACGGCTATGAGAATCAAAGCTATACGAGCAGGAGACAGACGTGCCTGCATCGTCATCGAATCGCAAACCACACCGAGAAAAGTCCTCTGTAGTGGAGCTGTAACTATATAATGAAGAGGAGGAGCTGTAACTATATAATGAAGAGGAGGAGCTGATGATGTTTAAAGGAGGAGCTGTAACTATATATAATGAAGAGGAGGAGCTGATGATTAAAGGAGGAGCTGTAACTATATATAATAAAGAGGAAGACGGACAGAAGTGGACAGAAGCAGAAATGTCTGATCAGTGTGATCTGTGTCTGCTGGGACTGATCATTCTCTCTTCACTTCTCACAGGTAAAGAAATCTGTATTTTCTCTAAACACATTTAGTGGAATTAGTCTGGAAAGAGTTGATTTGAACATGCTCAGTTTATTCTTGCACACATTCACGTTGTGATCTCAGAGTTGTGTATTGATACACACAGATCATACTGTATTATTCCTGATACTGGACATAGTGTCAAAGGGTAACACTTTACAATAAGGCTACATGAATAATCATGTACTAATACCTGAATTAATACTTTATTAAACATGAACTAATAATTATTGAAGGCACGACCGAATCATGAACCATTGAAGAGTTATCTTGAACTACGACTGTCATTATGGATTCACACATCAATAACGGCAGCCTTCACTACATGTTATACATGTTTGATAATTAATTAATTCATTAACATTTATGGATAAACTTAATCAAACCAGAGATACAGGAAGTGGGGGTGCAGCAGCTGCAGCTTTTGTGTTCATTTCTATTTCCTGTATCTGTGTACGCTCTTCTATTGTGTGTTTCAGTGTAAACAGCCCAATAACCCTTTTATTTAAAGGGTTAATTTATGTCCTGTAGACCAGTCCGTTGCATTACGATTGAAAGCAGTATCAATAATGTCGAAAATAATGTCAAAAATTTGATGCGAGTCATTCTAGAAAACTGGTGCCATTTGGGTCCGCAACGTTTGATGAGATGTTTAAGGCACAAAATGTCCCAAAATGTGTTTATAAAGCTTACAGTTATTAATTCAAGTTTTTTTTTTTTTTGTTAACATGCTATGTGATAAAATTCTGTTTTTAAAGAATAACATACTATTTTTAATAATTTGTCATTAGTGCATAAACTGTGTTCAGTTTAGACAAGTGTTCTCATCGATAGGCTTGTTGTGATTTGTGGAGTTTTGACGAGTTTTATAGACTTTCAAAAATTTTCTTCTTTCAAAGACTTTCAAGACTTTCAAAGACTTTAAAAAAAAAAAGAAGTAGCGAGTAGAAATAAGGTGTGGCCCCTTTAAGAGCTGCGCGCTCCCGGATGAATGCTCTGCTTTTGTATGTGCGTCTCGATCACACCATGCGGGTTATTTCTGTCTGATGCTCTTTTTAAAGTAATTCTGTTTAGTTAATAACGCTGTGGACGACTGATCGTGTCTGACAGAGAGTTACAGGAGATCAACTGGGGAATAAAGAGTGAGTTGTGAATTCCCGATCGCTCCGTGAGTCTGTGGCCTCTGAAATTATTCCAGATAACTTAAGTGAGATTTCCATAGTTTACTCCGAACACAACGTCTTACAAATACCCTGACTTTGAATGTGGAGGATCCTCAGAATTTCAACCAAGGAGTGAGTCCTTATTTCGGGAAATATCCCATTCACAGGAAAGGATGCGTGTAGCCTAACGCTCTCAAATCACCCCCAATCCTGATCGCTTGTTCAAAAAATAGAAAATGTCGAACGTTAGGAGTCGGAGTGATAACGGCAATGTGCTTTCAAATGTAAGCAAGTTTAAGATTAATTTCAGTTTTGCCATTTATTTAATGTTTGTTAAACTATTAATAGATACATTAATTACATTATCAGCTCAAGTGATTTACGAGGGGGGGATTTAAAGCTGTTCTCTTATACCGGTGATTCACTTATTAAAGGTTCTATATGGAACTTATTTTATAAAATGAATCCTCTTTTTATTGCCTGTGTTTGAAGGGGTTGTAATCACACATTGCAATGATCCACTTTTCGGGTTTTGCTATTACCTCTGAAGGCCAATATTCATATTTATATGAGAGGTCTCCGGGTCGGATTCCCTGCGAAATCCTTCGGATGTGACGTGCATGCGCGCTCCCGAGCCTCTCTATCCTACAGCCTATGCGACCCATAGACAGTAAAGGAAATGGACACAGTAACCCCGTTGATTTCAACATGCGACCAACGGCACTTCAGCTGACGACACAGAGTCTGATAACTCCCCAAAACGTCTCACAACACAGACTCCACAAAAATATAAAAAACAAAAGTTTTATCTGCTGAAGCTCGTCAGGCAAAACGTGAATCTGATCGACTCCGGACGAAAACGCGGATCAACATCGGCAACATATTAGTAAACTCTAGTGAAATAGCAGGTAAAGTACATGAAACATGACATGAATACAAAAGAATGATCCAGGATAACAAAAAGTCGGTGCTTTAGGATGTAACTTATTTTATTTACTAGGGCCGTTTCTCAATATGCCTTCTTGTCTGTACTTGTGTTCTTGTGGACTTGTAAAACGTCATCAGTCGCGGCCCAAGTACTGTCCCAATACACAAGTTTGCATTTAGGCAAGAACGGTTAAAAATCCCGGATGTGTTCTTGACACTCCCATTTTACCGAGGATGCATCGGTTGGTAACTTGTGTGAACTTGATGGCAGAAATATCCCATAATTCATTTCGGCATTCGTGGAAGGAGCGGGAAGCAGAGAGAGGCAGGTCAAAAGTTACCTGAATATTACCATAGACAGTAAAAGAATATTACCGAATATTACCGGCGTTTTCCCCGCCGTTGGCTGGTGATGTACACAAACAAACAACAGAAGCAGAATTAAAATGAGACATGTGTTGCTTTATTGTTATGAATATACATTACATTGTAGTGTATGTAGAGTAATCCCTTAGGTTTGGGCGATAAAGACTCGCTGTATAATAATTCTCGTTATGTTTGGGCACTGCAGACAGCGTCTGTGCGGGGGTAACGTTACTATTGCGCAATACCAGCAAGAACACATCGTCTCAAACTATCAGCAGCGTTCTGTGTGCTCGTCACCTCGTGAGTTCGTTCTTCCAAGAACAACTAGCAAGAGCTTTCTTCCCAAGAACACAAGTCCGTTCTTTGCATTCTTGGTTTTGAGAAACGGCCTAGATCTACTGACCAACATGACATCATGACTTTTGCGTAAACATATACGCCACTTTCGCGCCAGGTGGCGTGTTATCTCTACGCATTTTGAGCTATCCGCGTGTATGCGTATATGCCGACGCCATTAACGTCCGCGTCATTCCGCGTGTCTGAACACGCAGTCAAATCTCCAGTCATAAATGCCATTAACCCCAGTGACGGTTAGGTTTAGGGACGGGGTTGAGGTAAGTCATATATTTATATAGCGTTAAGTCAACGGCGTTCATAAACACGCTGAAAGGCGATTATGCGTCTTGATAGCACGCCAAAAATGGAAATACGAATTGGCGTGTCATACACACGCTACTTCATGAGATCAGTCTGTACTGACTAACGTTGGCATCCCACTACTACCATATTGTTTATACACATTTCCAGACACGTTCACTACAGTAATGTCACTTCCTACGATCTTACTGATACACTGAAACTGTTCAGTTTAGTTCACTAACCGTTTTCGTTATCATATTATACATTCACCTGTGTTGACATATCTGACTGTGAAAGATGCACGAATAGTTAGAAATGAAATGGCTTATGCTATATAACATCACATGTCGGCTAAATGCAGTTTATTGTAACATTATGATCATGGTACGAGCACAGAGCATTAGTTCAACGTCAAGCTGATAAAAGTAGGCTATTATTGTACCTGCAGTGGGAGTTTACATTAGTTTCCAGCATGTTGTGTGATGATTTCGCCGTTGCGTTGAAAGTCTCCGTGTGGCCGGTAGTGAATGCTCGTTCTTGAGACCTAGCACCAGGGCCTGAAATTAACACCCGACCACCTGCCAAATGCGGGTGAATTTTGCTATTGGCGGGTAACACTGTCAATCTACCTGCCACATTGGCAGGCAGCCAATGAGAATTGAGTGATTCATTAGGATTTTTACATTTCAACGAAGTCCGCTATTGCGGTGGACTTTAGCTAAAATGTGGCGGCACATTACTGGGGTAAAGAGGCCAGCTGAAACAAAACAAACAGCCAACAAAAAGATGAGGATGAGAAAAAGAAAAGTAAAGAAGACATTTTAATACAAAGTGAACAATCGGCGGCAATGGCAAGGTTCGTGAGCGGCTGATTTATGACAGCGACTGTTGTTTCGTAACGTTCATGCGATCAGAAAGAAGATGAGGCTCTTTTTCTGACTACGTGTGCGAGTATTAAACTGTTGATGAGATGGGATGAGATAATGTAACGCGTCGCTGTTGTAGGTTAAAGTACAATGACAGTTGCACAGATGTGTGTGCGTGTGCAACTGTACATGTTAGGAGTTGGGAACCGGTGAGAAAATGTCCGGTACCCGGTAATTTTATCAGTAATAACAGTATTTAGTTGATATTTAACCGTTCCTGAACGCTGTAACTAAAAGCTGTTAAGAGTAAGACCTGTAACGTTACGTGACTAAATCCGCCATCAACACAGCCGCGTGTGATTTGTTTACGAGCTGCGGTAGGTCTATCTGTTGAGTATATAGTATATATGTTGTGTGTGTGTGTGTGTCTGTCAAAATCAATGAATAAAAATATTTTTTTTTTTTAAATGTATGTTATTAGAGTTATTATTACTTGACAGCACTTAAATGTGTGTTCTTACAAGTTAAAGAACAATATTGTGAAATTCCCGGGTTTTTTTTTTTTTTTTTTTTTTACGTTTATGAGGCAAAAAAAAAAAGGCTGGTAAAAAGTCTCTGTGGCAGGTGAATTTTTAAATCCACCTGCCACAGTGGCCGGTGGCCGAAAAAATTAACTTCAGGCCCTGCCTAGCACGGACACGAGCACGAGCGCTCTTGTTGTATTCTAAAACATCACCGCTAGAGGCCGCTATAAACTCCATAGAGTACCTTTAATTTTTACTTCATATAACGTTAACGTTAGCCTTTTTTGTTGATCACATGTTTATTGCATGTTTTAACAGCTAGATCGTGTTGCTATGGACGCAGTTCTGTTCACTCCGGTAATATAATCGTTTTTAAATTAATAAACTCCTTTTTTAAATCAATATGTTGTGTCAAATTATTGATTTATTTGGTGCAGATGTACCTAATACAAATAAAACATCTCGAGTTAACTAGCAGAGCATTAATTTAGTTCGCTCTTTAATAAGAGATCTAGCGCTAAAATGTTTTTTTAAATCAAGCTGAGCGCTCGGCTGCACAGAAAGGTTGAGCAGAAAGGCTGCACAGTTTGTACCCAACACTTTTGAAAATGCACTTCCGAATGTGTCTCTCATAATCTAGAAATATATACAGCATATTATTTACCGTTTGAGTTTTGATAAATCATTTTCTTGCTGTAACAGATGATGTAAGCAATCTAAAATAGTTTTAGCTTAATAACAGGTCTGGATCTCCATCTTTTTACCACATTACGACAACAAAAGCACTTGACCGCAACACACTGGTAACGTTAAATACAAGTTCACAAGTGGAAAATATCATATTTTCCATAGCACATGAACGCACCATGAAACACACACACACACACACACACACACACACACACAGTGTTCCACTGCACCTGAGCGGCCGATCGCTTATCATTTAAAAAAACTAAAAACTCTTTGACCACCGGCTGTTCGGGATTGTTCCCGGTATTCCCGATGGCCAATCCGCCCCTGCCTTGTGTGTGCAGACCTCTATGGTACATGATTATTCATAAACCCTTATTGTAAAACGTTACCGGAAAAATACTGTATGATTGTAATCTTCTGCTTGTTATGCTGGTATGGTTTATGGTTTAATGTATTAATAAATATCATAATGATCACTGAGATCTACTGTGTTTCAGGCACCAGTGGAGTGGATCATGTGTTCATCAGTTCTGGTGGAAATGTCCGTCTGTCCTGTAATAATGCTCTTTCTGGCTGCAAATCAACTATATGGATCTACAGCAGATTCAGAGGTTCAGGGACAGTTGAACTGATATATTTAGGGATAAAGAAAGACACAGAGAGACATGAGAGACTGAGTCTGGAGTCTGACTGCTCTCTGAACATCAAGAACGTCACAGTAGATGATTGTGGAGATTACACCTGCAGACAATATGTGAACGACACAAAACAAGGACCTGATGCACGTGTTTATCTGCATGTTCTTCATGGTAAGTTTATGATTATATGGTCAATTTAAAAAGGGCAGATTCTTTATTAAACTCAGATGATGATTGAAGAGTCTGTGATTTGTGTCTTGTGTTCAGTTTCAGTGTCTCCATCATCATCATCATCTTCATCCTCACAGACTGAGATCAGTCCAGGCCGCTCTGTGACTCTCTCCTGTCAGTTGTATTCATATATTGGATTCTCCTGTGATTATTTGGTCAGTTCTGATGGAGTTGAGCTGTTGTGGGTGAATCAGGCTGGTGTTGATCTGAAGACAGACTCCAGATATCAGATATCATCATCATCATCATCATCATATCGCTGTATCATCACTCTGACTACAACACTCCTGAATGAAGATAACAACAGAGAGTGGAGATGTCAGGTTACTCTCAGAAATCAACTCCAGACGTCAGTCACATACACTGTCAAGTATTCAGGTGAGAAACACTGTTAGAAGACAGATTTGAGAAAACTTCCACAGACTGGCTCTACTCTTTATGATGACTTCAATTGTAAAATATTAGTGGTCAAAGTCATAAACTGCATAAAAATCCTTAAAAGTCCCAATATATTTCATACATGATAAATTGCATAAATCAGAAGAGTCTATTAAAGAGCATATTGCAGGTAAAAAAAAAAATCGAAATTTATAGATAACCTTGTATGAAAATACCATATGAAAAGTTAATGCAGGATTTAAAATGTTTTAAAACAACATAAGGACACTAATTTAGAAGATAAAGTGAGCGTTTCTTGGACTGCTAGTAAAAACGGCTTTTTTTTCAACGTCGCGTCATTTGACGTCATAGCAGGGAGCCACAGCCTCGGCTCAGTGAGAGCAGGCTGGTGTTCAGTGAGAGCGCTCGTCAGTCAGTGTGCTTTCGTTAGTTTTTGCATTTTAATTTATCATCGTCATGGTAAATATTGTGTTTGTGGAGATTGCAAAAACTCCAGCCTGTCATGACTTCAAGATCGAGTCCACAAGTTTCCATTAGAATAAAAGTGACTGTGCTATATAGCCTATCTTTCGTTCCTGGTGCGGTTTGAGCAGGTGAAGAGACGGGATTTCTCCTCTCGGCTCGGAAAACACGGTCGTGTGTAGCGTTCACTTCAGATCAAATGATTAGCATCTCGGCAATATGATGGAGTTCAACATGGTATGCCGAAGCAAGAATATTGATCGTCGTATACTACCAATGGCATCAAATAGTGTTATATAGGTAACTTAGTCATGTCATGCCCTAAATAAAACTTGAAATTGAAAAACAAAATTGGTTGTTTAAATACTCAAACCTTTAATGTTCTGTTTATGTTATAACCAAGGTGAAAAATATGTATTAAACATTTACCCGAGTATAGCCTATGCTTTTAGTATAGAAATATACTCAAGTAAAGTTTTTATACATTTAATAGTATATAAATCTACCCTAAACATACTAATGTCTGCTGGCCTGTTATAGGATCATAATAATCTGTACAATATTGTGAGCACAGTGTATATCGTTAGCGAACGTGTATACTATAAGTACGTCTCTCACCTAAAAGGCACCTGTCCTGTTCTCCACTGGTTCTCCTCACATCACAGCTCAATTTTTCTCTGACCATTCTGTCTGACATTATCCTGGCCTGTCCCTGATCTCTTTAGCATAGCAGGCTCATAACTTTATGGCTTGATCCGTCATACGAGTATTTCCTCAGCGTCCGAAATGTCATTGCGATTCATTGTTTTCCTGTTGTGTGAATCGACCGGTCTCCCGCTCATTGCGTCACGCCCGCCACGCCCATTTTCAGACGCGGAAGTAAAATTTTCTCACAAAAACGACTGCAGAAGCTTCTGTGGCGTGTTTATACGTATATTTTAAAGAAAATCTAGTTCCTACATTGTTTTTCTATGCATTGACTCGTTGGGTCCTCTAACCTGCAATATGCCCTTTAAAGCCTAGTATGACCCATGTAGGAGTTCAGCTTTAGGAGTTATACGGCTTAATAATGTCCTTCATTCAGGAAAGCTGAAGGTTTATGGGAAGCAGCTCAACTGTGTTTCACTCTCATATAAATCACATAAAATTATTAGACGGGTCCGTTGCATTACGATTGAAAGCAGGACCAATAATGTCAAAAATGTGATGTGCAGTCGAGTTTGTGTGTGTGTGTTTGTGTGTGTGTGTGTGTGTGTTTGTGTGTGTGTGTGTGTGCTGTTTAAATAAGTGTTTTCACTGATACACTTGTTGTGATTCGCTGAGTTCTGACGAGTTTTACTGTAAACTGTCACGCATTGAGCGCGAGACTCACACAGTTGACCCTTTCCACACACTCTCACCACACATCCATTTACTCACACAGAGAATGATCATGTAGCAAAGAGGACACTGACACCGACAGACAAGACATAGCAGGTTACTTTAATACAAAACAAATGATCAGCGCTCAGATTCTGTCCATTTTATTACCAAATTCAATCAATAAATGGCGTTTTGGCTCTTGTAAGTGTGTCGTGACAGATCTCAGTAGCGCTTCAGTTCAAGCGGCACGTAACCGATCATCTGTTACTCTTCTTTACTACTAATATAAGCACAAATTATCAATAGGCCATTTTGCAAAATATCTCATTTGAAAATTTGAAATAAAACTCTTGATCAGTGTTTATCAACCGGGGAAAGAGGTCCATAAAACAGCTGGAGAACAACATGTCAACGTTACATTTACCTCACGAAAGCCATTTAATGATCATACAGGCTAGACAAATTAGCTATAGAGAGAAGTGTTTTGTTAAAAATGTCCACTATATTAGGCTACATATTATATTTTTACTTTACTTATATCATTAAAATAGTTTTAAGTTGTTATTATAAAATGAACCTCTCTAGGGTTAGTTCGGTATTTTACACTTAAATTTGGACAAATGCTGCTGTCCCGAGAATTGTAGTTTTCTGTGTTAGCACCCCCACCTACACAATGGTTGTCTATGTGCACTGGAACAATCATTCATAAAACACATTAAACTTTAGTTTACAAAGACGTGAAACTCACCGAGTGGTCTGGGGTGTTCACTGATATACTCACACAAATATCACTGCAAAAGATGCTTTCCAACAGGTTTTAGCGTAGTTTTGTCCGACTCCATTGACTTGACTTGGTACAAAAACTAAGAAAAAACCTGTTGGAAAGCATCTTCACAATGTGAAGATATGATGTTAATGTCCTACAGGTGATGTGTGTGAACATTCATCTTCTGCAGCTCCAGTCTCTTCAACAACACTGACTCCAGTCAGCAGATCAAACTCTGAGAAGACATCAAGCAGAACTACAGCAACAGCTCCTACACAAGGTTCATGATCACATGACCACTGGCACACATCATCACTCTCGCTTCAGTGGTTTGATCACACCACAGTAAAATCAGCCGGATAATTCCATCAATTCAGTATTGAAACCTCAAAGGATATATTGTGTTCATGTATTAAAATATGACATTTCTATTTCCATCTTGTTTTTAATAGTTGTGACTACAACTACATCAACTACAGTAACAGCACGTCCCACAGAAACTGTTGGATTATTATACAGAGGTACGACACGTTGATTTAGACGGACAGCTTTCTAACATTACACTATCAGTCCATCTGTAAATGCTTCATCAATAACTGTTGATAGATGAAGACCCTTGACTTCAGTCATGTCCAGTTTCTCTTCTTCTTCCTCTCATGTTTCCTGCAGTGATTGTGAGTATTGTTGAGATGGCAGTGTTTGCTGCTCCTACTGTGATTCTTCTTCAGATCATCTGTGCAAGAAGAGCTGGTGAGTTTGAGCCGCACACACTCTGAAGATTCACACTCGTCTGATCTGAACATCTGCAATCATGATAAACACACACCAGAGGTCAGGCAATGCTTTTATTTTGCAGGGAGGAAGAACTCGAGACACCCGGAGGAAATAGAGATGCCTGCAATACAACAATAAAAACTGGTGAGTTGTGCGCAAATCTGCAACAATATTTACAATAGAAAAAACTGAGTTTGTTTTATTTTTTTCTTCTCAGATAAAAAAACTCTTCCTCCATTTCTCGACATCTGTCGCCATGGTTACTGTGGTTGTCTGAGCAGAAACTGAGGGTGACGTGGATATGACGCCATTGACTGGAAACTCCCTCAGTCCTGCTCACACGCCCCGTTTCCTTGGTTACCATCGCAATTTTCTCGCTTTTGGATATTTTACTGCAAAAATCCTACATATTGTACCTTTAAGTCACCATTATAGTGATCAGTGTTTAAGTTGGGCTCATGAGATTGAGATTTTAATATACCTTTGTTTTAACAGTTTTTAGTGTGGTCTAAAATGAATTCTCAGGAGAGTTATTTTAACACTGGAGTTTTTGCTGTGTAAATATAGATGAAGTGTGATCATGATGTCAACAACACTTCTGGGGGTTGTGCATTTGTGGTTTTCATGATAAAGACTTCTTAAACAATGCCATATTTGCATTCAAAATGTCATTATTGAGTGAAAGACTTAATGATAGTTGTCATAAATTTTGATAAATTGGATAAATTCGCGACTCCTTGATAAGGAAGATGAACTCTCCTTCCTCTGAGCATTTTCAGGATTGGATGGACCCAATATTTTCTCTTTCTTCTCTTTTCAATAAGAGGGCAACAAAATCATCCTCACTGCTTGACGAATCCATTTTGTATTTTTTTCCCGCAAAGGTTTAATAAATACGCATCGGACTCAGTGTGCAAGGTTTCTGTGCGTGACGAATTTTTAGACTGACGAACACGAAAAAACGCGTACGTAAATTTGAATTAAAAACTGAAAACTGAGTACGCTTCGCTGTGGACGTTTTTCCGTTGAGACGTTTTGTTGCTAAGATACAGAATATCCGCAGCACAGTTTACTTGAAACTGATTTCGCAGATAATTTGTTTCATACTAAAAATGTATTTTGTTCGGTTGACGTCGTTGTACAGAAAGATTGTTGTGACAGTTGGTCGGTGTGGTATTAGCCCCGCCCCTCCTGCACTGTGATTGGACGGCTGTGTAAATGATGAGCGCTGCGTTTTCCCTAAAGTTTAATTTTTTTCAACTGTGGGCGGCCAGTAAAAACGGCGGACACTCAGTGCTTCAGTGTGAGAAAAGAAAGTTCAGCGCCTCATTACGATCACGGCGTTTAAAAACACGGCGCTCCCATTGAAAACAATTGGAAAAATACGGCAGCTGCGTAAAAAATGCTTTGGTGGACACACGGCCTTAGTAATAACGGTAATCACATATTTAAAACGTGTCTTTGATCGTGTAATTCATTTGTTGTTTAATAAAAGCCAAATTATTACTTAATGATACTTTATTTGAACCAATTATTGCTTGTTAATAAATATTTGTATTTTAAAGGCTGTTGTTTCACGTGGATCACTCGATTTATCTGTGGGATAATTGGTAAAATCGAGTATTACTACAATAATCGATAGCTGCAGCCCGACTTCACTTTGGCTTTAAAACAGAATTTCATAGAAATTTGGATTTCATTTGGAGTCTCATTACTGAAGTCATTCAGAACAGAAAAAATCTAAACAAAACAAAAACAACTATATGAGTGCGGAATAAAACCCGCTAGACTATTGAAGAATTCAAATGGAAAATGGAAATTTCCCTTTAAAAAGCTTTTTCAATGAATCTCCCAGCTCTGTGTATTAATGCTGTTTTGTGATTGAGATCGGCAAACCCGAGTAAACCCTGTCGTATTGCTCTGAGCTGATAAACTGTTTGCGATGCACAGCTCAGACGAGTAGCGGGGTTTCATTCCTCTCCAGCATTATAGGGGGAGAGGAGAGATTTGGCTTTAGGGTGATGTGTGGCTAACTTACACAAAAGAGAATTTGTTACTAAGCACATGAAAATAAACTACTTACCGTGATTTCAGACTGTGGTGATGTGGTTTCTCCACTGTATGGATCTTCATGTGTTGCTTCAGGTGACTTTCAAAAGAGAAACTCTTCCCACACTGAGTGCAAATTAAAGATTTCTCGGCTCTTCTTTTCTTTAAAAAAGTCTTTTTAGTCTTTGAGCGACTCAAGGGTTTTCCTCCAGGTTGGACATGATGTTCCTCCTCCACTTCACTCAGTTCTTCTCTCTCCTCGCTCTCTTCAATCAGGTCTGAAATAAAAGAAAAATTTTTTTTTTAAATGTTTTCACCTCGCTCTGCTACTCCGGTTATCTGTGTATGTACATTCTAGGCAACAATAAAACTAATTATATTATAAAACGATTACCACTCTGCTTCTTTTCGATTTCATGTAAATACATTTTAAACATTATAAGCACACAACTCATGTTTGTGTTTGTAGCTCCGGAGAATTTCTTCACTAATCCTTGATTTTCTTCTTTACCACTTATTTATAAACAAGCACTTTCTATTTTTATATCATGTGAACTTATCCTCGATACTATTCCTTATAAAAAACAATTGGATTGCTTTGATATCGCTACTTATATCTAACCTTCCTAATCCCGGCTACTAGCCTTTAGCCCGCTAGCATTCCACGCGTGGCCTATTGGCCGTCTCATTTTACACCCGTTTCACTGAATCCTGGTTATTTCCGGCATTTCAATCCTAAATTAGTAGTGATAGTTGTAGTTTCACTATTAACTTACTGTTCATCTGTTATAATGGCGAACACATCAGATGCGTGTCTAACATTACCTCTGAGTGCAGGTGAGGACACGTTCGAGCTCTTCACGGTGAAGCAGGAGCTGGAATACGTCGAGAAACAGATCCGTGGTCTGCTGGTGAAGCAAGCCGAGCTGTTGGATCGGCGCTCAACGCTTGAAGCATCACGCGCAAATCAGTGGTTAGTAACGTTAACTCTTTGAGCCCGACTTCGTCTACTCCGTATGTTCCTCTGCCCAGGAGGACGCGATCATCTCGGGCTTCATTCACTCCGGCACCGAAACAGCAACATGGACCGTGGATCACACAGCGGAAGACACGAGCCAGGACCAGAGCTGCCTCTCCGCCCCTCCCGGTCTTCGAGATCTCCACCCGGAACCGCTTCTCCCCTCTTCGCGAGCCGGAACGCGACGACGCCGTGATCATCGGCACATCCATGGTCCGTCACGTCCGCGCTACTACTTAGAGGAAAGGTAAGGTGCGCACTCACTGCTTTCCTGGTGCTCGTGTTCTTGATGTCGCTGCACAGGTTCCCGAGATCCTGAACGGGGACGAGCGCGTCGGAGCTGTTGTGCTGCACGCGGGAGCGAACGACATCAGGCTGCGGCAGACGGAGGTTCTGAAGAAGGACTACAGGAGCCTGATCGAGACGGTACGCAGCACAGCGCCTAAAGCAGCGATCATCGTGTCTGGACCGCTTCCCACGTACAGACAAGGACAGGAAAGGTTCAGTAGACTATTTGCATTAAATGAATGGTTAATGTCATTGTGTAATGAACAGAAGCTGCTCTTTGTAAATAATTGGCATCTGTTTTGGGAGAGACCCAGGCTGTATCGTGCTGATGGACTCCATCCCAGCAGAATCGGAGCGGCTGTGCTGTCGGACAACATCTCCAAGACGTTACTCACCAGATGACTAGTAAGTCAAAGTCCAAATCACAGCCTTTGCGGTCCAAACTTACCTAATATGCATAGTGTGGAACATTATATAGAAACTGTGTCTATTCCTCGTTTAGTGAAGCCAAACAATAAATCTAGTGCAGGATCTAGCAAAAATCTTAACCAGAAAATCTAAATATCGGTGAACAAAAACAATTTCTAAAGCTAGGTCTTCTAAACATTAGATCGCTCACACCTAAGGCGGTTATTGTAAATGAAATGGTCACAGATAATAACTTATCTGTTGGAGGAGGAGCTGTAACTGTATATAATGAAGAGGAGGAGCTGTAGCTATATATAATGAAGAGGAGGAGCTGTAACTATATATATTAAAGAGGAGCTGTAACTATATATAATGAAGAGGAGGAGCTGATGATGTTTAAAGGAGGAGCTGTAACTATATATAATAAAGAGGAAGACAGACAGAAGCTGACAGAAGCAGAAATGTCTGATCAGTGTGATCTGTGTCTGCTGGGACTGATCATTCTCTCTTCACTTCTCACAGGTAAAGAAATCTGTATTTTCTCTAAACACATTTAGTGGAATTAGTCTGGAAAGAGTTGATTTGAACATGCTCAGTTTATTCTTGCACACATTCACGTTGTGATCTCAGAGTTGTGTATTGATACAAACAGATCATACTGTATTATTCCTGATACTGGACATAGTGTCAAAGGGTAACACTTTACAATAAGGCTACATGAATAATCATGTACTAATACCTGAATTAATACTTTATTAAACATGAACTAATAATTATTGAAGGCACGACCGAATCATGAACCAATGAAGAGTTATCTTGAACTACGACTGTCATTACGAATTCACACATGAATAACGGCAGCCTTCACTACATGTTAGTTCATGTTTGATAATTAATTAATTCATTAACATTTATGGATAAACCTAAGCAAACCAGAGATACAGGAAGTGGGGGTGCAGCAGCTGCGGCTTTTGTGTTCATTTCTATTTCCTGTATCTGTGTACGCTCTTCTATTGTGTGTTTCAGTGTAAACAGCACAATAACCCTTTTATTTAAACTTAATTTATGTCCTGTAGACCAGTCTGTTGCATTACGATTGAAAGCAGTATCAATAATGTCGAAAATAATGTCAAAAATTTGATGCGAGTCATTCTACCAAACTGCCATTTGGGTCCGCAACGTTTGATGAGATGTTTAAGGCACAAAATGTCCCAAAATGTGTTTATAAAGCTTAAAGTTATTAATTCAAGTTTTTTTGTTGACATGATTATATGATAAAATACTATTTTTAATGAATAACATACTATTTTTTATAATTTGTCATTAGTACATAAACAATTTCACATGTACGTGAATTAATGTTGAATGCTGTTCTTGTTATGTGGACTAATCAAATAAATGCAACTTTATTTGTAAGTGAATTAATTTTTGTGTTTTTTTTTTTCAGTATAAACAATGAGGCCATTGAAATGTCAAATTAAAATTTCAAGATTAAAAACTAAGAAAAAAATACAGACTTTATATTGATGGTTTCCAATAGCATTTTACTATTAGGAAAACATTATATTTAAAAATATATATGTCTTGTTAGACAATGCACATATTGCATATTGTCTGTGACGGGGTGACTACCTTGCCTGCATAAAAAGGATATTAAGGATTTTGTGCCTGAGGTGGGAAAATATGTTTTGTGGAGGATTAATGTATCTTTAAAGTTGTACGTTTTTTTAAAATAATATTTTTTTTAATGAAAATTTGGAAAATTGCTAAGTGGAAGTGGCACCCGTTTCATAGAATGACTGATGTTTAAACTGTGTTCTGTTTAGACGAGTGTTCTCATCGATACGCTTGTTGTGATTTGTGGAGTTTTGACGAGTTTTATAGACTTTCAAAAATTCAAAAGTGGTGACCTAAAAAAAAAGGAAATAAGTAGCGAGTAGAAATAAGGTGTGGCCCCTTTAAGAGCTGCGCGCTCCCGGTTGAATGCTCTGCTTTTGTATGTGCGTCTCGATCACCCCATGCGGGTTATTTCTGTCTGATGCTCTTTTTAAAGTAATTGTGTTTAGTTAATAACGCTGTGGACGGTTAATCATGTCTGACAGAGAGTTACAGGAGATCAACTGGGGAATAAAGAGTGAGTTGTGAATTCCCGATCGCTCCGTGAGTCTGTGGCCTATGAAATTATTCCAGATAATTTAAGTGAGATTTCCATAGTTTATTCTGAACACAACGTCTTACAAATACCCTGACTTTGAATGTCGAGGATCCTCTTCGTTCGGAAAATATCCCATACACAGGAAAGGGTGTAGCCTTCGCGCTCTCAAATCACCCATAATCCTGATCGCTTTGCTTGTTCAAAAAATAAAAAATGTCGAACGTTAGCGGAGTCGGAGTGATGACGGCAATATGCTTTCAAATGTAGTTTAATTATAATTTCAGTTTTAGCATTTATTTAATGTTTGTTAAACTATTAAACACAACGGCTCAAGTGATTTACAGAGGGGGGATTTAAAGCTGTTCCCTTTTACTGGTGATTCACTTTTTGATTTTTACTTCATATAATGTTAACGTTAGCCTTTTTTGTTGATCACATATTTATTGCATGTTTTAACAGCTAGATCATGTTGCTATGGACGCAGTTCTGTTCACTCCGGTAATATAATCGTTTTTTAATTAATAAACTCCTTTTTAAATCAATATTTTGTGTCAAATTATTGATTTATTCTGTGCAGATGTACCTAATACAAATAAAACATCTCGAGTTAACTAGCAGAGTATTAATTTAGTTCGCTCTTTAATAAGAGATCTAGCGCTAAAATAAATCAAGCTGAGCGCTCGTTATCGCTGCCGTCAGTGTCATGGATACAGTGTTTGGACAGTCTTCACTCGGACACACACTGCGCGTACTTCAATCTATCGCTGTTACGGAGACTCTATTCATTCTGGTGAAATCACGAAATAAAATGCACTCAAACGTGTCTCTGCTTGATATAGACTGTAACCACTGATGAACATATTCGGTTTTGATGAGAGAAAAAAACTATACGAGTGCGGATCAGAACCCGTAACCTCTGACACGCTTGGCAAAACATCTTCCACTAGACCATTGAAGAACTCGAGCAAATATTAGCGGATCGATGCATTTATTTACGGGTTGAGCAGAAAGGCTGCACAGTTTGAACCAGCACTTTTGAAAATGCACTTCCGAATGCGTCTCTGTCCAGCACATTTCAACCCAAACTGACGCCCGTGTGTTATACTGAGTGTCTGTTATCAAGAAACCGTGTAATTCTACCAAGCCATGTAATAAATGCCTATCTTTAAATGCAAATATAAACAATAACAGTGTATAATAAATCACTAATATATCACTAATCGTGCTCCTGTGCTGTCCATGCTGCTGGGTCCTTCCTCATCTGCACCTCCAGCTGCTATTAGCTGCCTCTTGTGCCAATGTTTTTTACTTTTTAATTCATATTTTTTTTGGCCTCATCCATTTCTTTCTCTTCTTTCCTTCTTTTGGCCATTTTTACCACCAAACATGACCAAAAGTAAACTCCTTTGATCGGCGCCTAGTTTGAGCCAATCGGATGTCAGGAAACACGAGGATCAGTCCAAGTTGTATTCATGTGGTATTTCCACTGGGCAGCTCGTAGAATATTTTGATGCATGAGTTGCCGAGATGAGATAACCTTTGACCTTTTCAAAATGGCGGAGAGCAACGCAAGAGTCGTGAATGGTAAAAATATGTACTATTCATTATCTAGAAAATATACAGCATATTATTTACCGTTTGAGTTTTGATAAATCATTTTCATGCTGTAACAGATGACTTAAGCAATCTAAAATAGTTTTAGCTCAATAGCAGGTCTGGATCTCCATCTTTTTACCACAAGCAGTCGATCGCTTATCATTAAAAATGTTCAGGATTGTTCCCGGTATTCCCGATGGCCAATCCGCCCCTGCCTTGCATGTGCAGACCTCTATGGTACATGATTATTCATATACCCTTATTGTAAAGTGTTACTGGAAAATACTGTATGATTGTAATCTTCTGCTTGTTATGCTGGTATGGTTTATGGTTTAATTTATTAATAAATATCATAATGATCACTGAGATCTACTGTGTTTCAGGCACCAGTGGAGTGGATGATGATGATCATGTGTTCATCAGTTCTGGTGTAGATGTCCGTCTGTCCTGTAATAATGCTCTTTCTGACTGCAAATCAACTACATGGACCTACAGCAGCTTCAGACGTCCAGTAGTAGTTGGACTGATTGAATTAGGGATAAAGAATAAAGACACAGAGAGACATGAGAGACTGAGTCTGGAGTCTGACTGCTCTCTGAACATCAAGAACGTCACAGAAGAAGATTATGGATTATACATCTGCCAACAATATGAGAACGACAGACAACAAGGAACTGATGCACGTGTTTATCTGCATGTTCTTCATGGTAAGTTTATGATTATATGGTCAATTTAAAAAGGGAAGATTCTTTATTAAACTCAAATGATGATTGAAGAGTCTGTGATTTGTGTCTTGTGTTCAGTTTCAGTGTCTCCATCATCATCATCATCATCTTCATCCTCACAGACTGAGATCAGTCCAGGCCACTCTGTGACTCTCTACTGTCAGTTGTATTCATATTCTGGACTCTCCTGTGATGATCGGATCAGTCCTGAGGGATTTGAGCTGTTGTGGGTGAATCAGACTGGTGTTGATCTGAAGACAGACTCCAGATATCAGATATCATCATCATCATCATCATCATCATCATCATCTCCAGATCGCTGTATCATCACTCTGACTACAACACTCCTGAATGAAGATAACAACAGAGTGTGGAGATGTCAGCTTACTCACAGAAATCAACTCCAGACGTCAGTCACATACACTGTCAAGTATTCAGGTGAGAAACACTGTTAGAAGACAGATTTGAGAAAACTTCCACAGACTGGCTCTACTCTTTATGATGACTTCATACGTTTGGAAATTGTAAAATATTAGTATTAACCTCCTATATGGGTCATCTATGAAATACTTTATACATCTATTAAAGCCTAGTATGACCCATGTAGGAGTTCAGCTTTAGGAGTTATACGGCTTAATAATGTCCTTCATTCAGGAAAGCTGAAGGTTTATGGGAAGCAGCTCAACTGTGTTTCACTCTCATATAAATCACATAAAATTATTAGACGGGTCCGTTGCATTACGATTGAAAGCAGTACCAATAATGTCAAAAATGTGATGTGCAGTCGAGTTTGTGTGTGTGTGTGTGTGTGTGTGTGTGTGTGTGTGTGTGTGTGTGTGCTGTTTAAATAAGTGTTTTCACTGATACACTTGTTGTGATTCGCTGAAGTTCTGACGAGTTTTACTGTAAACTGTCACGCATTGAGCGCGAGACTCACACAGTTGACCCTTTCCACACACTCTCACCACACATCCATTTACTCACACAGAGAATGATCATGTAGCAAAGAGGACACTGACACTGACAGACAAGACAACAGGTTACTTTAATACAAAACAAATGATCAGCGCTCAGATTCTGTCCATTTTATTACCAAATTCAATCAATAAATGGCGTTTTGGCTCTTGTAAGTGTGTCGTGACAGATCTCAGTAGCGCTTCAGTTCAAGCGGCACGTAACCGATCATCTGTTACTCTTCTTTACTACTAATATAAGCACAAATGATCAATAAGCCATTTTGAAAAATATCTAATTTAAAAATTTGAAATAAAACTCTTGATCAGTGTTTATCAACCGGGGAAAGAGGTCCATAAAACAGCTGGAGAACAACATGTCAACGTTACATTTACCTCACGAAAGCCATTTAATGATCATACAGGCTAGACAAATTAGCTATAGAGAGAAGTGTTTTGTTAAAAATGTCCACTATATTAGGCTACATATTATATTTTTACTTTACTTATATCATTAAAATATTTTTTAAGTTGTTATTAAAAAACTAACCTCTCTGGGGTTAGTTTGATATTTTGCACTTAAAGCCCTGTTTTAAGATCGTTTCTGATGAAATAGAACGGTTAAGATTGAAATTTGGACAAATTTTGCTGTCCTGAGAATTGTAGTTTTCTGTGTTAGCACCCCCACCTACACAATGGTTGTCTATGTGCACTGGAACAATCATTCATAAAACACATTAAACTTTAGTTTACAAAGACGTGAAACTCACCGAGTGGTCTGGGGTGTTCACTGATATGCTCACACAAATATCGCTGCAAAAGATGCTTTCCAACAGGTTTTAGCGTAGTTTTGTCCGACTCCATTGACTTGACTTGGTACAAAAATATGATAAAACCTGTTGGAAAGCATCTTCACAATGTAAAGATATGATGTTAATGTCCTACAGGTGATGTGTCTGAACATTCATCTTCTGCAGCTCCAGTCTCTTCATCAACACTGACTCCAGACACCACAACAAACTCTCTGAATCCAGGTGTGTATGAATGAACTACAGCAACAGCTCCTACACAAGGTTCATGATCACATGACCACTGGCACACATCATCACTCTCGCTTCAGTGGTTTGATCACACCACAGTAAAATCAGCCGGATAATTCCATCAATTCAGTATTGAAACCTCAAAGGATATATTGTGTTCATCCATTAAAATATGACATATTTCTATTTCCATCTTGTTTTTAATAGGTGTAACTACAACTACATCAACTACAGTAACAACACTTCCCACAGCAAACTCTCCGAATCCAGGTGTGTATGAACATCATCCTCATCATCCAGAGAATCAGTTTCTGATCACATCATCACTCTCGCTTCAGTGGTTTGCACTGGCTCTCTCAGGCTGGTTTATTATCACAGATATTATCTACAAAAAGTATCTCTTAAGTCAGATTTGTCAGTGAGCCATTTTGATACATACAGTATGACTTGTACTTCCTGTTGTCTGATACAAATTAATTATAAATATTATACAGATAGTGTATCTCATGCCATCCCATGATAAATTCAAATGATAGTGTGGATTCATTTTTGGAAAATAAATGCCTTGACATTCTGTTCATGCATTAAATATGACATATTTCTATTTCCATCTTGTTTTAATAGGTGTAACTACAACTACATTAACTACAGTAACAGGACTTGCCACAGCAAAATCTCTGAATCCAGGTGTGTATGAACATCATCCTCATTTGATCGACTCAAAGTTTATAGAATCAGTTTCTGAATCATCTCTAAAGTTGTTCAACAGCTGATCACAAATATTGATTGTTATTAAATGTCAAAGATACATAATTCTCATCCAGACTGTCCTGAACAATAGGGGAGTGATTTGCTTACGTTCATTGACATATTTAAAAGGACCAGCTAATCCCCCGCCTCTCTTACCCGCTCTGCAGACACTCATAACTGTAAAGTTCCAGTGAGGACTGTCTTATAGCCAAGTTTCATTTAGAAACATAAAGTCCAGGTTTTATGTGGTTATTAAGTCGTTGACCAGAAGTTATTCATTTTTAAGTGAGCGGATGTTTAAAATCGCTTTCTTAACAGTCTTTTTGTCCCCACAGCAATCTTAGTTTGGCGTCTAATAAGCACCAGATTAGATGGGTTTGCTGTGTGGCTTTTGAAGGCCTTAGACTTTCTATTGTGCACAGCAATAGAGAAAGATACAGGCACACTGGGTTCCCGCTTGTTTTGTAAACATTCAAGAAAGTTACTGTTATCATAGCGGGGACCCGATACATATCACTGAGAGCTGGTATCAGTTGTTTTTGGTTCACCTCGAGTCGCCGGAGGAGGGTATGGGGCCTGGCGCTGTGTCATAGGCCAAAGAGCTCTCAGAGGAGGAGGAGGGGGGGGGGGGGGGTTGGGGGTGAGCTGGGCCTACAGGCTTTGGTGGTTGTGAGGCCTGGCGTTTTTTGGTTGACATCTGGGGGCTTGCAGCAAACGAGTGGGACAGTTTGGTTCCAGCATACACCAGTTTTTCCATTTTCTCTGAGAAGGACAGAAGTGGAGATTCTGGAGAGAGGGATAACGTGTCTGAGGAGAGGGACTGTTGCTCTGGTGTTATCTTAAATAAGGCTGTAATATGTAAGGCTGTAAACTGTTGCTGTAAAATGCTGTGCTGGTTTCCCTCGTTGTTTTCCAGAAAGTTGTCCCTGGTATCTGAATCTTGGAGCAGTTCTAGCATGTCACAGTCTGTCTGCGGTGAGCTTTGTGGGCAGAGCTCTGCTGAAATTGTGTGTGTGAGGTGTTATCATTGTCCTTGTGTGATATGTCAACCTCATGTCCATTCAGGTGTTGACGTGAAGTCCTGTGGTCATTCATACTATATCCAGGTGTGTGTGTGCCATTCAGGTTGAGTGGATTGCCACACATTGCAGAAGGATGATTGAGGGAGAAGAAGATATAGTCCTTTAGGACTCTTGAACCAAGTTTGTTTGGGTGATGGCCATCCCGTTGAAACAGTTGCCTCTGACTCCAGAAAAGATTGAAGTTGTCAATAAAGTTCCCTCCTTTTATATTGCAGGTTTTTTGCAGCCATGTGTTGAGCCCAAGCAACCGTGAAAACCTGTTTGTTCCTCTTGCTGGGAGTGGGCCACTGATGAATGTCTGAACTTTCAGTCTTTTAAGTGCTTCAAAAAGTTCATTGAAATCCTTCTTAAGGAGTTCTGACTGCTCTTTTATCAATCTTTCCCCACATGAATAAATTCATCACATGCATAAATTTACTTCATGATAAATATGGATAATTATGCTATAGTTGTTTTTATGTTTTTGGTTAAACAGTAATATAGTCCTGCTGAATGTGTCTCTCTATTTATAATGTCTCTCTCAGGGCTTGTGGCTGTGATTGTGATTGTTGCCGCTTCATTCGCTCTGGCTCTTATTCTCTGGGTGATTCGTAAAAAAAGAGCAGGTGAGTTTTTCATATTTTGTAACAACAGACAAAATTTTAAAAACTGATTGTCATCTGCATTATAGACTGTGTGTTTGATCATAAACTTTCCTGTGACATTATGTTTCAGGCAACAGAAGAGGGACTGGTGACTCTGTGGTAAGTATTGCAGGTTTAACCATGAGTTATTAATGTTCATGTGGTGGGGAAGGGCAAAAATTACACTAATGTACAAAATAGAGTAAGATAAAGAGCAGACTACACCACATTTCCATAAACTGGGAAATTTCATGAGGCACATAGGTTCGCTACCACATGTAGGTGCAACGTTACTTATAGTCAACTGAATGTGTTAAAGGGACCATCCAAATAACGTGAAACTGACAAATTAAGATGGCGTCTGAAAGTTGCGGCTGTTTGTGTGTAAATGTAAATTTTTGATTAACTTTTACCACTTGTGGTGTCATTTCTAGCGATAAATTACTATTGTAGTCATTAAATATTCTCTCAGTTTTCACCAAAGCTATTTTTCTATTTTGTTGTAGATTATTAAACCGTAGCAGAAGTCTGAAATCAGTTTCGTGAGGAACGTTCAACGACACGTTCACGACAGCGCTTTCAACCAAAAACGTAAAACTTTTTATGGATTTTGGCTGTTTATTTACTCGACAGTGTTTTGGGTGCCTGAAATCTGTGAAATGTAAACAACAAAAACGTGAATCTCTGGAGACGATAACATCATGCACATGCGTATTACATGTTCAGTCTATAGTGTTTCATCGCCATCTAGTGGCCTGGCAGAAAAATACAGTGTTTAGTCGTTTTCGCGGATCTGTGTGAACGGGGATAATTTTGACAATAGTGACGTCTGTACGCGGAAAACTCAAAGGAAAAACTTATTTTTTTAAGCATAATGTTTTAGAGTAAACGTACCCTGAGTGTGTGTTACTGCAAAACCTGAGTAAAATATTATTGATGGATGGCATTTAATTTTTAATCGTATTTCCATTGATGTTTAGGAGCAGACAGATGACGTGACTTATACTGAAGTCGCTGCGTACAGTAAAAAACAAAACAAAAAGAACAAGGTGAGCGAACACTTCCTTGATGTTGTCCAGCTTCACTCAACATGATAGCTTGTGTTTTCCTCTCATATTCAGTTATTCTTGATTTGTGTGATGATATGCAGTTCTTCATGAATTGAGCTCAGACAACATGCTGTAATAATGGTGGGTTGAAACGACTGTGATGTTCATTCAGGTTCGCTGTGATGATAGAGTGACGTATGCTTCCATCAGAGGAGCAAAAGCTGGAGCTCAGGAGAACTGCAGTGAACTTTATGCCTCTGTGAACAAGAACAAACCAGTCAAATAATTATACAAAACACACATCAGCAGAGGAATATCAATCTAATATAACTCATTCTTTAACATGTTAACAAACAATTGTAGTGAATTGTTGTCTTTTATCCTCTTTGTGTTCTGGCTTTGAGTTCTAGCGCATTCAGAACTGTTTTAATAACCTTTGGTCTAGTTTTAATTTAGCGATATGGAGCTAGTGTGACTAATGGTATATATTTTCAGTAGTATTTTCAGAGCGATGAACTCACTGTTGAGGTCTGGGAACATGTTACTGATGTGTGTGAGAACTCAGTTAGTTTGACCACACATGCTATTAGAGAAACACGTGTGGTTAAAGAAGAAAGAAAGAAGAGGAACTGACATCCTAACCCACACACAACTGGTCATCTCTGAACCCAGTTTGGAAAAATGGGTTTTGGGGGTTTGTGAACCCGAGGTTACCCCGTGAGTCAGTCCTAGAGCTCGTCCTGTCCAACTTTAGGGGGAAATCGGGTCCATCAGAGACACCCAGTAGATTTATATTGTGCCGAAAGAACAAGTGTAATCGAAAATCTCAGGGTAAAACTGGGTGTTGTGAAAAATACAATACATCGAAGTTTTTCTAATGCATCAACTTTTTACTATTTTAAATCATTTTTAACTGTATCATACAGTGGTATGAATAAGTTTTGGCACCCATGCTAAAGTTGCCTAAAAAGAGGAATAAAAAAATCATCTTTTGGATATTGATCTTAATGCCTTAATTAGAAAAATGAGGAAAACTCAAACCTTTAAGGACACAAATTTTCTTTGTGAATGAATAATGAATCATAAATAAATAAATGTTTTTCCTTAAAATACAGGGTGCATAAGTCAGGGCACCCCTATGTTAAATTCCCATAGAGTCAGGCAGATTTTTATTTTTAAAAGCCAGTTATTTCATGGATCCAGGATAATATGCATCCTGATGAAGTTCCCTTGGCCTTTGGAATTAAAATATCCCCACATCATCACACACCTTCCACCACACCGAGAGATTGACATGGGGTACTTTCCATAAGATCATCTTTCAATGCAAATCAAACCAGCTATTAGACTAACTGAAGTAAAACCATGTCAATCTCTAGGTGTGGATCAATATCCAAAAGATGATTTTTTTATTCCTCTTTTTGGGAAACTTTAGCATGGGTGCCAAAACTTATTCATACCACTGTATATCTTTTTTATTTATTTTTTTATAAATATGCCAATAGAATTATTGCTTTCTCAATTCTCAATAGGCGCTTTTCCACTGCATAGTATGGTTCGGTTCGGTTCGGTACGGCTCACTTGTGGTGCTTTTCCGCTGCATGGTACGGTACAGTACGCAGTTTTCGCTTCGCTACTGAGCCGAACCGTACCGTACTATGCAGTGGAAAAGCGCCAAATGTCTAAAACCAGTATGGCCAAACTAACACACACGCGTTTCTGCCTAATTGTTGTCTTTTGTCCTCTTGGAGTTCTTGTGCTTTCAGAACTATTTTAATAACCTTTAGTCTAATTAATTGGAGCTAGTCTGACTTCATAGTAGTATTTTCAGAGCGATGAACTCACTGTTGAGGGTTTGGAAACTGATGAGCGTGAGAACTCGTAGTTAGTTTAACCACACACGCTATTAGAGAAACACGTGTGGTTAAAGAAGAAAGAAAGAAGAGGAACTGACATCTTAACCCACACACAACTGGTCATCTCTGAACCCAGTTTGGACTGAACCTGGGAACCTGAACATGAAAACAATGTTGCAAGAGAAAATCAACTTCCATACAGACCATTTCACAAGATGTAAACAACACTGGTCCAGAAGCACTTCCTGTTTCAGTTTGTAACTGTTTTCTTTATTTCACATGTAAAGAAAACATCTTAAAGATGTTTGTTTAACTTTTTGATTCAGTTTTAAATGTTCTGTTGGTTGTATTTTATCCCAGCTTTTATGTAGTGTTAAAAAACTGAAACAGGAAGTGCTTCTGGACCAGTGTTGTTTACATCTTGTGAAATGGTCTATATCGCAGATCCTTGATGTATTCCTTAACATGTTTTATTGACCCCAAATAAATGTGTGTAAATGGTCAGTGAATTAAACATTATATATATATATGAAGAGTTCAGATGCAAAAGCTTCTAAATGTCATTTGAAATTTTCTTCTTTAATGATGATTTTTATCAAACTTGTATATTTAAGTTCAGTTCAGTGATTTCACTTAAATGGCAATGATAATTAATTGTTATTTAAGTGAAATAACTGAACTTAAATATACAAGTTTGATAAAAATCATCATTAAAGAAGAAAATTTCAAATGGCATTTAGAGGCTTTTGCATCTGAACTCTTCATATATATAAGGATTATTAGGAACACCACACTAATACTGTGTTTGACCCCATTTCACCTTCAGAATTGCTTTAATTCTACGTAATTTTAATGGTGAAAATGCATAGCTTTTCGATCGAGGGAACCCATGTGCTGCTAACTTCTGAGTTGTCCTACAAAGTGACATCATCACTTCGGCACTCAATTGGCACTAAAGTGTGTCCAGAAAACATCCCCACACCATTACACCACCACCACCAGCCTGCACAGTGGGAACAAGGCCCATTTACTTTTACTTTTTTTTTCAAATATTTTATTTTTACTGCTTTATCTGCTAATTTGTTATTGCTGTTCAGCTGAAATAAATGACCAAATCTTAAGACTCCAACATTTCTCTTTGTAACATGTTGTTCAGGTTTGATTCTAATCATAATGTAACATTATTGAAAAACTGTGGTTTCTTCAGTACAAAAACAAATGCTAAACTTTGACAAAAAGTCTTTTATTTTTGTTATAATTGTGATTTTATAATATTTAGATATGAATCCAACTTTAGAAACTATATCTTTCAGTAATTCAAATAGTATATAGGCCTAGGAGCTCTATAGCCATCTAGTGGTTAAAGTGACTTATTACAAATTTTAACCAGTATTTTCCACAAAAAAAATGGGCAAAAGTTTTACATTAAACCTTGTAAAATTATCCATGGCATCCACAGGAATGAAAGTTAGAAATCTGGGTCTTTTATAAAGTTTATTGGTAACAATACGGGGGCATTAATTCATGCTTAACTAATGCACAGATAATACTGAATTAATGTGTAACTAATGATTATTTAAACTATTCATTAATGATTACCACATTAGGAACTAATTAAGAGTCTGAAAGGTTAATGTATTAGTTCATACATTAAATGTTATTAATTAAATATGTAATTGTGGATTAATTCCATTATAACAATTTTTGTTTAACTAATAGTGTTAATTAATATCTTAATGTAGAGAATCGAGGCGAATCAAACACAACTTAATCAAATTAATCTCTCATGGGATTAATTCACATGGCTTCAACAGAGTCACGGAACGGCACCAAGGGTCTGCTCCAAAAGGACAATAAACCCCCCCCCCCTCCGAAAACTTTTTATGGTCCTGCAGATAGCAACAGAATGCCACAGGAAGAAACGTGTCAATATGTTAATGTTTTACTAAGACAAATCGGCTCCAAAATGGTGGAACGAGAGGCTCACAACAAAGACCCCTTTGATCCCCTGACAGAGATGTTCAACAGAACACCTTTCCTCGTCCCCTACGAGTTGAACCCTCAGTGACCTTGCGGTTGAGATCGGAGATCTCCCACATAAAATCATATAAACTCACCACAGAACAATTCTTGGACTTATAACTAGGGTTGGGTATCGTTTGAATTTGAACGATTCTGATTCCGATTCCTTGTTTCGATTCCGGTTCCTAACGATTCTCGATTCCGATTCTTTTAAGAGGCAGGGTCAAAAAAGTTTAGCTAACCTTGCTAACCAACGGCCTTTCTGAAGGAAATACTCCTTCTGTAAAAATACTGTGAAGCCACACTTTGGACCGCCGACGTAAGGTACTCATGTTCGACTCGCGTGGTTATGCCAACACTTCCGGTAGACGCTTCTTCGTTGGTGTTGTTCAGCGGTTTCTTCTTACGCTCGGCGGACTGTGAATATCGAAACTAGAAATCGAAATTTTAACTTTTGAACGATTCCGGGAAAAACGAAAAGTTAGTCTCGGTTCCAATCGATACTCGATTCTCGATACCCAACCCTACTTATAACCAATCATAATTCTTGTTGTTCCTAGACTTCATGTGTTATTATGCTTAGATCACATAATAATCATGTAATTGTTGTTAACTATTAACTCTTGTAATTGTCATACAACCATTAGAAGTGTGAATGCCTCGTTTACTCTTAAACGAACCGTATTCTCTTAATTCAAAAGATGGCTTGATTGAAATCTGCGTAAAAGGTTTTGTTTTATGATTATAATAATCATAAGTTTAAACTATAGTCTTTTGTCTCTCTGCTAAGTGCTGGAGACCAGCTCACAGACCATGCATAAATTATGATAAGCAAGAAGTAGATCCACCTCCTTAAATCATGCCATTACCTCATTGGCCAGAAGTTTCTAGGAGGTTGGACTAGAGTTTAAGTTAAAGATCCAAACAAAGAACAAAGGACCTCATGTTAGATTTTTGTTCCGTTCCTGTTAGATTTTTCTGTTCGTGTTTCCAGTTTGTAACTGTTAAGTTCGTGCCTCTCTCTAAAACCAGCAAGAGAGTGTTCTGTTCGTGCTTATCTCTGAAACAAAGAGCGTGTTCGCATGCTTCTACATCGACTAGACCAAATTCGACCAGCAGACGAATAACCCATCAAGATCAGGGTTACAATTCAGCTCAGTCAAGCCATCCGACTCGCCTTACTTTCATTTCTTTACTTTATGTCCTTTTTCGTAAAAGTCTCGTTTCAAAGTTAAGTTTGCTGCCAAGCTTCGTTTTAAACGGCTCTCCGCAACGCGCTTCGAAATCGTAAAGACTTTTCATTCGGCTGCTAGTCACACGTGACCGGCAAACTCAGGAACTTCCAGCCAGGCACTTTAAAGACAACCCGCCACGAGGACCCGGGGAGCCGCCTTCGATGCAACGCAACAAAGGAATCCCCAAAGCCACGCAAAGACACAAGCAAGTACTCCAAACGGGATTATGGCAGAGTCTTCAATATTTACTGTCCTCCCGTCTTTGAAACGAAACGTACATACGTTTAGATGTAATTTTATATATAGTTATGTTTATTTAATATAATTTTAAAAAGAAGCATAAACACAACGAGGGGTGTCTGTTTTATCTGTTTTTGTGACTAACGTTTCTTTAGTATAACCATGGAGTATTAAATTCAGTATAAATTTTCGGTATTGCATTGGACTCTACGATCGGCGGAAGTTATCGAGCATCCTTAATCCTTCACCGGAAATAACGCCGTGCATAGAGCCCATTGTTCTTCATGCGCACTGCGTAACTGAAATTTAAAAATGTTAAAAGAAAAGGCTAAAAAAAACTGTTGCATAGATAGAATACACTAAGCATTAGTGCTGCACGATTAATCATATCATATAGCAATCGTAATAATAGCGTTTAGTAGGCTATATAACGCAAAATGCTGCGATTTTATGAAATAAACAAATTAGGGATATTAACGCAGTACAGTAGGATATCTCTTCTTTTTTGTCATCCTTTGACTA